ACGTTGATGTCATTATTAGATCCAACGAGTCCAAAATACGCATGCCATATCCATAAATCTGCAGATGCAACTGCTTCAAGCACCACGGTGGGAGCACTCCTATGATAGCCGGAACTGAAACGACCTCTCTACCCAACTGGACAGTTTTTCCATTTCCAAGTTTTCCAACAACTCTTTTTTTATAATGGTAGCTTTTCCAACAACATTTTTTTTTTGTAACGGCTAGTTTTTATAATGAATAATTTCCCAACAACTCTTTTTTCAATTAATTTATGCTAGATTATATTATATATTATGTGCGCCTACTCTTAATATTATTACTACTTTTGAAGCATTTAGTATTATATCAGTTTTCAATTATTTTTGATATTCATTCTAAAAATTAAAATTTAATATAATAAAAAGAATTACAAGACAAACATAATAATATTATTTTAATGATAAAAACAAACTTACAATATAATAAAGCGTTTAAACGAAAAACATAAATATAATAAGATTAGTGATAATTAGGCCTAATCTTTGCAACAGCCAATTTATAGAGTTCCTATTGTTCATCGGTCATGTTGCTAGTATCCTTGAACAAGATATCACACTCTTTGATAATTACATGTCTCATGTACAGTTTGTTATATTCTGCTTGAAGAGCCAATTTTTTTTCTTCAATGCCCACCAAAGTAGATCGAATTTCCGTGACTTCATCAGCATCATCATCGTTGCGTGACTTTCCTTTTGCCTTTCTCTTCATCTTTTGTTTTCCTTTTTTGGTTGCTTTTTGTCCAATGGGACGAACCTCCTCTTCAATGTCACTGATTTCAATACTTGCGTCAGTATTTGATGATGAAGTGTATTATCCAGATTCATTAATTTTTATCTCTTGCTTGAGTGTTCAACGGAAGCAACAACATTTCATTTTGGATCATCTTTCATAATTTTTCACACATGTTCATGTTGGAAATGTTTACCGTTGTTTTGTTGGTAAAATGATTCACGAGCAACTTCTTTTATTTGCTCATGATTCCAACCACTACGGTGCTCATTCCACAATCTATTGAAGTGTTGATTAAATTCTTTAACATATTTTGAAAACCAATGCCAATGAGATTTGCATTGACCTTGTTCTCTTTCTGGAAAAGATCCTCTATTGTCGTTATAGTATGCAGTAATCCGTTTCCAAAACTTTTTCATGTCCTGATAATTTATCGTAACACTGCAATTTGAAGTTGTGAGCCACGTAGAGCGTGAAGTCGGTCTTCATCCACACTGCAATTTTGATAATTTGAGGTATTTTCTTTATGTGGTTCTTGCGATAAAGAAATATTTTCCATTCAAAATTGAGTTGACTATAGTGGAAAAGAAGTTTGAGAGATTGATTTCGTAGGCGTTGACCTTTGAGAGTCGGATCCCCCATAAACGCCCCTTCTTGTTGAAATCGGTGTTGATGGACTACCCAACGACATATTTGTGTTACCAAAACCACGCGAAAAATTATTTCCAAGCATTTGAGAAAAGTAACCCGGCAGTTGATACATCACGAATAGATTTGAGAAATTTGATGAATTTTCATTAATTGGAGGGAAATTCGGGGCACCAATACCCAAAATTTTGCATATTGGGCTGAAAGTTTTGGGGTGGAAATGACGGAAAATTTTGGTAAGAGTATTGAAAGGAAAAGACGGATTTTCATCATTTTGAGAAGATTTCTTGTTTTTCCTTTTATTTATGATGGATGAGAAGAGTATAAGAAGGTGAAGAAGATGTGATATAAAATGTATTAGATTGGTCGTATTTATAGAAATTTTTTTGTGCATAACTTTTATTTTAAAATTTTTTTCTTATCTCTTTGAATGGATAAATGTTTCAGATTCTGAATAGATTTGCAGATTCTTTTCTCCCTTGTATCGATATTTTCAGATTTGTAGATTTTAGATAGTGCTTTTATTTTTTTAGATTTGTCTAAAAATGGAAATGTAATAAACTCAATAATTGGAAATAAAAGAAAGAAAAGGAATAGGAACAATTCCTACGGTTATATGTGTAAATTAAAACCAAAAAAAAAGAGGGGAGAAAAAGTCAAAGAATGCAGGTGCACATTGGCCATGTTATTTGTTTAATGAAAAAGTATTGGAGGTTTCAACGCACAAAACTGGCTCAACTTCTGCCAACATAAAACCCACCCCAACAGTCACACCATTCAAAGTTTCTGACATTGCACTCCAATTAAACTATTGATGGAGATGCTCTTGAATATTTTTTGTACTGGGAATGTAAAAAGGTATACTGAGAGAAGATAATTGATAATTAAATAATTTAAAAAAACCAACAAAAAAAAGGGAACAAACAGAGAAATCTAATGCTTCATTCGAAATATAGATAAATAACGGTTCAAATTCTTCAAGAAATGCCCAAACATAAACTCGGGAGTGGATGACTTTTTTGAAATGGCTTTTGATGATCAATTAGTCGAGAACTTTTGCATTTTCTTTATTCTAGAACAGGTCATTAAGTCAGCAATATTCTTCAAATGATCATTTACACCAACTTGAACCTTTTGGATTTCTTCATTGGAACCATTCTTGAAGTTGATAGCTAGTTTGGTTGTTATTAATAGTGTTAATGTCACCTTGGGCTTCACACTCAAAACTAATTGGTTGTGAGTGGGTTGGCCTTTAGTGCTTATAAACAAGTGACAGATCCTTCACGACACCGATGTGAGATTTTATTTTCCAACACCCCTCCTCAAGCCCAATGGGGTATTTGGCCTGTTGGGGTTACACAACACAACATAATTTACCCCAAACCTACCCGTGTGCACGGAAGCAATTCACGCAAGTCCAAGGCACACAGGTAGGGCTGGCAATCTCCGACACGACTCGGAATTTCGACACGAACCCGACACGGAATAAGAGGGTTAGGATTAGGAATTTGGACCCGTATAATAAACAGATCGGGTTAGGGTCGACTCGTTTATTATACAAGTCGGGTTAAGGTCAACCCGACAGGTTACCCGGGTTATCCGTAAATATGTAAATTATGTATATTTTAGGGGTAATTTGGGAATTTTTCTGCCATCCCAACCCTAATTTCAACTCATATATATACTCCTTATTCTTCATCTGGCACAAATTTTCCAGTTCACTCTAGGGTTTCTGTCTTCTACTACTCTTCTTCACAGCGGCTCTGATTTTTTTTTTTTCCAAATTATCACTTAATTTATTCGTGTTCTTCCCAAATTGTTTTTCCCGCTCATCAATCAGTATCTTCACTGCGGTCTCCGACCAAAATTTCGATCAGATCAATCATCATTTACCGCCGACGGCGACGGGTCACTCTTCTTCTTCTTCAGATCCTCTCACCCGTAGTTTAGCCGGTCATCCTTCAACGTAGTGTCTCAGGTTTGTTTCTTCCTCCAACAAATTTGATTTCATTCCGTTTTTCTAAAATATTTCAGATTTTTTGTATATAGAGCCAAAAGGATTTCTATCAGATTCTTAAATTCTTGATTTTGATAGCACAAAGAAGTGTGCTCTGTGGATTCACTAAATCATTTTGAATCGGTGAAATTTTGTCTTTATTCCTGACTTAAATTCTTTTGATTTTTTCCTATACTCTAGAAACCATTTTTTCTGTTCACGGGAGTGATTGTTTTATGGGTTCAATTGATTGATTCTCTGTATATAAGTATCCTGTTGTATTGGGTGGCAATCATAGTTTTTCAGTCATTTTCTTACTGGACTAGTTTGATCCCAAGGAGGATGATGAGGCAGGGGGATCAAATTAGTTGGCTGATGTTATATAGACAAATAGAGCATTTCAAGACTTTGGATTTTTTTTTCTTTTTTTGCTACTACGAATCTTTAACCTTCTGCTTCTCTTTATTTTTGTAAGAGCTTAAGCAAACTATAGGAATGGGAGACTGATCTCATATTCTTTTTTTTTTTTTTTTGCTGCTAATCTTGTGCTTCTCTATTTGTTCTTAAATTGGGTCGATCACTGAAATTTTTTGTTTGTTGTCTCTGTTTTTGTAGAAAACCAGGAATAGAACCTATTGACAAAGAAACTGAATTTGATATTGGTTTTAAGATTGACGACAATGAGACCGATGCTAATGATGTTGATGTTTCAATCAATAGTTGAAGTTTGGAGAGTTGAAACTCTTGTGTTGGTCTCAAATTATGAATATCATCTAATTTCCGTCTCTTGGTTAAGACTATAAAGGTTGTAATTTGAATTTAATGTTGTAATTTGAATGCTTGTTCCTTACTTGTTTGGATCATGGATCAAGGTTGTTGTAATTTGGTAATTTGGATTTTAAGTTATAATATGTCGTAATATGTCATCTGGCGATTTGGATTTTAGGATTGTAATTTGTGTGATTTGGAACTTCGGGTTAGCAGGTCGGATTACGGGTGACCTGAATATTTTTAGGTCGGGTTAGAGTTGCAAAACTCGACATGATTATTTATACAGGTCGGGTCCGGATTGGCTGTAGATTATTCGGGTTCGGGTCCGACCCGATACACCAACCCGGATACAACACAGATTGGCAGCCCTATACACAGGTCCACAATTCTTCACCACAAGTCCACCATACGTACAGAAGCGATTGACACAAGTCCAAGGAACCCGGGTCCAAAACTTTTTCGGGCTCCCGCACGTACGGGGATCATTGCGATCAGCCCTAGACGCACGGGTCCATAGTTATCACAGGTCCACAGATCGTGAGCATTGATACCATATCAAAGTCACCTTGGGCTCCACACTCAAAACCAATTAACTGTGAGTGGGTTGGTCTTTGGAGCTTATAAACAAGTAACAGATCCTTCACGACACCAATGTGGGATTCTATTTCCCAACAAATAGCCTAGGTCTTGCGCGGTGAAGAAAAGAAAATCAGACAAGGTTTGTACATTCACATAAATGAATTAATCACGAAAGATTATCAACCAAAATAAATTTAAACTTTTCTTGAAACAAAAATGAAAACAATATAAATAAAGTTTTTCGGTGGAGAAAAAAAGAAGCAATAGAACTTCCCAGTTTTCATTTCTGATCAAAATGATTTACAAGAAAAAAGAAGACGACATTCCTCAAACTATGAAAACACTTTTTATTTTACACAGAGAAATGAAAAACTTGTTTTACAATGTTGAGCAGAAATTACAAAGCTCAAATGAAAATAAAACACAGAAAAACAACATTTAGCAGTGAGCCAAATCCCCTTAGACAGCATAAGTCTCTGGAACGGGCTGGTATGAAGAGATGAAGACATCTCCATAGATGAACCCAGCCAATCCACCTCCAATAAGTGGGCCAACCCAGTAGACCCAGTGGTCTGTGAAGTCTCCAGCGACAACAGCTGGCCCGAAGGACCTTGCTGGGTTCATGGATCCTCCACTGAATGGGCCAGCGGCAAGGATGTTAGCACCCACAATGAACCCAATGGCAATTGGTGCAATGGTTCCAAGGGAGCCCTTTTTGGGGTCAGCAGCTGTGGCATAGACTGTGTAGACAAGGGCAAAAGTGATGACAATTTCCATCACTACACCTCCAAGTCCACTCATTCCTGCTGCAACTGTGTGTGTTGGAATTGCCTGCAAACAAAAAAAGGAATCTCCAAATCATCAAAAAATTTCCAACATGTTTTCAGTTTTTTCATTCAATTTTCACTTTTTCTTGTTTCATCTTTGACTAACTGATATCATTTAAAGTAGCTCTGATGAGAAGAATTAGAGCATGATAATTTCATTTACACTCTTATCAACAGTTAGTATTTCACTATAAATTAATTTGAGAATTTTAAATTCTCTGAGAGACGAAGGTGCCGTTTGACTTTCATCCTCTGACTAATAATGGTGAAGGTAACTAAATGGTTCAGTCAATTATCCAAGTTGACGGATCACAATTTCTATCAACGTAAAATTTATGTAACTTTGAATCAGTGATTGTACTATTTGCTGAATGGCAAACACTACATAATTTGTTCAAGATTGTGTCTCAAAACATGTATGAGGGTGAGGTAATGAATTACCAAGCCAGCTGTGACATATTTGAGAAGGGCACAAGCAACAACTGAGCCAAGGCATTGGGCAATCCAGTAGAAGATGCCGGTCAGGATAGTGATGTTTCCGCCGATGGCCAATCCAAAGGTAACAGCCGGGTTCAAATGGCCACCGGAAATGTTGGCTGCAATGGAGACTCCGACGAACAATGCAAATGCATGAGCCACAGCAATTGCTACAAGACCCCCTGGCTCCAATCCTGCATCAGCTGTGATCTTGTCTGTACAAAAACCATACACACACACAAAAAAAAAAATGTTAGCGATTTTCACTTCACTAGAGAACCAAAAAAAAAGGGAAAAAAAATGATATGTGCAACAAATTGAATGATTTGTTGAAACAAATCACTTACTGAATGCAATGGCAGAGCCAACACCGGCAAACACAAAGAGAAGAGTGGCAATAAACTCAGACAAATAACTCTTCAGTGATCCAACACTGAAAGAGTCACCAATGCTTCCAAAAGCTATCTTCACCATTGGTTTTTTCACAAGAGAAATAAAACAGCTAGCTAGTAAGTTTTAGCAAAAATCTAAAAAAAAAAAACCCCCACAAATTAAATTGCTAAAAACTTTTTCTTGGTGCATCAAAAGCTTCATCAAGACCTGGTTTTTATAGTGCATAGACTAGCTAGCAAATTACCACAAAAATATAGAATTTGAAAATATATTCACCGACCATGGGGCCTAAGAGAGCTAATTGTGACCACTAATTGGTGCCGTCCCACCGGCCTTGATTCAAAATAATGCACAATATTTTTACATGGCGACGACTAAGTTTTTATTACAAATGAACAAAATTAAGATTAGTTCAAAAAATAAATTTTTTTGGATAGACTTAATTAATATAATTCAACAAAAAGCAACTAAACCACCAAGTAAATGATTAGTTTCCGATGTCATGATAAGTTTTTGTAAACATTTGTACCTAAACCAACGTAAGCTGGGCATCTTATAATGGTTAATGATTGTGATCACTTATTACATTAATATTTTTTTTATATAATCTCGTTTCATAAAGAATAGTCCACAACCATAAATTGGATTATTTTTCTAAAATACATGAAACATATATATATTTTTGTCTAAAATCATTGTCTTAATTATTTTGAATTCCAGTCGAAGAAGTCTCTTCAAGAAAGAAACTGAGCTCTCCCGGTTTACATAATTATTAATACTTTTTTGTTGATTTTTTGGAAGCAAAATCATAATTATTAATACTTTAGTTTGTCTCAATACGTGGTTTAATTAGAACGTTGTTGTGGAACTTTTTTGAGAGTTGGAACTTATGCCATATTCCTTTAGCTGGCAAATTGTTTTGATTGGATCATCCAATTTCGTTCTGAATAGTCAATAATTATATTCTAGTAGCTAGGTAACATCATCCTATTTTGGGGTCTTCCTCTTTGGAAAATTATATTTATATGGTTAGGTTTCTCATTTAGCTTAAATTTCAGTTCTGCTCCTGTCGTTTCTTCCCATCTAGAAAAAGAAAAATACTTATGAAAGTTTTTTTTTTTTTTTGGAAATAAAAATCACTCCCTTTAACTTTAAAAAATGTTAATGAAAGTTATATTTATTTGTTGATGATGTATTTTGTAACTCTATGATTATACGTAGGGTCATGTTTATTAATCTATTCTCAACTAAGTGAATAAAAGTTTGTTAAAAATTATTTTTTATCCAGGAAAAAAAAAAGAGTTTACAGATAATGAGAAAAGCAAAATGCAAATCACCTTATACATATCGAAGAACTATGTAGACGTCGGTTGGTTAATATTCCGGATAAAACATTCACAGTAATTGAAAATAAATCGACCTAATTTTTCGCTATACTAGATTACTATTTTTTGCCTTAAATGATTGTTTTTTTTGGGACATATTAGAAACCCTAAAGGTTATGGTTATCAGGTTATGAGTAAAAATGTATGAGAACTCACCGTATTAAATCGTAATTTAACTACGGGTAGTTTAAAACTATGTGGTCAAATTAGTTATGATTAGGGTTTTCTAAATCAATTAAGAGCAAGCCGTAAAAGAACTTTGCAATGATTTCGGTGGAAAAGGGATTTTTGTTCATCATAATGTCTTTTATCATGTCAACAATAAGGCTGGTTGTGGCTGGTTGTGAATTGTGACTTGTGGGCTGTAACTTGTCCTAATCTCTGGTAGGGCCGGTCATTTTGAACTGTGGTTCGGGTCGGCGGGGTCGACCCGAACCGAACCGATCCAAAATCGATTTGAAATTTAGGATTGATCATTTTGAACCACGGTTTGAGTTGAACCGATGACCCGAACCGATGATCCAAACCGATTCAAAACTGATTCGAAATTTCAATTTCGGTTTGGATCGGTTCAGATCAAAAAATTTTAAAAATAAAACAGTTTGGATCAGTTCGAATCAGTTGAATATCAAAATTGAACCGAATCAACCCAAAGCAAAAAAATAAAATAATGATTTAAATAACTTCGTCCTTGACCGCTGTCGAACACCGCAGCGGGCAAATACTCTCAGAAAAAATTCCGGTAACCTCGCCGGAAATTTGAATTTTTCTGATAACCGGTGACCAGCCCCGGTGAGATGACGTCATCTTTTTTTTGATGACATCATCATAAATGAAACGGTTCATTTTGGATAGATTTGGTTCAGACCCGAAATTTAACCCGAAGTGATCCAAACCGAACTGTTAGTGATCTAAAGAAAATTTGCCCCCGTTTTCGAACCGATCCAAAATAACGGTTCGGTTCGAATCGGTTCGAGTCGGGTCGGTTTTCTTGAAATGAACCGCCCTAATCTCTAGTTGACTTTTTGAAAATTATCATTGCCAGCAAACTAACCTATAAACGAAAATAACTTGTTTCTACTATGAAATAATTATCCCAATAGTCTATGATGAGAGAAAATCACTAGTCATCTTGGCTCCATTTATTTTAGGTGGTGTTAGGGAGTAGCACACAAATGTGTCACAAAAGATTCGGAGCAGTTAGACTCTAGTATACAGAGGAGTGAGTCACAGTCTTAATGATAACAATTTACGTTTATTACATTGTTATTCAAGTCAACTCCAATCTCTTTTTTTTTTTTTAGACTTAGCTCCAACCAAAGTCAATTTTGGTAGGAGTGTATAATTTACATTACTTTTATGAAATTGTTATCTAACTGAATTCCGACCCAAATAAATGAAATTGTTATCTAACTGAATTCCGACCCAAATAAATTTAATATATATATATTTTTTTAATCACAAAAATTTAATATATATATGTATTAGAAATCGGATGGGAGAATTGTGTGTTTATTGACCAGTTGCAAGGCTCTATTTGTGACAAGAGATAGGCTCTACCATATCAACAATATTAAATATAAAATCAAATCAATTATATCTAAACAATTCCCTTATATTATTACTAACACTTTGTAAGATGGTGAAATGAAATTTCACTTTATGATGAGAAATTCGAGTTCTCAATGACAAATATATCTGCATGTATTACTGTGCATAAGTAACAATGATATGTATTTTAGCTGTTACATTTTATCTTCGTTTTTCATTTTTAAAATTAATTTTTTTCATATCCTTTCAAACAGATAATAGTGATTAATCTGTTCGCTAAATTATAAATATCTCGATTAGTGAGACAATAATATTCATTGCGAGATTCAAAGTTTCAAACCCTGAAAATTATATTGTTAAGGAAAGAGAAATCCTTTATACTCAATGTCCATCACAATACCTCAGATTGACATTTTAATAATCTGATCGTACTCCTTGTTCTATTTATAAGAAGTCCAATACTTGATATAACATAGCCCGCTTGATTGTGGATCATTTCTGGCCCTCGGCCCATTTAAATTCCATTTTGGCAACCATTGCCCATGGTGGGCCTTTTAATTCCCGCCTGGTCTCTCTGCATCATGGAAAGCCGTTACTAACTAATTCAGGAGCGAAGTTCAAAAATCTTGGAATCCAATGTTAAAAAGGATCATGTTTCATCAACCTTCTCAAAAAAAAAAAAAACGGGGGGGGGAGGGAAACTCAAGTAGTTATGTTCAATCATGGCTGCACACGAACTGTTTGTGTTAAAGTCGGAGAGAAAGTGAAAACTGGGCACACAGGCCACCCCCCACAAAGCAATGATCACTGTATATCATAAATGATCATCAACCTCATTCAATGCTCCCCAACTGCACAAAAGCGATGGAATTCAATTCCTGTTAGCTAACTTTGGTCCCATCACGTTGAGGTAATCTACAGTACGCCAAGTGTTTTGCCTTTTTACCTCAATCCTTTTGCTTACAGATTCTTCAGAAGAAAACGGAAAGATCTTGTCTTGGGAATCCACTTTTTCTTTTTTTAATATCCAACGTGCAAAACCCATTAAAAAAGATACTTTTTTTTTTTTTGGCTGCTTCTATTCATTCATTGATTGATTCATGAAAGACAAAATTGGATTAGGGGCCGGTTTCATTAATATCACTTGGTTTATTCCTTCATGAGTAGATGACTCCTTATGGGGTAGCTACTGTTAGTAGGATTATATTGATAAAGAATGTGGAAGCTTTGAATGTTGTGTTGGGTTTCAAAAGAAGTGGAGAATAATGAGTGGTTTAATTGTAGGTGGTGGTGTTGAGAAAACTGTTTTTATCGACAGACAAAATGGAGATTCCGGGGCACATCCACTCGCTCTTGCTCAACACAGGCGTTCTAAGAGGTTCAGTTCTTGCCGCATTTTCAGCTTTCTTCGTTGTCTGATTTGGTGTTTACAAATATTTGCATAAAGCTGGAGTAGAGAAATGAAACTTCGTTTGTGATTCCTTTCTCTATTTTCCCTTGGGTTTGGTTTTGGATTGCCTTTTTTTTTTTTTTCTAAATTGTCGAATACCGGAGAGGTTGAAGGGGACTCGGCAATTCTAGTTTTTGTCATTATGGTATAAATCAAATATCTTTTGGCCACATGTTGTTCATTATAGGTGCATTAGCATATCTTGACTTCTTTTGTCGGTAGCTTTTCTTTGCTTTTTTTATCCTTTTCTGGCACCTGGGAACTCAAATCATACAGAATTTGTTTGATGGATCAGGATTGTAGTAACTACTCTAAATATTTACAACTGAGGTGCTTTATTAGATGAATTCGACCATTGTTTTTCAGTGTCTGTTTGACATATTACTGAGACGACTTGGATGAATGTCCATCTTTGATAAAATAGCTTCCACTGGGACTGCTAGGTCAGTGACCCATGATAGTTTGTCTCTGGAGTGAAAGTTTTAGTTTCTGTGGCTAGTGTTACTGTTGAGTGATTCACTAGAGGTTATAATCCGTGTGACTGTGTCACTTACTTCCTTCTCTGCATTTAATTAGTGATGCTGTTTAGCATCTCTAGCTGCTGTCATGTAGCTTAAAACTGAACGGCTAACTGGGATGCTGCTTTTGGCAGAAAGATAGCACTGCAATGAATGTGTGTTATCGGTGTAAGATATGTTATAACTGTAATGACTCCTTGCAAGATCACATAAATGTGATTTTTAACGAAACATTTCACGATTCGGGATTACTTTTGTATTGCCTCTGTGAGCAGTTAATGTGTTCTTTGCAGTGCTTCTGACAAGAACTTTACAGTTCCACAGCAGAGCCAGTCACATCCTGAGCATAACGGTGTCAATCAACCACCTGTAAGAATGGCTATATTTTACCATCTTATTGGAACATGAAGATTGTTATAATTTCCATGTGTCTGACAACCTAATTGTTAACAGCAGGAATTACTGCCCATAACAGGAAGTTGCAGAGCAAGTACTCTTCATGGCTGTTCCATGGATGAACATAAAGATTCTGTTTCAAGACATCGTGCGTCTCTGGAAAAAGATGTAAGGATGGAGTTTTAATGTCATTTGCTACCTTAGATAAAGGGAAAAACTGCTCTTTATTGCTCGCAGAAGTTCTGCACTCTAATTATTTCAATCTGAATATCATTATTAGCGGCAATCATAACACTTAACAACATCACGGGACTCCATTGCTTTATGATCTCACAAATGTTCCCTCCTATAAAAACTATTTTGGGGATTAAGCTTAATGCTTCTAAGCTTGTCTGATCATTTTAAGAAACAAGAACATGGAAACCAAGTGAAGGTGATGTGGGCGAAATAAATTTCCATGGGAGTTACCCTTGGTTCTGCTATCTGTTTTTTTTTTTTTTTTCTTTTTGGAAAAGGTTCTGCTCTCTGTGAGTTAATCGAAAGCATTGATCCAGAATAACTGAACCTTGACAATGTACCGTACTATTAACAGGTTCACTAAAATTTCAAATAAACTTTAGCTGTTGATTTTTCTAAACAAGTTCCTTGCAGCTTATCACAAACAAGAATATAGGTCTGAACCTTTTTAACCTATTTTTTGTGCCAAAATGCCTATAACAAAGGATAAACAGTCTGCTTCATTTTGGAGAACTGGCTTATCTGCATTGGTGATTAAGTTTTCTCGTTCTGTAAGTTTCATTTGTCATCTTTGACGAACGGTTAACAATTTTTGCAGATTGAGCAATTACAATTGCGTTTACAGCAGGAGAGAACTATGCGTATGGTCCTCGAGAGAGCAATGGGTCGAGCTTCAAGCACATTATCTCCTGGGCATCATCATTTTGCTGCTCAGGTAGTTTTCCCTCACATTGTGGTTGTATTTCTAGCTGGCATTGCAATTTTATCGAGATTGAGTTGTTCTGGGCAGATGAACTTATTATGCAAGATGATGTTTTTTCCCAAAAACTAGATATTCAACCTGCATTCAAAACCTAACATGCTAAAAACATGAACAGTGCCATCAATTTAGTACTTGGAGTGCCAAGTGAAGTTCATAACTGTCCAAATGTCCAAAAAACCATGTTATTTCTTGTCATATTCGGTGAAATACCATGAATTGTGCTTCCACTGTGAGAGATATCCATGCACGTACTAACTTCCTTTTAGCTAAATTATTGCATTAAGCTATTTAGCATATCAATGGAGTTCTTATGGAATCGTAATACCTCTGAATCATTGTAACAGTTTTATTGTGTAAATTGAATAACTAACTTTGAATTAGATTGCTGAGGGTAAGCTTTCAAGCAGTCAGTTTGTGGTTTTTTTTTTTTTTTTTTTTTCTAATATCAAAATTAACGAGCAATATTTCTTGGCATGTTAGACAAAGGAGTTGTTAACAGAAATTGAGTTACTTGAAGAGGAGGTTGCAAACCGTGAGCAGCATGTTCTATCTCTATACAGGAGCATTTTTGAGCAATGTATCAGTAGGTCATCCTCTGAACAAAGCTCTGTCATGACTTCTCCGGCACATGCAAAGAATGAGCCAAGGAAACATCCAAGTATTATCTCAAGTGCTTTTTGTTCATCAAAGAAGTTCCCCTTGCGGACTTTACACGCCCTTGCTTCAATAAATGACTCAGGAAAACGGGACTTGTTGCAGTATAAGACTAGACATGCTTCACTTTTTACTGGCAAAGCCAATATCCACTTTGAGAAGCCTTGCACAGAAAATACCAAGGTAGAGATTCTATCTTCTTCAAGTTTGTGTTGTATACTCTTTTTTAGTCAACCAATCTGTCTCAGTGATTCTCTTCCTTGAACTGGTTTAGTCTCTAGAAGACTTGATTGATCCTGGACTATGGATCATCCCTTGTACCACACTGTGCAGTGTACTTGATAAGCACAGGCAATTTCTGAAAAGAAATTTGATGGATGAGTATGATTATTATTGTCCGTCAAAAGGCTTCGCACTGGTCCATGATCCTTCTCCTGGTTATCAGGCTACTTCTTGGTCAGATTTCAACATAAGTTTTAAAAGAATTCATTACATAAGATAGGAGCAGGACATTCTCATGCACTGTCATTCAATGCATATATTGATTTATGAGAACTTAATGGAGATTTTTAAAGCTATCACATGCTCAAAAATCCTATTACTCGTCAACTTCTCGATGCTGATGCTTGCTGTAAGTAATTCTGAATTTTTTCTCCTATTTTTATCACTCTCTGGATTAATTCTGATTTTTGACAGGTTCAAGAACATTCACAAACAATGAGAAGACCCTCTGTTTTGCGGACCCTAAAAGATCATCTCAACCAGTGCCCAAGCAAGTTGTCAGAGGAGATGGTCAGGTGTATGGCTGCAGTCTACTGCTGGCTTCGAAGTACAGCATCCACAAATATAGAACAAAACCGATCACCTTTGTTGTCTAGGTCATCTACGAGTGTTATACTACCTCGACGTGGTATCGCTGAGGAAAAAGATTGGCCTGGGAAATGTACAGTTGAAATATCCAATATAACAACTGATAAGAGTAACTTTTCGCATGCATCTTATGCCATCAATAATTACAGGTAATCCCCAGTTAAAGTTTCGTTAGAAGGTTGAAAAGGAGGGAAAAAAAAAGACGAGAAAATTCAGGGGTATAATGAGCTTTGTGGATTGTGATACTTATTTCATAATTTTAGTGATACTATATTGGTGTTTGATAATCAGTTCCAATATGCTGAAAAAGAATTGAGGTAATTTGGCGTGACTCTACAAGCTGCCTGGGAAATCGTTCTAGATATAGATATGTTTTACTTCTCCTGTGAGTTATGATTACATTAGGAGCTCAAATAATAATATCGTTCGAGGAAAGATATTGCGAACCACTACTATGTGAACCTTGTCTCCCTGAATAGTGCAACTCCATTGGGGATCTTGTTGCTCTTAATTCTATGATTTTCATTCCAAATATCGGTTGTGGAACTCAATACGTTTCCTTTTTCGTATTTCAGAATTTTAGTGGAACAGCTGGAAAGAGTGAATGCCAATCAGATGGAAGCTGATGCCCAGATAGCTTTTTGGATAAATATATACAATGCCTTGATTATGCATGTAATCAATAAGATACTGGTGTCTCTATTGGTTTTACTTTATTCGTGTGCATATCTTTGTTTAATTTTGTGCTTTCCTCATGTAGGCGTACCTTGCATATGGGATACCTCACAGCTCTCTCAGACGGTTAGCACTGTTTCACAAGGTAGTAACAGTAAGAGGGTATACTTCTGTGGCAGCATTAGTTTTTAAAATTTTACTTTTTTTCTCGCTTGCATGGTTGATTTTGGTGTTACATTCATCAACGTTTGACAACTGGAAAGCATTTTGATTCTGCTTTTCCTTTGTTTTTGTATCGCTGGGAAAAATTTATCAAGTGTTCCCTGAACGCATATCATTTAAGAATGAGAAAATTGATTCAGAGGAGCTAAGTGCCTCTTGGGGACTAGAACCTTTATAATTCCAGTAGAACTTTACAGAGGGCAGTGGGCCTTATCCTAATACTACTCTTTTCTTCTCAGCCCGATACAACAACCCCTCATGGAATAGAATTCACTTTTAATGAATGTAGAAACACTCAGTTCTAGTTCCAGTTAGTAGTAGAATGTTTGAGGGTAGCAACTGAATTGACAGAAAAGTAGTGTTTGGGAAAACATGTTGGCCTTCCTTTTTGCGATGGAAACTTCCTTTTAGCCACTTGGTGAATAATCATATTAATTGCCATGCTCAAATATATGAACTTTATTTGCTGATGCGGTATGTAATCCAAGTGTTTTATTTATATAAATGTATTCAATTCCTTCTATGTTCAAAGTGATGTTAACTGTTAGCTAAATTTGCTCATGTTCACCTAAAGCTTGTGCTTGAAAGCTACCTCTCACTCTCTCTCTCAACTGCAACTCTTCCCGTGGCTTGAAGTTTGATTTGTAGATGACTTTTGGGTTTTACTGTAGTGCAGGCTGCCTATAATATTTGTGGCATGGCTGTAAACGCGGATGCCATTGAACAGTCGATACTTCACTTTCGTGCTGCTCGAATTGGAAAGGTATAATTTTATACATATCGCCATAATACAGCACTATTAATATTCTTGTGAACAAATGAATATTTTGGCTTCCACTGTGTTGCATTAAAAGAAAGGATGATATGCAATGCTCATTTTGGGATCACTTCATTGGCGATTCTAACAATTATAAAGTTGCCTAAGTGTATGAGGAATTGGTTATAAGCAGGTTGTACATGCTGCTAACCATTATGATTGAATTCCAGAGTTGGCCTAAAATGAAAAGTCATTTCTGCTAATCATGATATCAGTAAGTTTTTACCATGTAATAACATGACCGAGATGCTCTTGTACAGTGGCTGGAAACTCTTGTATCAACTGCTTTAAGGAAAAAATCTTCAGAAGAAAGACATCTTATCAGCTCCAGATTTGGTCATCGAGATGCAGAGCCTCTTGTTTGTTTTGCACTTTGTACAGGAGCCTTCTCTGATCCCACGGTAATTTGAAGCTGGCTTTGTATTTCTGTTGTAATTTTGTTCCTTAAAAATAACTGAAAAGTGATGACTTATAAAGATGGATATCGATGGATGATTATCATGACATAGTTAATATTACAATCAGCTCAGTTCCTGTGGCTGCTTGGGAATCCATGGTGCAGTAACAGGCATCTGAATTCGGTTGCATTAGGAAAATATGGAGTTAGCATTTTGCTATGCAGTTCGCGGTCTTAGTTTGTATTCAATGTCCTGTTGTCCATACGTAGAACTTGATCTCACATACAAACAAGTCCAGCAGAGTGATAGAGCTTTGTTTCTTTTTCTATCTGTAGCTGAGAGTATATACAGCATCCAACATCAAAGAGGAACTGGAATCTGCCAAAAGGGAGTTCCTTCAAGCTAATATTGTCGTGAAGAAGTCGAAGAAAGTGTTTCTACCAAAAGTGCTTGAAAGATACATGAAAGAAGCCCGAATCCCAGCAGATGAACTTTTGAAGTGGATAGCGGAAAATGTTGATAAGAAGCTTCATGAGTCCATAAAGAAGTGTATAGACCGCACATCTAACCGAAAACTATCGCAGATTATCGAATGGTTGCCTTACAATCCCAGGTTTCGGTACGTTTTCGCAAAGGAGTTGACAGAGAAACCATGGTGGGTGTGAAGTTTCTCTCTTTGGGGATCTGAGGATTCTCCTACGAAAGAAAAATATCTGTTTTTCTTCTACTTGTCCATTGCTGTATGTTAGCTTGTATATACTTGTATTCATTTATTCATGAATTTGATCAAAATAAACATTGACTGTATCCTTCATCTTAGATGTCATTGTGGTGAAATTTACTGGATCTTTACCTTCATATTTCCATCTAAGCTAATTTGACCCAAAAGGAAAATAAAAATTTATGTAAATACATATAGCAAATAAAAATTTCATTTTGTAATATAAATCAATAATTACAAAATAATAGTATTATAAAAAAAAATTGTAAAAGTGATACAAAATAATGGATTGCGTAAATATAGAATAAAATGGTTCTATATCCTATCCCTCCCTCCTAATATATCGATCAATGTGTATGGGTTAGTTTTTCTCAAATGTTAAAACATACAAGATGATTAGTAATGTTTACATGAAGACTTTGTCAAAAAAAAAAAAAAAAAAATTATGAAGACATCTACGTTCTTGAAATATGTGCACAAGTCCACTCTAAGATAAAAGACAAAGTTTATCCTCAAATTCGCATATATAATTCTCGAGAAGTAGTTTCTATTTTCTACAAGAAGTTTGGTGATCCATCTCAAAAAAGTGAAAATGAGATTGAATCCCCTTTAAATGGATTAGGAGAACTAATGGAAGAACAACATTCCAAAGATCATGTCACGATATTAAACTAAGTGTGTGAAAAAGAACTAATAATGGTAAAAAAAGATAGACCTAGCAAAATGAGAAAATTATAGTAACTATTAGGGGCAGTATGATTGATTTTTTGGTTTTGCTCTTTTTTTTTTTTAAAAAAAATGACTATTCATTATAAATTTTAACTTACAGCATAATTTTATATAAAAATAGAAATTTAAAATTGAACAATTATTTAAAAGATAAAAAAACATGCAATGTAGTAGTATCTTGTAAATACATATTGTGGCAAACAAAATTATACTACCTCCGTCCTAAAAAAAATAGTCCACATTGAGTTTTCAAATTTGTATTAAAAATAATACAAATTTTAAAACTCGATGTAAATTATTTTTGTGGGACGGAAGGAAGGAGTGAATATATAACGACCCATTTGGGATGAGAATATAATAATATCACAACGGAGAAGAATTCGTTAATTAATTACTCCGACGACGGAACTCATGCGTTCAGTACGTGGCATGTGATCATCACTTTCTGAGCTCACGTCTTTTTTCTTTTTCTTTTTCTTTTTTTTTTTTTTTTTTGAAAGTGAGTTGTTTGATGATTAAACAAATGTCACGATGTACATCAGTTTCTCTGGGGCTTTATTAATACAGTTTGTTGAGTAAATCTAATCTCACCTTGTGTCACGGCCTCCATTCCCTTTCCCTTCCTCTTACATTTCTTCACCTTTTGTTTTTTTTTTTTAAATGATTTTCTATTGCCCATTTGCCAATTAAAAGTTCATAAATTTTTAAAATATTATTCAGTTTAGAATTTTAATTTTAGTACAATATGAACCTAAAAAAGGTCAAAATAAACAATTATTTCGAAATAAAAAAAGTATATTTTAAACAAATTTTTAAAAAATACTGTGAATTATTCTTTTACGTAGACATAAATTTATATAAGCTTATTAAAAGTTCAAAACTATGAAAAAGTTCATCACCTTATTTAGTAATAAAGTTTAAATAAGGCGCGCAGGCATTTGACCAACTCTAGGTCATCTTTTTTTTTTTTTTTTTCCCTTCTGCCATTTATTTATAATTTTGTTTCGGATAAGTCTCTTCTTTAAGAACGATCTATAAAAAAGAGAGTGACCATTAACTTGAATTTCGACAAATCATCATCCATCAATCTCATTTTAAAGTAGCACGTTAATTTACCATGGTTATAATAATAATCAAAATAAAACTTAAACTTCAACTTTTAAGTGTGAGTCTAACAAGCGCGACAAAATAATTGACTTGGTGAAGTTATTATTCCTCTAACATCTAAAACGTTTTTAACTTATTTAACCAGCATCCACCTCAATTTTGGAGCTATTTAGCTTGGACTTGTGTATTGTATTATTCAGGGAATATCATGTCAATAATCATCGTAATCAGTTGGCACAAGGCAATCACCAAAAGAAATTAATAATATTAATTAATCAAACATGACAGGAGAGGTTACTACACCCATTAAACAAGAAATTTGTAGCATTTCAGGTAGAAAGATTCTTATAATACTTTCAGGAAGTGTTTACTCACTTTACTTACACCACTAAAGTTCATTAATGTTGTAGTGTTATATTATAATTACTAGTTAGATCGAACGCGCTTCGCGCGTACTCAATATATTATTTGACCAGCAATGAATATAAGTGTCAAAAATTTATTGGAATCTATAATCATAAACCTAAAATTAGAGGACTTATACAAATATGCCCAAAAGAAAGTAGAACATCTTTTTCTAGCCTTCTATAATTAATAATGTAAGTTCATAGTTGATTTGAATATCAGTGACAATTTAGGGTTGTCATTTTAGATCTTAGGAAATGTGACTCAGGAATGCGGCTTTTCTAGGTTGAGTATGTTTTGCGGGCCTTCATAGAAATAGTTATAAAATCACTATAATTTCACTTTATTGTTACGATTGTGAATCCAAGTACTCTTTATTCTAAAACTATTATACAGTTTGAGATTTTGATTTTAGTACAATTGAAAGTAAAATTAAAATTTTAAATTAGACTATAATTTTAGGATGGAAGAAATATTAACAAATATTTCATTGTTAAAATATTTGGTAGGTGATTTTTTGAATATATAACGAAAATAACTCATCAACTCATGTACTTTATCTAATAGACAAATACTTATTAACAAGTAATATGCACCAACAAAGTAGAAACACCTCTGATGTCATATATTCCGCATGATCGTTGTTTACAACCTCTCATTGAACAAAATATCAAGAAATCAATGTTTTCAATTATTTCAAACACATCTGTTAACCAACATCCAGAGAGTGCCATAAAATTGATTTTCTATAATTTCTGTGACTTTCTAGATTTGGCAAAAATTACAACATTTTGAGTCATTTCACACGAAATGATTATCTGATTTATATTTTTATTTCTATAATAAATTATATTAATAATGAAAATTTTAAAAATAAAAATTAAATTTAGATAATCATTTTGGGACCGATGTGAATGGAGAATTCGGGATAAGAAAGTTGCGATCAGAGTGAACAAAAACCATACATAATAAAACTTCCAACCCCTGAAAGCCAAATAAAGGTCCCAGTAAAGAAAAATGGCAATGAATTGGAGTTGCAGTAACTTGGACATGAAAATATATATGAAAGAATCCATATAGTGGATTTTACTTGAACGGGCCAACCAATAAACTTAAGAAAATTTTCAGCAAAATAAAATAAAATAAAATAAAATAAACCTAAGAAAATCTAGTCCAAATAAAGAACACACCACTCGTTGTAGTTTGACCTTAATAAAACATATCAATAACATCAACAATATTGATTCTTTGATTATTCTAGTGGAATAGGCATCAACAAAAGTTGCAATTAATCTCTATGTTGTACACGGATTCGAGAAGCTTTCCCGAAAAAATTATCGTCTCCGGATCAATCTACAACAAAAAATGATTCTAAGATTTGAATCTTACCTTGACACCCCGTGCATCAACTCCATAATCAGGCCTTTAGGTTGTCATTATGCAAAACATGCTACTTTCTCCGTCTCAAAATATCTGATTATTTTTTGAGACGGGAGTGTGAAAAATGTAAATAAAACATGGATTTATTATAAGATTAAAGAACAAAAACCATATATATATAAAAGTGCATCAAACTCCTTTGCTCATCATATGGCTTCCATCCAATCCGCCGCCAATTGAAAAGAATTTCGTGGTGCATAAATCTAGGGAGAAGAAGAGCTGGAGCTTGAGAAAACATTTGCAACAAGTCTACATATAAGAAGGTAATGAATTAAACGACTTTTAAAGATGCGAAACGTGCACCAGCTTTGATGAGCATTTACTGAGGAGGCCATTGAGCTTCTTCCCTTTGATTACTATTGAGGAGAAGTGTTAAGGACTACGGACAGTTAAAAAAAAAAAGAATTTAATGAATAATTAAGGCGTTCATTTATTCATTAAATCTTCATTTGAAATGATACCGTTTGACACCACTAAATTTGGAGAGAAACTGGCTAATTATATATATGGTAGAGAAAAAATAAAAATTATACATGTAATAAAGAATACTTTACGAGTGTTGTACCAAAAGTGATAAGTAAGATTTGAAGTGCAATTAATGGTTGGTTAGTAGTATGCTATTATTTAATAAGAATTACAGCTGGAGTATAGCATGTTTGTAAGGACGTATTCACGTAGTATGTATCATTGATTTAAGTAACAAAATTCTCTCGTATGATTGTCCCCCCTTTTTTTTATTTTTTGTCTCATTTTACTTCTTAACACAAAACTCAATGCACTATCCGAACAATATTTTAATTTATCTTTTAAAATATTGCGTTTGGTCATTACACTAAAATTTTCACTTTGGTCACTGAATACTATTATAAATTCTTTATTCATTTTGACACTGAAGTATTGTAAAGTCTTACGTTTGGTCATTGAACCATTGTAAAGTTTTACATTTGGACATTTTACTATTGTAAAGTTTTTATTTGGCCACTGAACTATTTTAATTTTATAAATGGTCACTATACTATAATACTTTCTAAATCGAAAACTAAACTACATTTTAAATTTCATCCCAAATCTAAATAAAAACTAAAACAAAACGTTATCCAAACACCAGCAACTATTTCAAAACTTACACAGACATTCCAATTTAACTTCTAAGTAAAAGTAGCTCCAATCTTTTACCATACAAGTTTTGTAATGGATTGTTGTTTACAAAATAATAATCTCTAATTTTCTATTTTTGTTGAAAAGTACCCGTAACAGTTTTTTTTTTATCAAAATATATTATTCTAAAGCTGGATTGGACGAATCTAGTTTTCTCCTATTTATTTTTTTATGGACAAAAGTATTTCTTTTAGATTTGCCAAATCCGAAAGTATGGTGAATTTAGATTTCGGAAATCGAAAGTAAGGTAGAACCATATCTGAATCATGTATATCTATCTTTGAAGTAATCGGCTAAATTCGGACTTTTGGATTTCTGAAATCCGAATTTCTTATAGGGAAAATTTTGATGAAGGGCATTGGAAAGATGGTTATTATTATAAAGGGCATGTTCCTCATTAATTCATTATAATATGAATACTAAAATAATTTTAGTAATTTGAGATTAACCAAATGACTGCTTTAACCTTTATTGCAGAAGTGGTGGTGATGAATCATGACTCACGAGTGACTCCGTCAAAATTTGACCGGAAAAAGTGTACACGCTGAAAATTCAGATCATCGAATTCTAGAATCCATTAGATGTGATATTCTAATTGTAAACAGAAAACATTCTTCTTCCCTTCTCCTTTTTGGTTTTTTTCTTTTCCCTTTTGTTTTTTCTTCTTTTAATTAATTTCACATAGTTTAACCCAATTCCTGAATTGGGAGTAGCCAAAGTGATCTAGAAATTATGAAAATTTGAGCGAACTAGCATTACCATGCTGCATCACTAGCAAACTCGAGAAGTATATCTAGTTCTTGAAGCACCAATTCTACACCTCAAAATAAATTCTGATTTTGAAAATTAATTTGCATTCTTTTGCAAAATAAAGTTTTGCATCTCCATCATCCGGTATTTTTAATGGCAAAAAAAGAGAAATAGATCAAGGACTAAGGAAAATTAGATTAGATGGAGAGGGGAATAGGCCTGTATGAAATGTTCCATACTTTGATTCGCACGGGAATTTAAGCATTCATGATTGCCGATTTTTGGCATTAGTTAGAAGACAACTCCTATGATGGAAAACTAAGGTTGTTACAGTCTTTTTAGGAGTCAAAACATATTATAAGTGTCCTAATAATATTAGTAAAAAGTAAATAAGGGTCATGCCCTTGATAATAATTATGATCCTTCCAACGCCCTTAATCAAAATTTTCCTTTTTTTTATATTAATTGAACTTTCGGATTTGGCAAATTCAAGAGAATCACTTTTTTAAAAAAAAATAAAAAATAAACAATTGAATGGTCTCAGTGAGAATTGAACTCTCGACCTCCTGGTAATAACCATCCTCCATCCTAATCCCCTAATCACCCCACCCAACCCTCTCACTCCCAAGAGAATCACTTTTGTCCACAAAAGAGAAAATTTCTTTTTGTCCACATTTTTTCAATTAATATTTTTTTTCAGAATCATCCCGCGTATTTTTAGTAACGTGACAGATAGAAAAAGATAAAATAAAAGATTATATTTTAACTAATACATTGTATTGTTACTAGTACATGAAATTATTGCTCCGATTTATACACATTTTCTAATAATCTCACCTCATTAAAGTAAAAAAAGAAAAAAACCAGTCTATACCAAGTTACCAACCATTGACCATAGGGTATAATATTATTCCATAATCTTTTCATTTCTTTCAACACTTCTTCTAGTTAGGTCCTCTTAGTAGACGACCAATCCCATGAGGCTGTCACGTTAATTAAGTCACCAACCCGTAACCCAGAACACACTAATTCCACAACACCATCACCACAGTAAAAGAGCTCCATCGGCTCCGACTTTCGTTTTGAGCCAATAAGATCCCACCACGTCACATTTATGTTCTGTTTCGCCACCTCCCAAAAATCCATTTTATTTTCAACAACAACCCCCTTTTTTCAAATTGATCGGTTCACACAGTCACACAGTGAAAAACACACAACACAAAAACACAAACACACACAGTCACACACTAAACACAAAAAAAAGAGAAAGAAAACGAATAGCAAAGCAAGCAGACCGGTCTTATCATTTTCGGCATCGTAGTGCTGATTCAAGGTTTTGATATTCTTGAGGATAGAACGGTTGAGTTTCTCAGCTGCGACGTCGTATTTGAGTTCGGTGGTCAGCTAGGGTTTCATACTTTCATTCTGCTGAGTGTGGTTTTTGGGGAAGTGGGGGGGGCCCTGGAAGATTAGTGGAACCCTAGAAATTAGGGTGTCGGGATTGTTATGAAGCAAAAGATTTTTGGGGGGAGTGTTGCTCTGCGGTGAGGATTTCATCTCCGGATGGAGGGAGGTAGCGTCTCTAGACTTACTTCTTCTGGTACTCTTCGTATTCCTCCACAGCGTTTCCCGACGCTCTCCTCGTCTTTTACTTCTTGCTTTTTGTAAATTTATCTCATGTTTGTGTTCTTCTGCTCCTGTAAACCTGTGCTGCTGGATTGTGGTTGCATTTTTGGATTTCTTTTAGTCCATTTTGACTGAAATGCTGATTTTGTTCATTAAAGGTGGTGCCTTTTTTTCTTTGTTTGAGTTTAAAAGGACTCTGTTCCAAGCAAAGAAGAAATTACTGGGGTTTTTATTTGGTGTAAAGGTGTCTGAGTGAGCTACTATTGGTAAAAAGTTAGGGCTTTTCGTTGGTTTTTGTTTTCAAGCTTAGTTATAATGTTTATTTTATTTTAGTTTGAACAGTTATTGGGATATTTGTTCCTTTCCTGTTTTCTTCTGGTGGACCATATACCTACAAGGTTAAGTTTTGAGCAGGCTTTGTTAGTTTCAGTGGTTCCTCCTGACGCCACTTGTATCGTGGTTTTTCATTGTGCTAAGATTTGTGAATAGTGGAATCGTATATCAGGATATACGAAGATGGGTTATGTCTTCTTTCTGCCGGTGTTGTTAAGGGGAAGATTTTCATTGGAAGAAGAGGAGTGCCGTTGATTGCGAAGTTGCCTGAAACTCCTTTTGTTTTTGGAAGGCATTTTTGTCTTATTTATCATGGTAGGGTGAAGCGTTTCTCGAAATAACTTTCTTCCTGGCGTTTAAAGAAGTAGCGTTGGTGCCAAGCAAGGATAATGCAGTAGCTCTATGATATCTATCTTGATTAACGTGGTTAGTTTATCGGGCTTAAGAAATGGCAGTATGCCTTGCCTGGTCTGGTTCTCTTTTAAAAAATTATTGTGGTTGGAGTAATTGCTTAATAATGTATTAGTGGGGGCATACAAAGAAAAAAAAAGTCCACTCACTGGGGTTTGTTGAAGTTTAAGGCTGTGTTTTTTAATCACTATAATTATGTATCAAGTAAAAGTATCTCCTTTGAAATAAAGTATAACAAAATTGCTTGCTTTTTCATTTCCAATACGGGCTAATTCAACCACAGTTTTATAACTAGAGAAAAACAGGATGTGATCAGACTACGATTTTGAAATGTAGGAGTTCCCCCAGCCCCTTTGTTTTGATTTGTATTTATTAGATATCCAAGACCATGCTATTTGCTTCAGCATCTGCTGCTATCAATTGATTAGTGGAAAGAAAGAAATCAAGGTCCTTCAACACAGTGTAACCATATGGGTTTTCTTCAGATGGATCCGTGAGGTAGGAGAAAAATACTTGACATGACTAATGAGAGGTGTTGTGAATTTGATGCGTGAACCAGGAAGGGTCATTTCCATTTATGACTTGGGTTGGATGCTTTAAGTTTTAGACTGGAAAAAAGTTTAGAGATACTTTGACTGGAATCTGATGAGCTTATTGAACAATGACTGTATCCTTGATGGAATTGAGGATTCAAAAATCTCAGTGCTATATTTTGGTATGCCTTATAGATCACTTCCTATTTTTCTATGGGGTTGGATTTGAGATCTGTAATTCTGTTTCAACTAAGAATTTTTGTGGTTTGTGTTCTCTAAAAAATGTTTTTGTGGTTTTTGGATTCATGACATTAATCTTAGATTCAATTTTTAAAGATTAGACAACAGTCTTTTTCTATATTTTTAAGGTATTATTTTTGTATGTTTTAGGAAATCTGAAATGTCCTTCAATTGATCTAAAAACTTTTTCATAAAACTTCCAATTCTTCGTTTTGCCTTAGCTGACCAACCTTTTCCTGGAAACTGCATGCTCCGCAGGTTGTTTAGTGGACTGCTTTTTTGCTTCGAGTTTTTTGAGAAATAATGTAATATTGTGCACTTTAGGATTGGATACTTGCTTTTTGATTGCTTCTTGATTTGAAGATGTCTTTTTCACTAGTTATTACACGTTTAGAAGCCTTTTCTTTTTAAAATCTTACTTTTATGGCAAGTAATTTTACATCAGCAAATGGATACCGTAACTTTTTATTTTTCCCTTTCGGGAAACATAGATGGCTGTAGCATTTAAAGTTTTAAAAGGGTGTGGTTTCTCTACCTTCCCTTGCTTTCTTGGTTTGATCTCACTTTTTTCCCTTTAGGCTTCTAGGATTTTAGGTAAGAAGTAGAGCTTTATCCTGAATTCTTTCCTCGAAGTTCTTGAACAAAAAATTGTTCATCTCTTAAACTTATTTTCTGTTGATGCAAACAGTGTGTAGAAATTTCATATTTCTTTCTATAAGGGTGTGGAAATATAAAGCATGTTGTGGTATTCTAGTTGTGATTCGTTGTCTTCCTTTTTTTCTTTTTATTTTCCTTGTTAGGGATATACCAATGGACAATGATGACAGTGATTATCAAGGCCCAGGTCTTCATTTAGTGGGTGAAGAAAACTCAAAAGTTTCTCCTGTTCTACGGCCATTTTCTCTCCCCAAGTTTGATTTTGATGTGGCACAAATAAGATTTGACAGTTTGGTTGAGAACGAAGTTTTTCTTGGCATTCCAAGTCAGGAAGATAATCAGTGGATTGAGGATTTTTCTCGAGGAAGTAGCGGACTAGAATTTAGTTCTGGTGCGGCTGATTCCTGCCCCATACCTAGGCATAACAATGTCTGGTCCGAGGCAACTTCATCTGAAACTGTTGAAATGCTACTAAATTCCGTGGGGCAGGAAGAAATGGTCCCTGGGGAACCTTCCATTCAAGAGTCTAATGGTGGTGATGAATTGCCTAGCTTAACCAATCAAATGAATGATAAGATGGACATTGTTAAAGACACTCATTCTGTAGCAGCACCGGTTGAAGTTGTAGGGGAAGTCTCCGAGACAAATCAATATCGAGACAAAGAGGGTAATGGTAGACGTATGTCAGAAGAAGCACAAGAGGGTGACCTTTCAGCTGGTGCTTCTAGTGAAAAAATTAGCCAAGGTCTTACACAAATAAACATTCAAGTTGAAATGTCTTGCAGTGAAAATCAAAGGGAAGAGTGCACAGTAGGTGATAACTCTTTGAAGGATCATATCCAAGATGATCCTTCTATTCCCAAGGTGGAAATTCTAGATGCTGCAGAGTCTGTGCAGGATGCTTCTGCAATCACTGAGAAGGTCCAAGCCAATTCTTCTGTCCCTGAGGTGGAAATTCAAAATGCTGAAAGACCTGTGCAAGATACTGCTCCAGTTATTGAGAAACTGGATTATCAGATTGTGGAGAGCGACTTATCTCATGAAAATGCTACTTCTCTGACAGATAATAGTATTGTGCTTCATGATGTTCCTCTCGTCGGCGAGAAAGTTAATGAAGCTTCCGCTGAAACATGTGCCAATGACTTTCATCATCCGGTTCAGGATGCACCAAGTGAGGAAAGATCGGGAGAATGTGCAGTTGAATTCACCCCTGGTGATTCACAGGAACCTTCTAGTTTGACACCTGTTGGAAATTCTAATTTACAGACCATGGAAGTACCCTTTATAGAGGTATGTTCCCTAGAGCTGATTCAGGGTGACAGATTTTACTATTAGTGGGTATCTCTAAACATGTGAAAAGGAAAATACAATATCTATACAGATGTTCGCTATCATAATGAATGCTAATTGAGCTTAGCAGCAGTAGTTTTTAATTATCTTTTTTGAGCTTTAAGAAACAATCTGATTTGCAGATATTTTATGTACAGGGTAGTTTTGCTGATGAGAAAGATGGTAATCGCGATACTGGTCATCGTAAGGTTGCAGGGCCCTCAGTGATTCTTGCGGAGGCCTCTGTGCTCTCTGAATTGCAGAATCAATCTTCTGAGCAGGGTGGACTAGCCATTATACAAGGAGATAATCTATCAGAGTCGCATATGCTGCCTGGAATGCAGGTTCAATCTGTGCAGAGTGGGCAAGCCTTCACACAAGGAAATGATCTAGCTGTTGTAAAGCAAAGTTCAATTCCTGTGGGAGATGATTCTAGTGTCATACCTCCAGATTTGAAAGATGGACGTGATATTTCTGGCATCCACAATGAGGAAACAAGTGCTCCTGTTCTTGTTCCGGCTCAGATGGATGTTAGTTCTGGAGGGATCATTGAAGAATTCTCATCTTCTAAGCATGATGATGCACATAGTCTTCTGATTCATGAGAAAGTGGCTGAAAGCACACTCTCTGACTCAGGTACACTGGAGGTTGAGTTAGTCGGCCCACTCAATGAGGGAAAGGTAGCTGCATCCTTTTTGGGTGAAGTAGCAGAAGGAAATGTTGGGACCATTCATGGATTAGAATCGGATGCCTCAAGTAAGAGTTTTATGGGTAAATTTAATTTGATATTCTTCACTGTTTTGCTCTGCAAATCTCAGGATGAACAGCCTTTTCCTTTTTCCCTTATTGTTTTAATGTTGCAGAGCCAAATTCTGAGGGGCTTGGCAACGGCAATGTGTTGCCGAAGACTATTGAGAATTCCCCTTCTGCTGTTACTGCCGCTGAGGATGTTTTGATGCACACTGGGGAGAATCAGTTGGATCAAGTTGACCAGGACAGAGAAATGCAGATTGGAACAGATGCGAAGTCTTCATTGCAGGCCTCTGGAGATGAAGTACCGCAACAGTGTCCTGATTCTGAGGCTAAAGTATCTGCAGTAGAATCATCTGATAATATTTCTGTCAAGGACTTACCAGAGGTTTGCAATCACTCTGCTGATATATTAGTGGCAGAAACATCTCTCCAAACAAACAACGCCAAGCAAGTAGTTAGTGAAACTTCTGTTGATCTCTCTGACAATAAGGAATTATCCCCTGTTCATCCTGAACTAAATACAGAATTGAAGGGAGGGGTAGAAGAAACAGAAATCCCTAAGCCTGAAGAACCTCTAAGAGAAAAAGATCATGCATCAGAATCTCAAAACACTTCAGGTTGAATCTACTTTACATTTAGTTACTGATTATGTGCTTTTTTATGCTTTGGATTTTGATCCCAAATTTATCACTCAACTTATGTTGGTTGTTTTGTTTTCTTAGTTGAAAACCGGTGACTGTTTCTAACCCTGCATCTTCTCTTTTTACGTGGAGTATTTGAGAACTTTGCTGGACTACTTAATCTGCCCTTTTGTGTAAAGTAATTTTCTTTTCTGAAAATTTCATCTGAAACTGCCTTTCTTCTGCTTTCAGGTGAAGGTATTGGTGCAGAAACTGAAAAAACCAACATTATTTCAGAAGAGGTTGTTGTTGGTCCTGGCCTTTCTCGAACTGATACTGATGAGCGAGCTGGTGTAAAGGAGGATAAAGTTGAAACTCTTTCTAGCTGCAACAGTAAAGAGGCGGCCACTAGTATGGTTTCATCGAATTCCATGGCTCCTGGAGTGAATGTTGCCTCCGAAGGGGAGAAGAGCTTCACTTTTGATATTAATCCCTTAGCAGGTGTATCTGGGGAAGAACCTAAGAAGCCTCAACAGACAACTTCTCAAATTAAAGCTCAGAAAAAATCCATGGTATATAACTCGATCAAGTTGAGTGTTCTGCTCACTTGACTTGCAATCAAAAAGAAATATTTAGTTTCTTAAAAACTTTTAAATGTTTCCCCTTCACAATTATATTTCTCCAAATGATTATTGAAGGTTCTGGATGGATCACCTTTAACATCTGGGAGCGGCCAAACGAATCCTACAGTTGTGCATGAAATCTCTCATGAAAGTCAAAAAACTCCTGGGAAAGGGGCGTCGTCAGGGACTCGCAAAGGTGCTTCAGAGAGAAAGCCAAGGCGTGGCTCTTCTAAATCTGGGAAAGAAAATGCTAGAAAAGGAAATTTTGTGAAAGAAACAGGAGGTGTTCAAGCCACACGATTTGATATGGGAAGTGTGGAACGCACTGGTGGTAAGACAGGCACAGTTCTTTCTGTTCCTGGATCCAGCTTACCAGATCTGAACACCTCAGCCACAGTATCTATACTATTTCAGCAACCTTTTACAGATCCCCAACAAGTGCAATTACGAGCCCAGATTTTGGTTTATGGTTCCATTATGTGAGTCCTGTTATGTGTTTCAAATTTCTCCGATCAAATATGCCATGCGATGTATCAGTGAAATGTAACTGTAAATTTATGCACTTGGGGGGTCCGTTTGAACCATGTAAAAGTTGGCTTGTAGTAATGCATATGTTCCTGTTATTTGGCTACATATTAATATCGAATTTGCCTGCTTCATGATGTTTGAGTATTATTTGTTAATGATAATATGCAGAATCTCCCCATTTCCTTATGTTTGAGTATTATCTGTTATAATATGCAGTGCTGAGTAGAGTTTGTGTAATATGTGGTCTATTGTGGTAGTATCATTCTCTCCATAAATGAACTATTATCTTTAGTCTTTTTCTTCTGATATCTTTTAAATGAGTTTCTGACTTTCAAAAATCATGTTGGAGCAGACAAGGAGTACCACCTGACGAGGCTTGTATGATGTCGGCATTTGGTATGTCTGATTAGTTTTAAAATTTATTTCTTGCAACTTGCTGTGAACTTTGGGTCTCTTATGAATGTCTCACGGTCTTGTTTGATAGATGGAGCCAGGAGTCTATGGGAGCCTGCTTGGCGGGCTTGTTTGGAAAGACATCATGTTCAGAAATCTCTCCCAAGCAGTTCTGGGACCCCTCTGCAATCTCGTTCAGGTAATAGTTGTAGGGTGTAACGTTGATCACTACTTAAGTGATTGTAGTGCAACTTGCATAGGGTTTGTTGTTGCTTACTTGTGTTCAAATTGTCACCTCAGGTCTTAAACCTTTGGATCAAGGGAAGAAACAAGGGTCCAGTCTAAGTAAAGTGGTTTCCACACCCGCTGGTCGAGTGAGCAGCAAGAGTACCCCTTCACCAGCTGTCACTCCTATGATTCCTCTTTCGTCACCATTATGGAACATATCTACACCCTCTGGTGACGTACCATCCAACAACTTGGTGAGAGGTGCTGTTCTTGATTATGCAACACTTTCTCCTCTGCATGCTTATCAGACACCAAATGTCCGTAATTTTCCTGGGCATACTAGTACCTGGCCATCACAGGCCCCCTTCCCAGGTTCCTTGGTTTCTTCGGTGCAGACTTCTGCTGCTGATGTTCGGTTTACTTCTCAGCCCGTCGCAGAAATTTCAAAACTTATCCCAAGCACGGAACCTTCTGTTGCTATTTCGTCCACTGTGAAATCTACACCTGCCAATCCCATTGCTCATGGTGGGGGTTCTGGTGTCCTTTCCGGATCATCTTCCCTGCCTGATGTGGCAAAGGTTAGTGTCACCGCGCAACCTTCTTCTGAGAAAAGATCTAGAAAGCGGAAAAAGAATTCTGTTGGTGAGGATCTTGGACAGATTGCAGTGCCTTTACCTCTCATGGGAACTGTTTCTACCCCTGGAACAACTAAAGATGCTCCAAGAAAAGCTGATGTGGCTGTTGATGTGAGCCTGGGTGTTTTAGTCAGCAGAAGCGACACAGAAGTTGCATCTCATCCTGCTCCGACATCCCATTTCTCTACATCGGTTGCTGTTTCCACCCCGTCCAACTTTGTATTAAATAGTTCGGATAAATCTCTTGCAGCTATTTCTCCAGTTTCCTCTGTTGACCACACAAAAGTAGGGAATTCTACCATTGGAAAGAGTCCTCTGAAAGCAGAAGATATTGCTAAAGTTCAAGAAGCTAAACTACAAGCAGAAGAGGCTGCTGGGCATGCTGCTATAGCTGTTACACATTGCCAGAATGTGTGGTGCCAATTGGATAAGCATAAAAATTCTGGTCTGATGTCAGATGTTGAGGCTAAGGTAGCATCTGCTGCTGTTGTCATTGCAGCTTCTGCTTCTATTGCTAAAGCAGCTGCTGCAGCTGCTAAAATTGCTTCAAATGTTGCTCTGCAAGCGAAATTGCTGGTGGATGAAACACTGATTTCCAATGGAACCCAAAAATCTGCACAAGCAGACTTAATATCTGTCCCCAGTATGGTAAACATGGGAAATGCAACTCCTGCATCCATTTTAAAGGTTGGTGATGGAAGCAATGGTTCCAGCTCAATCATATTTGCTGCGAGGGAAGCTGCTAGAAAGAAAATTGAGGCTGCTTCAGCTGCTGCAAGGCATGCTGAGAATTTGGAAGCCATAGTGAAAGCTGCAGAGTTGGCGGCAGAAGCTGTGTCACAGGCAGGGAAAGTGGTTGCTATGGGTGATCCTCTGCCCATAGATAAATTAGTAGAGGCTGGCCCGGAAGGTTTCCTGAAAGGTTCAAAGTCACCTTCTGGACAAGGTGCTAAACCAAATGTTGTAGGAAACATTTCAAATACGAATAGCATTCAGGAATTGGCAGATGCTGTTGTGGGGCAACCTGAAATACAATCAAGTAAGGATGCTAGAATTCAAAACTCTTCTCCTTTACCGCCAGAGATATCCAAAAACTTGGTGGAAGATCCAACAAAGGGAATTGAGGCGGTTTCCCCATCTGTTACTCGTAGTGGAAAAGACTTGAGAGGGCAAAAGGGTCGTAAACCTTCTAGTTTGAATAAGACGCCAGGTGTGGCTCCTGAGTCAGATATATCCAGATCGGCTGCCTATGAAACTGCTGTCACTTCAAATGATAGTGGGGGAATAAAAGAAGGTTGCCTTGTTGAGGTATGTCCTTAAAGCTTTCTGGCGATCTGCTATTGGACTCAAGATGCTGTATAGTCTGTTTGGTCATGTCATTTACTTTATTAATGCCTTATTACATGTTTTTTTTTTCCTTTCTAATTCTCTTTTTAGCTTGCATTGTTCTTAGACTTGTTAATACATCAGATAAGCTGTGGTTAATTATCATAATTTTCTCGGCACCTTTTGTGGAACCTGTGGTTCTCCAGGTATTCAAAGACAATGGAGATTTTACTGGAGCTTGGTTTTCTGCCAATGTACTGAGTCTTAAGGGTGGAAAAGCTTCAGTTTCTTACACTGATTTGGATTCTGTTGACGGTAAGCTACCTACGCTGTTGTCAAACCTGATGCCCTTGATTCATGTTAGAGATATTTGGCCCATTCAATATGATTTGTTTGTTTCCTTGCTGATGAGAGTTGGGAAAGCAAAAGTATAAATTTTCAAATAATTCTTGTTTTGAACAATGCATTGTAGAGTCTGGAAAGCTTAAAGAGTGGGTACCTCTTGGAGCAGATGGGAGTAAACCACCCAGAATAAGACTTCCCCATCCTATGACTATCGTGTTGTATGAAGGGGCAAGGAAGAGACGGAGGGCAGAAAACAGAGAATATACTTGGTCTATTGGAGAAAGAGTTGATGCATGGATTGAAAATGGGTATGATTCCTATTAAACCTCACCATTAGTTGTCATCATGATGATTGTCCTGTCTTTATGAGTGCAGGTGCTCTTTTCTATTTTGGAAAGTAAATTTTGACTGTCCCAAACAGTAATTTTTTTGATGTGAACTATTGCTCTTGTAGGGAAGAGATTCTGTTCATTAGATGTTTAGGGGAGTTAAGCACAAATAAATTTTTTGATGTTATGAAACTTCGGTACTCTAAATGGCAATTTTCAATTGTTTTGCGGTGATTTTGAAAAGCACGAATAATATCCTCTATTCATTGCCTTTTCGATGTGTTTCAGCTGGCGCGAAGGGGTAATACTTGAAAAGAACAAAAAGGACGAAACTACGTTGAGCATTCACTTTCCAGGTGGCTCTTACTTCGAACACACCTTTTCATTTTGTCATTATTATTATCATCATCATTATTATTATTATTATTATTATTTTTTTTACCAATAATAATTTTTATTATTGTTGTTGTTGCTGTTGTTGTGGGAAGTCTTATAGTATTTTGTCTGTGCAGCTCAAGGGAAAACATCTGATGTCAAAGCTTGGCATCTGCGGCCAACACTTGTATGGAAGGATGGTGATTGGATCGAGTGTTCAAATTTCAGAGAGTCTCTGAAGGTTCAATTCGTATAACTTATGGTTTAGCATGTGGTTGGTATAATTATTTTAACCTTGTCATATTTACTTTTATTTTCAGGGAGATACACCTCAGGAGAAGCGACTTAAGATGGGAAGTCCTCCAGTTGAGAGCAAAGGGAAGGCAAAATTATCAAAAAGTATAGACTTCTCTGAAACAGGGAAAAGTGAGGAGTCAAGGTTGCTTCCGTTATCTGCTAATGAGAAGATATTTAATATTGGTAATACCAAGAACGACAAGAAGCCTGAGACACTTAGAACTATGCGGTCTGGATTGCAGAAAGAAGGCTCTAAAGTTATTTTTGGTGTTCCTAAGCCTGGGAAGAAAAGGAAATTTATGGATGTTAGCAAGCATTATGTTTCCGAACATAGCAGCAAAAATAACGTTCCCAGTGACTCTGAGAAGTTTACGAAGTATCTGATGCCACAAGGACCAGGATCACGTGGCTGGAAGATTAATTCGAAAGTTGATCCAAAGGAGAAGCAAGTTGCTGCGGAATCTAATAGTAGACCCAAGGGGCTGAAGCCTGGAAAACATCCGAATTTGTCCAGTAGAGCAGTACCTCAGAAGAATAATTCTGTTGCATCGTCAGTATCTTCTTTGAAGGATCGAACCAGTAATGACGACAACGAATCAAGTCAGCAGAATGTGAGTGAATTTGTTTCCACTTCTAATAATGAGGAGGCATCTGAAGACGAAACATTACTGCCTGTTGCTGCAAAGAGAGCAGCCAAACCGAACGCCAGACCTGAGCGAATGAGGAAAGGAAGGCTTGCGCCCACTGTTGGGAAGTTAGCCAAGGTTGAGGTCAAGGATAAATCTATTCCTGAAGCTGCTGAACCCCGTAGGTCAAATCGCAGAATTCAGCCTACTTCAAGGGTAAGTTGTAGTCTGAATTTAGTTTTTCTCTGTTCATTAACTGCAATATCAACTTCTGTTAGATTTTCTTTACTGTAATATTGGGGAAGGAATGCTTATAAATGTTGGGAGTGTGGTGCCTTCAGAGTTGTGTTATTTGATTACATTGTGTTGTGCCTTTTCAGCTGAATAAATTCAGGCTGATTGGGTAGGAATTGATGATGATGATGCTCTTGTCGGTATCTTAAATTTATTTATGATTCAACAGTCACTCTGCTTCAAGGATTTATGTGAGTAAACAGATTTCCCGGCATTCTATATGCCTCAGGTTATGATATGCTGGCATTTAAAGTTAGCAACTTCTGTATTTGACAAACTTTATCCATGTAAAACTGGCATGCCCTTGCAAGTTTCCATTGATTTGATTAGTTGTTTGATCCGCTGATAAGCAAACAACTAGCAGGCAGTATTTGTAGCTTTTCAATTTTGTATGTAAATCACCGTTTCTGTTTGGATTATTGTTAATGTATTCTTAACATGGGCAATTACAGCATTTCCATTCTATGTGGATCTCTTGAAATGTTAATTGATGTGCCCATCTGGTGTTAGACATTTTATCTTGTCAGTTGACTTGGGATTTTTGCTGATCCAATAATTGTTGTTGGTATGTCTGTCATGTGTAGCTGTTGGAAGGATTACAGAGTTCGCTTCTTATCCCCAAGATGCCACCTGTTTCACATGACAAAAACCAGAAAAACAATAGCAGAGGCTTACCTAGAGGTAACGAAGTTTTCTGCCATTCTTCTCTCTTTTCATCTTGGACATCCCATCCCCTGTCACCAAAGCGGTGAAATCATTGCTTCGTCTAACGTGATCGCCCCTATTGTGACAGGGAGTGCCTAGCTGAAAGTAATTTAACGGAATGGGTTCTCTTTCAGAGGGATCCTTGGTGACCAGCAAATGCGTTAAATCTTGAAGGATACTCGGAATATTTTTTTAAATAATATGAATACCATTGTGGGTAGTATTGCATCTGGGGATGTTGATGTTAGGAGTCGCCTGGTTCTCGATGTAAAATTTAGTTAGTAACTGTTAATATTGATTTAGCTTACAGAAGTTGTGTTAGCTGTAACAATACCCATGGGTAGGCTGTAAATCAAAAGTTTTATCAAGTAGTTTCTTGTTTTTGGGTGGTAAATTCTACCCCGTTTTGGACTAGTGGCCTTTTAAAAAGTTTATTGTGCAAAATGCACTACAGCTGCTTTAATTACCCAGTTTTCAGATTTTGCAGTATTTTTGGTTTCATGAGTAGGCAAAGAATTCTGCATCCTATCAGTCATAGCATGCTAGTGAACTGGGTTGTCTTGGAAAGAAGAGTACCAGTGAAGGTCCCTGCCAAAGTAGCGGTAATTCTTTATCCAGCAAGATCAACAAACAGGCTTGTCTAGGACGGAGGAAGAACTTAACATGTTGATGTCTCACATGCCAAAACCAAACCGAATTAGAGGAATTGCATTTCAATGATTCTGGCTGGGAAAAATGGACTAGGATAGCCACTGAACTCCAGAAAATTTGGGTTAATAAAAGAGAAGCCATTGCTGTTTGTGGCATCAAGTTCGGTTGTTTTTTCTTTCCTATAAACTGCAAAACTTAATTTAATATATATGAACAATTGCAATACACGCGAGAGATATATATATTTCCTATACATAAAGCCTTAATCATCTTGTGATCAGAATGTTATGATGATGACGACAACCTGCCTCATATAAGCAGTTACCACAGCCCAGAAACTAATGAGGTCGTACTATGTTCTAATAGGCTAAAAATGCGTGGTATACAAGCGAAGACCTTTTAGTCTGACAGAAAGTTGTCGTGGTCGGTTTCATCCGCTAGGGATCCTGGCCCCTTGGCCTTTAGTGTTTTTGTTACTTCATTCTCACTCTGATTGTTTCTAATGAATGCATACCGTGGTTTTGCCAAGGCATTGGTATTGTTGGTGGCTTCTAAAGGCTGATCTTCATCGTCATTCTCTGTGGTATTAGTACGGTGGAAAGGTTTCTGGCAAATGCAAGCAGAAGGATATTCGTGGAACTCCCCGCGACCTGGTTTTATCTCATCAGGTTCTCCCATGAATCCCCTTTGGCATGATTTGACTTTTTTGGCAAACGTATCCCACGCCATCTTCTCTCGTGCCATAAACAATGCGCTAAGCCTTTTTGCATTTGGCCTGATAGTCCGCTTGTGTCCCATGTACCGCCTGTGACATTAAAAGAGTATAAATATGCGAAAGATTGAAAAAAAAAAAAGGTGCTCAAAGAACAATGACAGTATGGAAAGTTTCATCATATACTGATTTTTGCTATTACCTCCGACCAGCTAAGATCTTTGCCATATTCCCATTGTTGTTAGTGATGAAGACATCACTTTCATCGCAAACAATGTAATCTAGGGCAGCAAGACGAGAAGAAAAGGGGAGAAACGGTTTCAACTCTTCGCTAGCCAGCATGTCCTTTGTGTAGAAGTTCGGAAAGAGCTCTCTCAGTGGTCTCAAAGTTTCCTCGCCACCATAGATTTCACCAGATGCAACATAAAGATATGTGTCATTCGTAAACCCAAGCGCACGAAGCATCAGACCCACTTCATGAGGAGTGAGTGGGCATTTCCCTCGTGACCGCTCCTCGTCGGGACTCATTTCCTGTAGCAATTTACAAAAACTAAGAAACTGCATCTTTTTCTTTTTCCATGAAAATCACAAAAGGAGACATCCAATTGAAGGTTTTACGCAACGAGATGCCTATAGTGCCAGTTACTCAGAGGTGCAAGTTCTCGTTTGACAACCTTGAAAGTATTTTTTCTCGAAAACTGTGTATCCATAAGTACTTTAAGCAGATGGTCCCAAATCCAGGTCAACAATCGATTATGTTAGGTTGACAACTAGGAATAAAGTCTTCACATTTTAAGAATATCGATCATATTGAAAAGGTCGGGTTGTTGACATCATCCTTTCAGTGAAGAAATACATTTCTGGAAACTCTAAACAGGATGATCGGTTTAGGTATGCCAGGGCACAAACTTGACCACACACATGTATAAAGTGAGAAGGGAGAAATATCTCACAGGTAATGTCTCCCACCGTTTCCTGATCTCTCCGAGCTCATATCGTTCTTTATCTCCTCCACCATAGTAACATCCAGAGAAAGCTAGCATATCAGGTTCAAACCTGTCCATTTGAACATGCAAAATATGAAATGCCAGTTACAAAGATTATAAGTACCAAAATACCAAAGAATATTTGTTTCACACGAAAATAACAATAGTTTCCAATTTTAAGGACAAACAAAAAAGAGCTATTATGACATAAGAGAGCAGAAGCGTGATCTACTTCATAACTTCTTATCAGTCCGTACCAAAATGCTAATGACTTTATGACTCTGAACGTTACATTCCCAAAGATACACGAGTGCAGCACGTCTTCCCGTCCCCCATTTCTCCAAAGCCTTAGGCTGTTTTATTTTCTGACCAAAATTAATTCTAGAATAACTCTTCCCTGAAGGAACATTGCATTTTACCAGATTTTAGATTAAATTTTAAACAAAATGCCCAATAAGTTTCAAAACAAGTCTTCATAACATAAGTTGTAAAGTTCACAGCATTTGTGATTCGTCAATCACTTGCATGGAAAAGATTGCTGTCTAAAAGATTAATCTTGTTTGTGTTTGAACATTAAACATTATAATAAAAATTCCCACTATATGATGATCTTTCAACCTAAAAATGTCAGGTCAAACACGTGTATAACAAAAATCAAAAGAACCATAAAACTAAAATATTTTGATCATATCACGTAGCTTCCTACAAAAGACAGCTTCACATAGGTATGTAGGAGGAAAATATTTTCAGTTCCACCAATGAAATTTTCAATTTTGAATGTTACCAGTGAGATCATTTATCAAGAGCCAAACAAAGTTTCATGCTAACAAAATTTTTGAATGTTGCAAGTAGCAGTCCCTTCAAGTGGCTACGACATTTGATCAATGAAACGGGAAAGTTTACAATTTCACAATCAACAAAATTAAATGGACAATAATTTCACAAAAAATGCAAGCAATCATCATAGAAATTGAACCAATTGATTTTTTATCTGAAGGGTGTTAACTTCAATCACACTTGATTCTACGGAAAACTGGAGGAGTTATTATTTCCATACAGGAATAACAAACCTTAAGTGAACAGCTATATAACGTTTGGCCATCTTCCGCATTCGTGTAACAAGTTTCTGACCAAGGTTCCTAATAGGTTTAATAAATCTCAGAGCATGATAATTCACCCGGCACCTTAATTTCTGTAGCTCATCATCAAGGTCATTAGCCAGCCGATAATCAAATTTTGTCAACTGAACAACCTGCAAATAATCAAACCCAAAATTCATTGCAGTGAGATAAAGGTTTGTTGCTGTATTTAATGCAGAACCCAAACAAAAGTGTATCTCAAATACAGAATTTAATCCATTAGCATGCTTTTGATCCCAAGTCTTCTCTAGATATATGAACGGTCAATATTGGTTTCATGATTATTATTTGGCAACTGAAGAAAACCATTAACATCAGTTGGTAAATGGTGGAAATAGATCTAAACTATCAGAGATCAACTACACAATTCTAAGCCAGATAAAGAAAACATTGAAATAAATTACTGCTGAGAACGATAGAGCTTTCTCCAGCAACTTAAACATCACATGCGCTGTATTATTATCGAGAGGTTTAAGGTCATCATTGCAGTCAGCTTCAAACTAGCTCATAAACAATTCAGGAAAAACTGCGTGTACCATCTACTGTACACTAAATTCATTTAAATGCAAGAAAAAGATTCAGACTTGTGCCTTCCGGTGGTTGATCAAGATTCATGACACTTATTGTCTAGACTAGTTCATTTACGCCTTTGCTGTAGAAGAAGCATTATTTTACAGCAATTTAGATAAATACATAAAACATCTTAAGTTCTTCAAATGAAGTGGCATGTTAATGCTATGACCAGAAAGAACTAGAAAAAAGAACTAAGTAAAAGCAAACTCTGATGCTTAACATAATTTGGAAACTTACACGTCTTCTCAAGAGTATAGGTAAAACTTGATCAAGATAATATTCAGGTTCTGATTTCCTGGGTACACGCATTGTGTAGGGAGGTTTGTCCATTGATCTCATGACCTTTTCTGGAACCCTTTTAACTATAGGTACATCCTTTGCAAGGTAAGAGATGAACCAATCAACATCGAATATGTTTAAGAAGTCACTGCATAATGAAATAAAGCATATTATAAAAAAACACGGAATAGTAGTTTATCTTAACCATACATCATTCTATCCATGTGGTAGGTTCCTTGACAGAAGAGAAAAATAACTTTAGTACAAAGCCTGTTTCACTTGAGGGAACGTTTCAGATAATCTAAGCATTTTCTGCATGTAGTATTTAAAGTTTCTGCATGCAACAATTATTCCCTGCATAGTCCAACAATATTCACCCAAAAAAACAGGATGATAGGAAGCGACTTTCCAGAAAAGGTAACATACACACAAACAGAAGAACTTTTAATTTCCCCATTTTCTTCTCAAAGAAGAACAATACTACAGGTAGATAAAGATTTATGTACTCAAGGAATAATCATATAACAGAAATCTGTGCCCACCTATCGTCCTTCCAAAAAGAGTGGTGATCCAACTCTGGAACAACCAACGTGGCATTAAGAATCCGTGCAACAACAACTGCATCTGTTATCTGAGGAAAAGAGAAAATTTTGTAACATTAGATTACTGAAAAACACAAACAGAGTCAACATAAATTCAGACGGGACTTCGAAACAAATGAGTGGACAAAGTTGACACCAAAAATGATGAACAAACTTACTCCTGTCCTCTGCTGGTTGAGCCCGCCACTAGTTGCAATAAGTAAATACCCATTGGACGATCGTTGACGAACAGCAGCTACATCCATGAAACGGGGCATATAAATTTAACCAATCAATAAGTTCACAGAAGCACAAAATATCGTAAACAATATCGACCTGTTACTATAATAGAATAAGTGCTAAACATCATCGAAAACTGCTATTTCTCTGACATCACAACTACAAGAGATAAGGCTGGCCAACTTACGAGTAAAATCACGTCCTCTTTCACTGCATCCAAAGTAGAAGCTGGAGTATTTTGATTTCCAAATATCAACTTCGGGACGAGTATTCCCAGTCTGCTCAGACACCAACGAACAAAACAAACTCTTAGTTACGAAACTACTCTTCCAAGAATAGACCACATATCATTTGAATAACACCAGACAAACAACTGACAGTAACATAAATCCCGAAAAAAAAAAAAAAAACCTGATTTAAAGGTCTATATACTTAAGGAATGCAGCAGTCTAGGTTATTTTTATTCATCAAGGGATAGCAACTAGATTAGTGACTTCTTTAAGAGAAAGAGCCAGAGAAGATGCTAGGTCTGGATTAACAAACCCTTGATCACGAAAATAATCATCTCTACACAAACTAAATCCATCTCTAATGGGAGTAGGCAAGAAGCCTTTTCTCTGGAAATATTTGAGAGGAGATTGAGCTGCAAACTTCCATGAACCCAAACAAATTAAAGAATGTACATTCAAGTAAGGTAATAAATACCAGCATTCACAAACAACACCCTGTAAAAAAACCTCAAACCAATACAAAACAGGAGTAGCCAGCTGGAAGAAAAAGACAAGCTACAGTTCAAATTGCATCCAATGTTGTACTATAAGCCTTCCTGAACTCTTCCCTACCATGAAAAGTGTAAAACAACAAGATATATCTTAAAATTACAAAGGTTCAGAAGGTCTTAAAAAGAGCATTGAGACATAATTCCAAGACAAATCAGCAAAAAAGAATTTTCTTTTAAACAAAATTACCACTAAACCCTGTTAACCACATTTATGCTGCAATCACCCCCCAAATGAACCAAACAAATATTTAAACTTTAACAGAAATCCAGGTGAGAGAGACAGAAAACCAACCTAGCCTAAAAGAATTACTAATAGTTAGAAAAACTCGAAAATTAATTAACCTCTTGAACAGAAAAATATGGATGAGGATTGAAAAGTAATTACCAGCTTGTAATAAAGGGTTCGCTTAACAAGGCGCTGAGAGTACCATTCAAGATCAGAGGCCAAATGTCCAGTGAAGAGAGATATCAACCCAACAGCAAAAAGCAAAACCCCACAAACCTTCACTGACCAAGAGATCTTTGGTTTCCTCCCCGTTGTAGTAGTATTAGAATTTAGCCATGGCCTCCACCATTTCCATGAAAACCAATGCTGCTCCACAATAGTGGGCTTCTGCTTCTCCTTATCATCACTAACACCATTACTAGAAAGATTTGGGTTTTTATCAAAATCATAAAAAAGGGTCAAATTTTTCACTAAAACTCCACCATTATACTTCCCTGCCTTGTTTGCCACACCCATGGCTTCTTCTTCTCCTTCCTTCCCTCCCCACAACTACTTTTCCTACTACAAGCAATTAAACTACATTCACAATTTTCACCTTCCAACACTGACAATTTCCCCCCTTTTGTCATTACTAACAATAATTACATCACCCACATGTACTCCCATGCAGAATTCCTGGGTTCCTCCAATTAAATGCTAAATCCACCACCCCTCCAAAAACCCTAAAATTGAGAATTAAATTCAGGGTTCGTCTTTTTCTGGGCTATTCTCCACCGCTACTGATGGGATTTGAAGAGAATGGGAATTCACTGTGTAGTGTTTGAAATTGTGGGTCAGTTTTATGGAGCCTCTGTTCCCAATTTTTTTTTTTTTTCTTTCTTTCTTTCTTGGAGGGTCTGCAGAAACTCACTATGGAAAGCGATTCAATGTGTATGTGTTTGTGTGTTCAGTCAAAAAAGTGAAAATTGAGTTATGATGTTGGTCGGACTGGGACCGGGGATTGAGGGGAGAGTGAAAATGGTTGCAACTGTAGATCAATCTGAAGTTTTTTCTTCTTCTTCTTCTTCTTTTTTTTTAACTTACGTTGATCCAAAAGCTGTAGTTGAATAAAATGAACTCTTGTGAAAAATTTTACCATACACAACTACTATTTTTATCCTTCAGTAAAAAAATTGTTTGTGAATGTTCCACTTCTTCTTTTTTTTTTTTTAATCGAATTTAAGATTAGAAAAAATTACATCGCGATTTAATACAGTATAGTTAATGATCCACATTTCACATGTTACATTAATTTTTACTATTACATGTGATGATTAATAATGATTTACTAAACCAGTCAATTTCGTCACTAAACTAAAGTCTTCCTAAGTTAGATCTCCATCTTTAGGGTTAATCTACACAACACAATTATGATTGTACTAATTTGTTTTAATTATTTCTTAAAGATGCTTGTAGTTTTGTACTATTATCCTTTAATTGTAAATCTCTCTAAAGTGTTTGTTTATTTTCATATAAGATAAGTTTTACCCTCTACTATGTTATTCCTTTTTTTAAAACAAAATACATTTTTTTTCATGGTGGTACGATATAAGTGTAAGTGGATGAAGTAGTAATTTTTTTTTACCTTTTTGAAATTCGAGGTTAACAATATTACTTTTAAATTTAAATTTTAACTCAAATTTTTTTGTTGATAATATAGAAAAGACGTGGGAGCAATGACGAGATAATAACGTGGGAACAACGAGCAAACTTTTTTTGATTTGAGCAATCCACGGACAGATTAACGTGCGAGCTCATATCACCAAAATAATAACAACGTGCGACCAAGCAAACCATAATAATTCCTTTGTGATGAATTGAACTGTGCAGAGTTAGTGACATTTATAAATTCTCAAGTTGTAAAAAAATAAATCTCCAATAACAAGTGGTGATACTTTTGACATAATTATATGTCTATTTTTTTTTTGAATCGAACAGATATCTTTCGATAAATAAAATTCTCCTAACAAATACGTTAATTTTGACTATACCATCCTAAAATTATTCTGTAGTTTGGTTTTTTCATTTTGATACAAATTGAATTAAAATTCAAAATCCAATAATTTTAAGACTGAGATAACATGTTTTTAGAAGACAGAATTGCAAATGGTTGGAATTTGGAAGCGGACTTAATAAACAGAAAAAATTGTTTAAAAAATTATAATAACTTTTGAGTTAAATTTGTGACGCATGTGGTAAATTAAATTGCAACCGGATGAAGAAGGACCTTTCTTTCATTTGGGAGAGTTCAAGATAATTTAACTAATGAAATTGATTAACCATGTAAATGTATCACATCTCGAGTTGAGGGACTAATTCAATCACTTGCTCAACTCTGAGGACTACTAAATCGAGTCTTTTGAAGACAAGGTCTAAATCGAATCTTAAGTCCAGATTATTGGAATAATTTACACTCAAATTTTTTTATATTGCTACCTTTTTTGCCCAAGAAAAGGAGAAATTGCATCATTAAGACATTACTAACAAAGAGGGAAAGGTAGTATAAATAATGATGATGGGTTCTGGACTCTTGATTTACTGCAGTTTGTCGGAGTTGGTAGTTTCAATGGCCCACTACTTTAATTAGTACTACATGTTTCGACAAATGAGGCAAGCATATTGGATGTGAACAAGTGTCCACATTAAACATAGGCCCTTCATTTGGACATTTTTTTTTTTTAAAAAAAAAATTTACAGCTCAACCTATGAGATCATATAGGGTTTGAGTCCATTGGGCTCTACACGACTAACGCATCCAATTTGGATGGGCGTAGTACCAAACTCGGATCACAAACAGAAGACATGTCAGGCCATCATGGTCATTTCAGTAATGACATAGAGAGTGAAAAATTATACTTCCTCAGTCCTAAAGTTATTGTCAACTCCGAGCTACAAATACTATCAACGGCCCCTACCATAGTGACTGATGCACTATCTTTTGACTATCCGTCTCCACCTAGAGACGTCGATTTTTTGTACTAAGCGCAAGCTTCTCCAGTATAATAAAAAAAGTTATTGTCAAGTATGTATTTTTAGTTTTAGTATAAAATTATTATCTAGTTTGGATTTGCAGTTTTAGTTAATACGGAGGGATTAGTAATTTTGGTATAGTGACTAGGTGTAAATCACTCACTGGCTACTTTATAAGAGATAGTTATTAGCATCCCATAAACTATATACTCATGACACATTTACACATCAATTACCATCAAAATCACTATGATTTTTCACTATTCTCATCATTTTCCTTTTAAGAATCATAGAAAATTAGGGCATCTTTGTCTCTCTGCTCTAAAATTATTGTTCAATTTAAATTTTTAATTTCAATATTGATTTTGTAAGTTTTTTTAACAAACAGCTCGACATTGCATGGATGTGGATATTATTACTATTAAGGAAGATTTCACGCTTGTACGCTTTTTTTCCACTTTTTGCTCGTCAATCCGGTTCTTGAAACGTTTCTTTTAATTGATTTCAGTATGAGGATTACCAATAAATTATAAGGAGCTCTCCATCACAAGGGGTGCTTCGGTCAAAAATTTTTTTAAAAAAAAGATGTAGACAAAAATATTTTTTTTCTATTTTAAGTGGACAAAACTAATTGTCACGGATTTGGATAGATTCGGATTTACCAAATCCGAATCTATGTAGTTTCGAATTTTGCAAATTCGAAACAACTAGATTTGTCAAGATCACTCCTGAACATATATTTTTATCCAGGTCTTTTCATTGAAAATTATTTGGGTAAAAAACTCCCATCACAAGACAGCAGTCTTAAAACAAAAAAAGGGAACCAATTATATGAAATACTTAAAAATTCGAAGGAAGAAGTGATACACAAAAGTCGTGAATCGAACTCGATTTTACGAGGAAAATATCAGGAAGTAAATAGAAAAGAGTTTCAATTTTTTTAGGAGATTTTTTTTTAAAATGAATAATCCCTTAATAAAGGATTTTTCTGCCAGGTCTGATTAACCATACCTAACATTGTTTGTACTTTCATGTCTTGGTGATCTTTACTCAATATTTGTGATTGTGTCATAAATGTAATTAGCATTTCTTATCTTTCATAATGATTGTTCAATTTAAATTTTTATTTCGAAATAAAGAAAATAGTAATAATTCTAAATTTCAAATGTTTTCGTACTTTCGTTGCCTTTATGATAATATTTTAAGGTTTTGTAAACTTCTCAGATTAGATTAGCCAGGAAAAATGTGCTATGATAATTGTTGGCTCTAGTGAAGGTGTGTGGTTTGAAAAGTATACGATGAAGTGCACTATGATAATGTGATTAATATTACTTCACATAATATAAAAATATAAAGGTTATATTATTGTTGTTGTTGTATTGAAAGATGATTTGTCTTCAAAAAAAAAAAGAAAAAGAAAAGAAAAGAAGATGATTTGTGATAAGTGATAACGAACAACAACAACAACAACAACAACAATAATAGAAAAAAAAAACCTCAATTTTTAATATTATAGTTAAGATATAATAAATACAAGTAAAACATCAAATAGAAAATACAAAAAAGTCATGTTTATTAAATTTTTATGGCATAAACGGTAGCCATAATCTATTACGGGCGTATGACCAGATGCAGCAAGTTAAGCCAGGAATGGTGATAAGTAGAAATTGCCAATAATAAAAATAAATAAAACTAAGAATACATGGATTCTCTTTTTCTTTAGTCTAAAATAGTCAATTACTGTACCTGTAATTGACAATAATAATTAAGTAATCAACTAATTTATTCGATTTATAATTAATTTCGTGAACGATCATCATCAACTAAGAAAAGTAGCCTCACATGAAAATTCAAGACACAAATTAGGTTGGCGTCGTTCTGCCTAGCTAATTTCAGCTTCAACGACTTGTTCAACAAAAGGGCCTCCATACGAACATTTACCGGGAATTTTCTTTACTATATAAACAGAGTGGTTGATCATCATACCTTAAAAATTGGAAATTCTAATTGCATTGAGTAAATTAATTATTTTGATTAGTAAAACTTTGTACATATGTGTGTCTTTTTGCCAGTTTTGAGGAGCCTAAGAGCCAAGAACATATGTTTTTGCCGGCTTGAAGTAATCCAAGACCATAGAAATCATCTTTGATTTATGAATGGTTGATTGTAAACAAGAAAATTGTACTTCCTCCGTCCCATAATTATTGTCCAGTTTTACTAAAATGAAAGATTTTATTTTTGGTCAAACTTAATTATATTATACCTTAAACAACCGGATATACCCCTACATAAGTAATTGTTTAACCACTAAGATTTTATGGATAATGTTTTTTACTAAAGACAAATGTGTAATCTGATCCATAAAAAGTCAAATTAGACAATAATTTTGGGACAAATTTTTTTGGGTAAAGTGAACAATAATTATGGGACGGAGGGAGTACTCCATTCGGAAGAAAAAAGAGCAATATTTATTGCAAGTAAAATGATACAAAACGTATATGATAGATTGATAGTAACAACCAAATGATTAACCTATCATTATACGTTATGGAGCCGTAATAGAATTAATCGTGCGTAGTACTAGTAAAAGCGTTAGTGTAAAAACTAACTTAATAAATGCAAAATCGCAAAAATATATATATACTTCCTTTTTTTTTTAGTAAGAGGAAATATGTTTCTTTTGACCCGTTAAAAAGGTTACGATGTTAATTAATTTGGGTTGGATAAATATATTCGTACTCTCACAGTATTTCGTCGTTGGTGTCGTCCTTTTTGTTCATTTTTTTTCAGTTGTTCACCCATGTTTTCTTATTTTCTTTCCTTTTAACTGTCAACTGTAAGTTTGGTTCCGTAGCTATCAGCCTCGTAGAGTCCAAAATTACTTACTCTCTCTGTCCCAAAATCATTGTCCAATTTGAAATTTTAATTTTAATACAATTTAAACTAAAAATGAAAACCCAAATTAAATAATAAATATGAAACAGAAAGAGTATTTACGTGATCATATATATTGTCAGCTACTTTCTTGTTTTTGTTTCACCATTGGAAATAATTATCGTATACATCGTATGAAATGACACTATTATACCATTAAATATAATTTTTAGTTTCTTTTTCCAAAAAAAAAATAAAATAATTTTCTGGTGGCTGTGAATAGGAGGAATTGAAGAAGGAGGAGTTCTGTAGTAGGAGTAGGAACACCAAACTAAAACTACTTTGTGGATTGCGTAATTGACCGGCCAAAATAGACTGCTGCCTTAATTCACATAGTATTAGTTTTCCGAAAGGCGACGAATTATTTAATGTCCACTTCCTGGAAATGACACTTAAAAGCCATCATAATTAAGTTTTAGATTAGGAGAGACCCCTTTGAATCACACGATTTAGCGAAAGCGAAACGTATTAAAAAAAAAAATTTTCGCTTTTTTTTTTTTTGGAGTAATAGAGAAAGATAAAATCTTAAAATAACTACACTGCTATATAGTTACGGGGATAAAACATTCTCTCTCTTTTTTTTTTTTTTTTGGCAATAATTGATATCAAGAGTACTTATGACTACTTATGAGTTATGATGTGCTAATTATCATGCACTCGCTCTATACCAAAGTTTAATTTCATGCAGATTATGATTTCTATCTCTAAATTCAATTCATATTTACAAGGAGTGTTTCGTATGATTACTGAAGCAATAATATAATAATAACTTAATGCATCCTTCATTTGACATAAATTTTTAAACTCCATACTTGTTGGAAGCTTCATAACTATATACTTTTCTTTACCATGATATATATGACTGTATCGAATTGATGACCTAGAACTTTTCTTCATAATGATCCCAAAAAAAAAAAAAAATTATTTTGCGTTATAGCGTTCTTGGAGGATATGCTTGTTAATTTAAAACTTTTTAGAACAATTCATTAACGGATATTAAATAATACTAATAATTTGCAGGTTCGTTCATCCATCCAATTAATAATAAGCTTTGGTTTATGTCACTCTCCAGGGGAAAAGTAAGTTTTATCTGGGGCCCCGCTATAAATATAGAAGAGAGCTTCTCAAAGATTTAGACATTTTTATTTAATTTATTCATCACTGATTATGCATCCTCTCTAACAAGTTTCTATATATGCTTCAGATCATCCCATCAAGCAAGCAAGCTATCAATAAAAAGAAAGAAAAAAAAGGAAAAGGAAAAAAAAAAAAAAAGAAGAAGAAAGAAAAGAAGATGATGTTAGATCAACTAATAATTTGGTCAACAAACTAATCAAAATTCCCAACTTAATCACATTTATTCAACCCCCCCAAAAAAAACACCATATCTCCTAAAACACCTTTCACTATATAGGTAAAAACCAGTAAGTCCACTTCCAAAATTTCAATCCCACCTTAAAAAATAATGATTCATCCAACGACTGAATCGATCAGTACTCTTTCTTAAAAAATCTCAAAACATATATTATTCTCTCAGTCTCAAAACTAAAGATTATTTCCGGCTTATGGTAGTTAAACTTCATTCTTTTGACATTGAGTGGGGTTTTTTTTCCCATTTTTCCTGCGATAACAAAGAAAATTATAAAAGACTAGTGGTTCACCCACCTGCACAACAACATCGATCAACAACAACAGCATACTAATCAAAAAGTCAGAATCAGAAATGGAAAAGGCTCGCACGGAAGAATCTTCCAAACTTTAACCTGATTTTTACTTGTGCAATGTTCTTATCCTCTCCTTCATGTATTACTTCCATTTGGTGAACTCTTCATCAATATATGTATATGCGTATATACTACTATATACATAAAACCTTATTCTAAAATTTTCCACACTTTTTTAATTTATTTATTTGATTTGTTTTTTTTGGACTAAACAAAGTTCATATGTTGTACATACATAGTTAACTTCACCTTATGTCTCTTTATATTCAATCTCGCTCTCTCTCTCTCTTCTCTTAAAAAAAAACTCATGCCAGCCTCAAAAAATAACTAACTAAACTAACTAATTAAAACTTCCATAATATTACCATGTTGAAGCTCTTCGTTTATTACAAGAACCACTCTCTTTTCTTTCTTATCATCTCTGTCGTTTTCCTTCCGATTGTTCTCCCTGCCAGAATTCTTCCTGAAATTCCGAAAGATCAATTAGCCGTCGTCGACGACGTGTGGAAGAGTTTCGAGAAATTCGTGGACGCCCAGAAAGGTAGCCAGGTTGACGGAATCTGCGAGCTCAAGAAATACTTCCAGCGTTTCGGCTACCTCCCCAATGATCCGGCCAAGAACCTCACGGATTTGTACGATGAAGAGCTGGAATCCGCCGTCTTCGCGTACCAGAAGAATCTCGGGTTATCCGCCACCGGGAAACTCGACCCGGACACCATGAACGAGATCATGGCGCCAAGATGCGGTATCACTGACGTAAGAAAAACTCATATGAACTTCTCCTCTTTCAGTAGTACGAACAACAAAACTCTGCATGCAACGGTTCATTACGCGTATTTCGACGAGCAGCCGAGGTGGACCCGGCCGTCGCCGATGACGCTGACGTACGCCTTCTCGCCGGACCACATGATTAACTATCTGAGCATGCAGGACATCCGGGCGGCGTTCCAGCGGTCGTTTTCGCGGTGGTCGGCGGTGATTCCGGTCAACTTCACGGAGTCCGAGGACTACTACGGGTCGGACATCAAGATCGGGTTCTACAACGGGGACCACGGCGACGGGGAGGCGTTCGACGGGGTGTTAGGGGTGCTGGCCCACGCGTTCTCGCCGGAGAACGGGAGGTTCCACCTGGACGGGGCGGAGACGTGGGCGGTGGATTTCGAGAAGGTGAAGTCAAAGTCAGCGGTGGATTTGGAGTCGGTGGCGACCCATGAGATCGGGCACATACTTGGGTTGGCTCATTCCACGGTTAAGGAAGCGGTAATGTACCCGAGTTTGCATCCGAGGACTAAGAAAGTGGACCTTAAGATCGATGACGTGGCGGGTATCCAGGCCCTGTACGGGTCAAATCCTAACTTCAAGTACAGTTCTTTGTATGAATCCGACATCTCGTCGAGTTGGAGTCTTCTCGTGGAAAGGAGGAGAGCTTTTGGGTGGACCGTATTAATATTGGTTTTCTTATTTTGTTTTTGTTTATAATAATGGGGATTTATACAAGTTTAGGTTAATTTTTTTACGTTGTAAAAAAAAAAAAACAAGACATTGAAAAAGGAAGTAAAGAACATTCTTTTTGCATCTTTGAGATTTGTAGGCTTCCAAAGAATCATTCTTTCTGACGTTCTTGAATTGAATAGGGTTGTTTAATTTGTAGTGAAAACTAACGTGGGATTTGAAAGAGGGTAACTGATTTGCCTTTCTTGAACCAAAGCGTGCACTGTAGGTTGTTTTAGATTTTCTGATATTTTTTTCTAACAAAAAAAAAGCATAGAGAATTAATTATTTGACCTATAATAAATATATATATATATATATATCCCGATAACATTTTCTGTTTTAATCTAAGAGTTCTGTTTATTGTACTAAGATAGTTTAATAAATTACTAAAAAATTCTGACTGGGAACGGAGGAGGAGTACATGTAAATTGCTGTAAATGGAGCTAATTTTGTCAAACTTGGAGAAAGAACATAGTTCAAACTTGGGGATTGCTTATTCAAATATAATACTTGTTTGTAGCGTACCCATCATGCCTAGGTCCACATGAGCCAATCAAAACATAAGACTTATCTATCACAAAACTAAGACAGATTAAGAAGTGCGTAAGACTGAACAAAGACGGCTAGAAACCAATGGATGAAAATACAGAAACACAAATGCCAAACGACTGTCGTTGTCATTTAAATCGCTCGTCTAAAACAACAAATTAAAAAAAACATAAATAAAAACATTCACATTACTATGTAGGAATGACGAATTGATTTCTGCGATACGCGCGCCCGCGCCTTGTTTATGGCATCTCGTACGCTAGCTAATATTTAACCAATCAACTAATAAAAGAAAACCGGATTCAAGAAACGAAAAAAAAATTGTAAAAATATGGTAAAAGAAAGACATGACACAACCTATTTCTAGCTAGTAACCGATGTACGTACTAAGCATAGTATACGTGTAGAGTATCGTTACGAATTGTCATTATCATTTTTCTCTTCTACAGATTTGCAAGTTTCATGCTATATCTCTTTCTGTATCAGTTTTATTATTATATTAAATTAGTGATTGTTATAAAAATATCCATAATATCCGATACTCCCTCCATTTCAAAATGTTGGAGAAATATTTCAAAATCTAGGTCGTTTTAGAATTTCAATGCAAATTAAAGACTAATTTTTTAATTTTGCACCCAATAAATAATATTAACCACTTTTCATCTAATATTGGTTATAATTCCAAAACAATTAATGATGGGTAACATAGAAATTTAACGCACAAATTAATTATTAAATGATTGTCTTTTTAGTTTACCTGTAGAGTCTAAAGTGACTTATATTTTGAAATGGAGAGAGTACATTCAATTGTCCAATTAAGCAGATGGATCCAATTACGTGAACAACTTAATTTTTCTTCAATTATTGCATACATGATACATATTGACAAATCATTAATGATCAGGACTCTGCTCAATCCTTCAGACAGTTATGTTGAAATTGTGTGTGGAAGAGCCACCGAACAACACAGAATTCAACTCAGAAGCATTAGCACAAGAACAAGCTGACAGAAGCTTCCAGATGAATGCGTGTATAACAGGCAGCTTATTTCCAGGATTTGCAGACATGGCAAGAGGTGATCAAGATCACAGAATGTCACACACAGCACACATGGAAGGTTACTTGTTCTCCAATCCTTTACACCAACTTGATGATCCAAGTCATCAATCTGATTCATGCAAAGGTCCTTGATTATCAACCTTCGGATTGAAAGTTGGTTAATTCATTGATGGACCAGATTAGATGTTAATGTGTTTCTTTATACACTGTAGAATGGATTAGTTAGGGATTACAGCTGGATCAGTTTTCGGTTTGATGTATATATATATGATGTTGTACAGAAAGAATGTAATGTGAAAATATAGACGTAATACTGAACAACTTTTCTTTCTCTCTTATGAGAAATATTACAAGCAGCTTGCATCCTTCATTCATCTTCTTTTCTTCTTCCTCTTGATTTGATTTTAAACCTTTGATCCTGATGATTCACTCTGAGTATTTCATGATGGTATCAGAGCAGGTTTAACTTGCTCTGAATTCCGCTGTTTTTTTTTCTTCTTCTCCATACTCCACTGGTTTGGATCAGCACATGTTCTTCAGTTTTCCGGTTTTTTGATTTCATCTTGAAGAAGCTTAAGATTTTCAGATCAGGATCTTAAGTTGAAAAGACAAGATGGAAGAGCAATATGAACGCAGAGGAGCTTACTCTCTGGTTGAGGAATAGCTGAATGTGCATGGATCTGAGAATCCGGGAATGTAATTGGTTACTCTGTTGCTGACTAACAGAAATTATTTGATTTGGAGATGTGCTATGATTTCTGCTTTAGAAGCAAAAATGAAAGTCGGATTTGTCGACGAAAGTTTTCCTATGCCTGCCGAGAATTCACCAATCCTCCTTCAATGGAAAAGAGCAAATCGACTGGTATGTTCCTGGATCAAAAGTTCTATGTCTCCAGAAATCATGAATACTTTTATGTTTATACATGATGCACGGAAATTGTGGAAGAGCATAGAATAGCGTTTTGGAACCACTAATTTGCCACGTCTGTTTGAATTGAAACGAGAAATTGCACGCCTTAGGCAGAGTAATATGACTATATGTGAGTACTTTGGTAAGATCAAGCAGATTTGGGATCAATATGAGGAGTTAAGGCCTGTACCTGTTGTAGAAGGATCAGTAGGTGATTTGATCATAAGGCGAGATAATGAGGATCGAGTAATGGAGTTTTTGATGGGACTGAGTGATGTGTATGAATCAGAGAGAAGTCAAATACTGCTCATGGATCCTATGCCATCAATTGATAAGGCTTATAACATGATAACCACTTCTGAGAAAGCTAAATAGGTGATTGTGCATATGGCTGCTGGCACAGAAAATTCAGCTATGTGTATGCAGGGAACACCTATGATGATGAGAGGACCAGAAAATACAGCAATGCTTGCTAAGATAGGAAACTGGAAAAAGGATAATGCTGGAAAATCTGGTGGATATCAAAAGGTGGATAAGAGTCACCTTAAATGTACACATTGCCTGGGGACTGGTCATTTGGTGGAAGATTGTTTTAAGCTGAAAGGTTTCCTAGATTGGTGGCCTAATCCTAAGAAAAGAGGACAAAAGTTTAGTGCAGCAAACATGGTAGGTATGGGACAAATCACAGGAACCACACAAAGCAATATTGCTATGGTGCAGGGAAATATACCAAGCAGTGTTTACTCTCAACAAGGAATGACTAAGGAAATGGTTCAGAATTATGCACAAGGAAATGGAAATGACACTGTGGGAAGTACACCTTTGGATTTCTATGCTAATCCTACAGGATCATACCAGCAAATGTTCAACAATGCAGTCCAAAAGGAGCTGGAAAGAATCAGCAAAGGGAAGATGTCAGCAACACCAGGAGGACAGATGGTGAATCTGGCACATGTTCATGAATTTGCAGGCAGCTCAACTTATTCTCAACTTAGTACTAGTCTTTATAATGACATAAGTTCTTTTGCATGGGTAGTAGATACTGGAGCCACAGGTCATATGTGCACAAATTTTTCCTTAATGCATCATGCTAGTCCTTTTAAATCCTATACCCTTGTGTGGTTGCCTGATGGTAGTACTAAACATGTTAGCCATTATGGTGATGTAACTCTCTCCGAAACAGTCACTCTGACTTCCTGTTTATACCTACCCAGCTTCAAATATAATCTCTTATCAGTCAGGAAACTAGCCAAAACCTCACAAATGTTTTTCCTGTTTTTTGCTAACTTTTGTCTTCTGCAGGACCTTAGAACTGGGAAGGTCCTTGCTGCAGGAAGAGTCATCAGAGAACTTTACATCTTGGATTCATATTCATTTACCACAGAAGCTATTTCAAAGTCACAGGAATTGTATGGATCTTATATGCAGTCCTGTAGCATGTATAAGATATCTTCCCATAGAGAAAATATTTGTAATAATGTTCTTACTGCAGTTCCTTCTGAAACCTTACATAGCAGATTAGGACATCCTTCCATAGATGTAATGCAACATATCCCTGGTTGTACTGTTTCTTTTGACAAACAAGTTAAAATCAATAAATGTGATATTTTCCCTCTTTCTAAACAACACAGATTACCTTTTACTAGTCATGATGGGAAAAGTAATACTTGTTTTCATATGATCCATATGGATGTTTGAGGGCCATTTCATCAGGGAACTATATCTCACTGTCATTACTTCTTAACCATAGTAGATGATTGTAGCAGATGCACTTGGACCTATTTCTTCCAACATAAAAGCCAAGTTCCAAGATTGTTAGAAAGTTTTGTAGCTATGGTTAAAACACAATTCCAAAGTCAAGATCATCAGGACTGACAATGGAACCGAATTTTTAAACAAATCAGTCCAGCAATTTCTTGATCAACAGGGCATTTTCCATCAAAGGAGTTGTCCATATTCCCCACAGCAAAATGGAATTGTTGAGAGAAAACATAGGCATTTGTTGGATGTGGCTAGATCATTGCTATTTCAATCCAAGTTGCCAAAAACATTTTGGGGGAAGGGTATTCTGACAGCAACTTACCTCATAAACAGATCGCCTTCCAGAGTGTTATCTTGGAAAAGACCATTTGAGATTTTATATAAACAGAAACCAGACTTCCTACATTTAAGGAATTTTGGATGCCTATGTTTTGCAATTAATAATGCACCTGGTAGAGACAAACTAAATCCTAGATCCTTCAAGGGAATATTTGTAGGATATCCTTCAGGACAAAAGGGATACAAGATTTTCTGTCTAGATCAAAAGAAAATCATAGTATCCAGGGATGTTGTTTTTCATGAAGATACTTATCCTTCACTCACAGATACTGATGATTGCATTCCTTTGCCTAATATCCAAATATATGATTCCAGTGATAACCTTTATCAGAATTCCCCTTTTGATCAAACTCCTTCACCTACTGATAATCCAAATCCCTCAGAATCTGTTCCTGATCATAACCTTTCTTCCACTGATCCAGAAAGCAGTTCTTTAAATTCTTCAGAACATAGTAGTGATCATCAGAGTACCAGTTCTGCTCCAATGGTTGTTCCTCTCAGAAGAAGTGAAAGAGTTAGGAAATCATCAGTTAAACTGACAGATTTCCATACATCCTTCTTCTGTGATGATGCTTTACCAGTTTGTCATCCTTCTAATTCTACATATTCTTTCAGTCCTGCATATCATGACTTTGTGGCAAATCTATCTGTTATCCATGAACCTAGTCATTATAATCAGGCTAGAACTAATCAGAGATGGGTAGATGCCATGAATTTAGAACTGAAAGCTTTGGAGGACAATGAAACCTGGGAACTGACAACTTTACCTCAGGGAAAGAAAGCAGTGGGATCAAAATGGGTGTACAAGGTAAAATGCAATCCTGATGGATCAGTTGAGAGATACAAGGCAAGATTGGTTGCCAAGGGTTATAACCAGATAGAAGGAGAAGACTTCACTGAGATTTTTTCACCTGTTGCTAAAGTTGTCACAGTCAGAATGATGTTTGCTATTGCAGCAGCAAAACAGTGGTCTGTGTATCAGCTTGACATTAATAATGCTTTTTTGCATGGATACTTAGAAGAAGAGGTATATATGCATCCACCACTAGGCTATGAAAAGGCTAGAAAGGGACAGGTTTGTAAACTCAGGAAGTCCTTATATGGATTAAAGCAGGCAAGCATACAATGGAATAAGGAGTTTACCTCTAAACTCCAATCCTATGCTTTTTAACAGTCTTATCATGATCATTGTCTTTTCACCCTGGATCATGGTGATTTGCAGTTATATCTTCTTGTGTATGTAGATGATGTGTTGATTACTGGCACATTAGATCATGCCATACAACAGGTGAAGAAATTTTTGGATAAAGCCTTTACCATCAAAGATCTTGGCATAGCAAGGTATTTCTTGGGAATGGAGATTGTAAGATCAACTGAAGGCATTTATATTAGTCAGAAGAAGTATATTACTGATTTGCTAAGAGACACTGGAATGCTAGATTGTACAGCAACCTCTACTCCTTTCCCAAAAGACCTCAAGTTTCCTTCAGAGGATAAAGACACCACACCTGTGTATCAAAATCCTGAGAAATACAGAAGGTTAGTGGAAAAACTGCTATACTTAAACTACACTAGACCTGATTTCACTAACTCAGTACAGCAACTGAGTCAATTTCTTCATAAACCTCATGATTCATACTGGAATGCTGGAATGCATGTTTTGAAGTACCTATCAGGGAGTATTTCCAGAGGTTTATTCTATTCTAGCAAGACAGATCTCAGGGTTACAACATACAGTGATGCTGACTGGGGATCTTGGAAAACCTCCAGGCACTCAATCACTGGATACTGTGTGTTTTTGGGGACCAGCTTAGTGTCTTGGAAAGCAAAGAAACAAACTACCATTTCCTGCTCATCAGCTGAAGCTGAATATAGGGCAATGGCTTCAACAGTCAAGGAACTTCAGTGGCTTTCTTATATGTTGAGGGATTTCAGAATATCAGTTGATTTGCCAATTTCCTTTTATTGTGATAGCAAAGCTGCAATTGCAATTACTACTAATCTTGTATTCCATGAACGGACTAAGCACATAGAGATTGATTGTCATGTGGTGAGAGACAAATATAAAGACGGATTCATTATCCTTCATCATGTCCCTTCAGCTCAGCAGTTAGCTGATGTATTCACCAAATCGCTTGGCATTGGTCCTTTCACTCATATATTGTCCAAGTTGAGCTTGTGGGAAGCTCCACTTGAGGAGGAGATGTTGAAATTATGTGTGGAAGAGCCACCGGACAACACATAATTCAACTCAGAAGCAGCAGCACAAGAACAAGCTGACAGAAGCTTCCAGATGAATGCGTGTATAACAGGCAGCTTATTTCCGGGATTTGCTAACATGGCAAGAGGTGATCAAGATCAAAGAATGTCACACACAGCACACACGGAAGGTTACTTGTTCTCCAATCCTTTACACCGACTTGATGATCCAAGTCATCAATCTGATTCATGCAAAGGTCCTTGATTATCAACCTTCGGATTGAAAGTTGGTTAATTCATTGATGGACCAGATTAGATGTTAGTGTGTTTCTTTATACACTGTAAAATGGATTAGTTAGGGATTAAAGCTGGATAAGTTTTTGGTTTGATGTATATATATATATATATGATGCTGTACAGAAAGAATGTAATGTGAAAATACAGACGTAATACTGAACAACTTTTCTTTCTTTCTTATGAGAAATATTACAAGCAGCTTGCATCCTTCATTCATCTTCTTTTCTTCTTCCTCTTGATTTGATTTTACTCCTTTGATCCTGATGATTCACTCTGAGTATTTCATGAAGTTAAAAACTACTTTTGTCTTCCTTTAATATGGTTCGTTTGGTTCTGGAACTTCCGCTACGTCAAGAAGGGAGAAGAGAGAAGTCGATTGACAAGGATGATACTCCCTATTATTTTAGTTTTTTTTGGATACAAACAAGTATTTTTACCAGACACATCGCTACACGGAAAGTCGGAAACTGAAATGTGTCTGGTAAAAATACTAATTACAAAAATATAGTCCTACACAGGTTGACACCTAACAAATTACTCCTAATATACCATGATATGGCCGAATCAGTTTATTTTCACCCTATATTTAATTAAAAGACAATCTCATTTTCTTTTATATTTTATTAAAATACGATTCCAAAATGAATAAAATTACTTTCGTATAAACAAAATACTCTATTGATCAATTTTTTTAATTTTTTTTTTGGATAATGAAAGAGGCAAAGACCTAAATGATTACAAAAATAACAAACTGCGGGTTAAAGGGCACGGGATCCTCTGTGCTATTTTATGTGACACTCTCTGTGGCACCATTCAATATTTACACCATTGAATTTTATCATTTACGTTAATATTTACACCATTCTTGATCATTTTGAAATTAGATATTTTAGAAGTAAGGGCTCACATTTTTCGGGGTAGGCCCTATTTATTTTTATTTTCATAGTTTAAACTTCAATAAAAATAGTTAAATTTTATTAAATTAAAATACTTACAAAAAATAAAATAAGAATATGAAAATTATCTATATTGAAAATATGTATCTATGATATATGAATTAACATAAATTATATGATTTATAAAGGCGGCAATCACTCTATTGATCACACTTCTTTGGATTTTTTTTCCCGATAGATGATAGAAACTTATTTTTCACAATATAGCAATCAATTAATTGGCAATTTTCCTTTTTTTTTTTGGCCCCCGGGGGGATTGAAGAATGAAGATGGCATAATTTAACTACATACTAAATAACTTCAAAAGGAAAACCGTATATCTGCGTTATCTTAATAAGTTATGTTTCTCTACTCCTTCCTCCACCAAATTAATTATAGTTATGTTTTCGGACCTAATTTTCGGAATTGGTACCTTTTACTTTCGTAATAAGTAACTAATTCCTATGTCCGAAAAAAAAAGGTAACCAATTCTTCAAAAAGAAAATTTATTCCTATGTTCGAAAATCGGAGCAATAAATTAATCTCACTCAAATCCTTCGGAAAAACCCTAGGTATAAACAATTTTCCTTTTATTTAAACGCTAAACATAATCATCATGCCCAAAAAAATAAGTAACTGAACAGAACCTAATTAAGCACCCCATCTCCTATCCTATTCGCCGTTCTCCGGTTACTAGCCACAACAACCATGTATAATGTATTCTCCTTAATCTTCCTTCTTGCACTTGTTCCCGCCAACTCCATCCGATTAACTGAAATAACGTCCGACCAAAACTATGGTACGTGGCAAAAATTTACAAGATTCGTGGATACCGAAAAGGGCAGTCAAGTCAAGGGATTATCGGACCTCAAGGTGTACTTGCAATTTTTTGGCTATCTCTCCAACGACCCCACAAAAAATCTGACCGATTTGTACGATGAAGAGATGGAATCTGCCGTCTCAGCGTACCAGAAGAATATGGGACTGCCCGTTTCCGGAGAACTGGACAATGATACCATGAACTTGATTATAGCGCCGAGGTGTGGCAATCCTGATAAAATAATCGTTAGTACTAACAATAGTATTGCGAGTATATTGCACTATTCGTTTTTAAAAAATACGCCGATGTGGAAACGACAAATTCCGATAACACTAAAGTACGCTTTCTCGCCGGATCATATGATCCCCGAGTTAAGCGTTTCTGAAATTAGGCCCGTCTTTGAACGGGCCTTTGAGCGGTGGTCGTCCGCAACATCGATCAACTTTGCCGAGACGGACGACTTACGTCATGCTGACATCAGCATTGGATTCTATACGGGGAATCACGGTGACACGTTGCCGTTTGATGGGCCGTTGGGAATGACGGCCCACGCTTACCCGCCGGAAACCGGGATAATCCATCTGGACGGGGCGGAAATATGGGCGGTTGATTCCGAAAAACTGAAATTAAAAAGGGCGGTTGATTTGGAATCTGTGGCCCTCCATGAGATTGGTCACGTACTAGGATTGGGTCATTCTACAATTAATGAGGCGGTTATGTATCCAACTTTAATATCGGGTACCAGAAAGGTAGAGCTCAGCGTTGATGATGTGGAAGGGATACAAGGACTATATGGGTCAAATCGTTCCAAGCATGATTTTCAGAATTCGAGTTGGAGTACTCTGCAGGGATTGAGAAGAAGTTCGGGCTCGAGCATGATTTTGGGCATAATGGTTTTCCTAGTCTACCTTAGGTTATTGTAGGACTAATTTTATTTTATTTTTTTCAATATAATATTTTGGTCGCAGTTAATGTTTATGGTCATTATTATATTTAATTATTAGTATTAATTTTTCACACAAGCCGAAAGCATAGTTCCTCTCATCTCTCCATCCCCTTAACTTGTCAGCATTTGGATGGTGGGATCATATAAGATTGTCGATTTGTTTTAATGGCTAAGTCTAATTAGGAAGTTGTTAATGGGGTTTTGATTCGCGCAATCTGCAGTGATTTGATTATTCGGTGATAACGTTGACGGTATCCCTAGCCCATGCGATGTAATAATACCAATGTCTCCAGTACTGTTAGCCTGTTTTAATAATGTAGGGAAATAATTAAAACAAACCATCGACGCACACAACAATCTTTAGTACGTATCAAAGTTGTTATGAATCATGCAATCCGATTGTAAAAGGTCCGCTTGAAGAATTTAATTTGAGCCATGTTTACAATCAAAAGAAGAACTAACATAATTTGATGAGTGAATTATTCTTTTAGCGCGGAAGAAAAACTTACGTAAAGTTTAATAGGTAGTGCAATCGACCCCTTTCCAAAAATTAAATTGGCCGACTAAAATTTTTTTTCAAAAAAAAAAGGAAAGTCTCTAATTAATTAACGATTCCCTTTCTAATAGTATAAACTGGTCGATTATTTTCTTTTCTTTTTAAAAAAGGAATTTAAGTGTTGACGAAATTTCCAAATCTCACAAAAAAATCGTCTCACTAAATTAGAACATATATTTCTGGAAACAAACCAATTCAGAAATTGGAAGGGAGATGGTAAAAAGGAAACAAAGAAGGAACAAAAAAAGGTAATCAAATTGAAAAAGCTTGCCTTCAAACTAGTATATTTCCCAAAAGCTACCCAAATCATGAGCAACTGATGGCGGTTTCTAAATCCAATGAAACATTAGTTTTATCCAACAAAGTTTTTATATATATCCCTCATAAACACCTTTGCAGTTCCAGAAACACAGGCCTTCTGCGCTCAGTCCCACAGACGAATCAAAGTAGCTGCAAAATTAGACCACCAAAACCATAATCATGTCGACATTCTTCAGTTATTACAAGAATTACACTTACTTGCTCTTCTTGTTCTTATTTCTCCTCCACTGCACCCCATCGAGTTGCCGTAACATTGCCGACGTAACACGTCGTACGCCGCAGTCTTCATCTCAACAGAATTCCCAAAACAATAATTCGCACGAAAGAATTCTTTACGACACTTATCCAAACATGCAGACATGGGGTGACGGACCACATCTAGCGGCCACGGTGACCTACTCTTTCTTGTCGGCATACATGATCGACTACCTCAGCCTCGACGACATCAGAGCTGCCTTCGGAAGCGCCTTTTCCCAGTGGGCCGACGTGACCCCGTTGAACTTCATGGAGCTCCCGGAAGTCTGGAAGACGGACATCACCATCGGGTTCTTCGTCGGGGACCACGGGGACGGGTACCTGTTCGACGGGCCGGGAGGAGAGGTGGGCCATGCGGAGCCGCCACGAGACGGGAGGCTCCACCTGGACGGAGACGAGAGGTGGACCGTGAACCTGGCCGTGGATCCATCCGAGATGGCCTACGACTTGGAATCCGCGGCGGTCCACTTAATTGGTCACACTCTAGGGTTGAGGGATTCGACGGTTATCGAGGCGGTGATGCACCCGAATTTAACCGCTAGGACAAGGAAGGTGGAACTGGCGTATGATGACATTGCGGGAATACAAGCGTTATATGGTGCAATTCCTAATACTCCCAATCGTCATCCCGATCCTTCTTCATCAACAAGTTTGAGTGGTTTCATGGAGACAAGAAGAAGAAGATTCGGGTGGAATACGCTTTTGACATTTGTTTTAGTTTCTCTGAGTTTGCTGTGAGTGGGATTTAATTACTTAATTCTATTATTATGAATCGTTGTTTGCACGTTGTGCCATTTTTTTGTAACGAAAGATCAACTACTATCTTAGGATCAGTTAGGTTGTTGTTTCTTTTTTTCTTTTTATATATACATATCATTTTTATTTTTATGTTGAAATACGTTTTAAGAATCTTCTGGCATTTATCTTCTCCTCCTTATTTCTGTTTGTTTTGTTTTGTTTTTTTTTTTTTTTGGGATATGATTTGAGTTATTGCGTATCTTCCGTTTAAAAGTACGTTTCTTATTACCCAAGAACTGGATCATCACCGCCCACATTGTTAGCTAGAATTTTAATCAGAATCTGGAAAGTATTTTCCTTAAATAATTATGGGACGGAGGAGTACATGATTCGCTGTAAAAGTAAAACCGTGGTTCAAAGTTTTAGAAACGACGTGATTGTCTTCTCCACTCGCAAAATGTGTTAATGTAACGCATTAGTCTTTGCTTATGTTATTTACCAAAATAAAATTTCTGCTGCCTTTACCTATAAGTGGATTCAAAATTGGGTAAGGTGGTATTTCATTTTGGGTTCTTCAAATATATTCTCTCTGTCTATAAATAATTGTCTATTTTGAGATTTATTATTCAAATCGAAAATTTATTTTGAAGGGAGGGAATAGTATTTAGGCACCAAATAACCCAACAAACTGATTATGAGATTTCCAAAACCTATATACTCCTCTACTCTTGAATCTTGATTTATATAGATCTCCCTAGAAAATCATAGCTTACAGCACAACATAAACCTGACCAAATTCATCTAACTTAACCATGCTACCGTTTTCCCGTTATCACAAGCATTATGTGCTCTTCTTATTCTTCTTTCTTCTCCACTGTACTCCCAGCGTTCTTCCCTCCAGAACAATGTGTGGCATTTTAACAGAATCAACCCCCGACGACCAAAACAACATTACATGGCGCCCGAGATTCGCTGACAAAGAGAAAACCAAGCCGGAGACGTTAAAGTTGACCTACGCATTATCAACGGAATGCATGATCGACTACTTGAGTTCATCCGTTACAAAGTCCCCCTTCAAGAGGTCCTTCGCACGGTGGTCGTCAGTGATTCCGGTCAAATTCAAGGAGGTCAAAAATTATCCGTCGGCGAAGATCACTTTGTCGCCGGTGATCACGGCAACGGTCACCCATTTGACTGGCCGAGGGGAGATCTGGCCCACTCCATTCCAACCCCGCCACAAGGTGGATCAATCCATCTGGACAAGGCCGAAATAAGGAGGGTTACCTGATTGGAATCGGTGACGACCCGTGAGATTGGAAATATTCTAGGGTTACCTGATTATGTAACCCTAGAATATGTACCCTAGATAAGGAGGCGATTATGTACCCGTATTTACCTTTTAGGACCAAAAAAGTGGACCTCACGGATGAGGATGTGGAAGCAGTACAATGTTTGTATGGATCGAAGAAGTGAAAATCTAAAAGTCACGGTTGTTTGAATCCATCATCATCAAGTAGTTGGAGTTCTCTCGTGGAAGTGAGAAGATCAGGGTGGAAAACGCTTTCGGGCACTATGGTTCTCATATGGTTTTTGAGTTTATAAATCTATAGAAATTATTGAAAAAAGAAAAAATAGATTTGTAGCTTTCATCTCCAAGAGTGTTTAGTCTTCATGCAATCGTTTGGTCTAAAGTGTTGGAACAGTTAATCGTTGAACTGATCTGAATATATATATATATATATATATATATATATATATATATATATATATATATATATATATATATACCAGTGATGTCTGGTCGCGCAATGCGCGACCCTGGCCTAGTATATTTGTAGATCTTAGAAATGTTTGTATTTGAAAAAAAAATTTTGTATTTGCCCCGATATATTTTAGAAATGTTTGAAAAATTTAGAAATATTTTATAAATGTGATCATAGACATGTTTGTATTTGGCAAAATAAAAGAAAGTGTATTTGGCCCGGTACGTTTTAGAAATGTTTGAATATTTTAGAAATGTTTTATAAGTGTTACTTTTTAAATATAAATAAACTTGATCAAGTATATCTCTTGAAGTAAATATTAGACAAAATATAAAAGCATTCTAATAAGTTTAAATATTAGTAAGATGATTTATTGATGTTCTTCATTTGTCGTGCCAAATCAATACTTGGTTTTGGAGATTTATAATAGCTTTGTAGTTAGCTTCCTCCAAAGGGTATACGTTTAATTGTTTGAACTGTTTCTTCCAAAGGCTTATAGCTAGTAAAATATCAAAAATATGATTTTGAAACTGATTAATTGTTGCAACTGGTTGATCACAAATATGAGAATGAAAATTAATGTAAATTTGCATAGGTTTCAAGTTATAGCAAAAAAGAACTCACCTCACCATGGCAAATAAAAAAAAATAAGTAAAAGAGTCCATTAAAAATTGGGAAATTTTTTTTTTCCTGTAGGTAAAAATGATGTATAAAACACAAATAAACGTAGAAACATCATTCCTTCCTTCTCCACCTCAAATTCATAAAAGGCTTCCCCATAAATTAGTTAGAAGAAGCGACCTGAACCATTTATATGATGAGTAATTTAAAAAAATCCAAAAACCAAATCCAAAAAGTATATTCTTGAAAGTCCGAACACAAAAAAAAAACGCGTTTCATTTGCAAAAATAATAATAATAATAATAATAATAATAATAATAATAATAATAATAATAATAATAATTGGTCAACTGGGAGTATGAAACAAAATCAAAAGCAATTAAACAAAGAAAAAATACAATTCATAACTGACCATATACGAAAAAAAACTGAGACTCCATAATTAAAAAGAAGAAAACCATTCTAAATGAATAAAACATAAAAAAGAAATTTAAAAAACCACACTTTGTGACAAAAACCCAATTGATCAATTCAATTCAAACAGAACTAAAATCATACAAAAATTCTAAGCTGACTAACTATATAAGAAATCACATTATATTACCTGACAACGGCTACGGTAGCTGTAATGGGTGGACGCATAAAAATAATAGTAATAACACTATTCTTGGACGAGAAAAACAAAAAATAATAAAAGCCGTACAAATGATCTGTGGATATAAAATCATTAAATTTTAATATCTGTAATGGCACCACCACAACGGCCGAAAGCAATATCAATGAGATTTTTTTTTCCCTTTGTGTTTATATAGAGAGGTAAAGAGAATATTTTTTGAAGTCGAAATTTTATCTGATTAGGATGTAGTTGATCATCACTAATGAAAAGATTGAACATGCTAATAGGAAAGAAGTATATTTCATCACATATTCTCAATTAATGATTGATGAGTAATTTATTTTTATTTTATTGTGGAGAAGGGATTGATTAGGGAGTCGATTGTCATGGAGATGGAGATGAGGATTTGTGTTTTTTATGAAGCTGTGTTTTTTTTTTTTTGTTTTGGCGAAAATAAGAGGTGGTGGTGGATTTGGACTGCATTTACCTTTTAAGTCTAGAAAACTGATGTGTAAATAAAAATTATTTTAAAAATATCATGTGGAAATGCCACAAGGCAAATAGTGGTGCTTTCTCAAGTGTGGTTTTTGTTTCTAATATAGTAAGATGTATAACCCCTTTTACCAAATTAGAATTTCTGTGTTGTGTATTTTGCACATAAATTTAGCGTTACATCATGATTCTACTATTTAGTTTTAGACCATATGATCTAAGCACTAAGCGGTAAGCAGTGAGTCTCCACTTATGCAAGCAAATCTTACCATCAATCGAGGAACCAAGGTAGCTCCAACAAGGTTTTGAAGTTGTACAGCTTAGTTAGCTGTACAATTGTAGACAACAATGACAATGACTAATCGTCGGCAACAATGACTAATTTTTTTAGGTACATTTGCAGGATGTCCACCGTCGGCAACAGTGACTAATCCCCTCACTGAATTGTAGACACCTCGATGGGACTAATTTTTTTAGGTACATTTGCAGGATGTCCACCGTCGGTAACAGTGACTAATCCCCTCACTGAATTGTAGACACCTCGATGGGTAGGACAACTGACCAAAATATCTTTTTTGGGCATATTTGCAGGATGTCCACCGTCGGCAACAGTGACTAATCCCCTCACTGAATTGTAGTCACCTCGATGGGTAGGACAACTGACCAAAATATTTAAAGTTGCTCCATGTCCATGGTAAGTTTCGAACCCTCGACCTATAGTTAAGGGTGGAGGAGCTCCTTCCACTCTACCACAACCGTTTTGGTTCTTCTCCTCAATAGTTGAAATCAATTATATAGATATAGATCTTCATCATTAGGTAAAATTTTGACCATAGGTAGGTTATAATTTTGTATTATAATGTGTAAATATGAAATTCTAGGAATATGCGCCCCAAGTATTAATAGATTGCGAATTGAGGCTTAACCGAAGTCATCATATAACTAATTCAATTGGTGCAAGGGAAAAGCATACACACGCAAATATATATATATATATATATATATATATATATATGCCTGTGAAAATTTTTATCCATCACGTTTAATTAGGTTGTATGTAAAACGTAAATGAAATTAACTTTATAAAATTGTTACTTAAATTCAATTTCAATCATTGTATCTAATTTTGTGTTCAAAAATTGTGTGTAGGAGAGGTGAATTTTTTGTGAATATTGGTTAGTGTATGATTAACGGTGCAGAGTTATGAGACTTATTTTACGTTCTACGGCTACTTTGGGATTGAGGGTATCGCCAACTAATTGCTGACGTTGATAGTAGCAGTGTGGTGAATTCATTTATTGCCCAGGAAGTGGATTTGTTTAAGCAATCAAGGAAATGCTAGCCCGACAATGGTGCGTTCGAGTTTGACATGAATTTTGGGAAGTTAATTTTGCAGCTATTGTCTTTGAGTTCGACTTGAATTTTGGAAAGCCAATTTTGTAATTGATTGTCTAGCTTCATTAGCGGCCGCAAATTTAGCAGGATACTATAGCTTAGATGATTCATCTACGATAGTGAAATCATGAGTGAGTTATGATATGATATGTGTTTTCTATCCGTGCAATATTGTAATATCACAGCTTTAAGTCTCGACCTTCTCTTTTGTACCAAAAACAGAAAAGAAATTTTACTTCTACTAAATGGAAAAAAAAATTAGATATGATTTATTGTACTATAATTTTCCTTTAGGTGATTATCTATTTAAAGGTCAGAGATAATTAAAATTCATTCAACTCATTTCCTATTAATTTCCTTATAAATTTTTTCCTTTGCATTTTTTCCTTTACATATCATCACTCATTTTGAAAAGCAAAGAAAAGTCAAATGAGTTTTTTGGGGAGAAGAAACAGAAAAAAAAAAAAAAAAAGTTTAGGGGTACAAAAATGCAATATTCCAAAACTTCAGAGACAATAATCGCAATTTTCACTTCTCACGTGGGTGCTTCCTTAAACCCTAAACCTTGCTAAAAACAATTCATCAGAAAATACTCTTCCAAAATTACTTCTGCGAACAGTATTTCATCAATTCGATCGGAGATTCACTTCTAACAGCTGCAAAAGCGTCTCTTCTCCGATGATGGCCACCAAATGCAGCAGAATTATCAACAGAACTTCAATTTCATCCCTCAAATCCGCCTTCAAAAAGGCTCCGTCCCCTGCTTGCACACCGCCTACGTCGTCGTTTTCGAGAATACCTGCTTCCGCGCCATCTACTCCTCGCCGTTTCTCACTCTTCTCAAGGTCTACCTCTTTCTCTTTTAGTTTTCGAAGAGATTTTTGGTACTTGAATTACTCGTATTTGTTCGAAATATGGAAAAAACATACTGTATATTAATTGAGGGAAGGAAATTTCAGGATTCCGTCGGAATTGGGAGCCGTGCAGTCGATGCTGCCGCTGCATAGCACGGTGGCGGCGGCGAGGTTGACGTCATGCCTAAGCACAACATCGAGGAGCTGTAGGGCACTTTCACAGGGTACACTCTGCTGCACTTCTCCAGACCTCTAGTATTCTTAAATAGTATGTTTTCCCAATTTTAATTTGTCTATTGATTCTTATTGAACATGCATTTCTGCTCCTTTGTTCATTTTCAGTGAATGTTAGTTGAATGAAAAATTGATAAATTAAATTTCCTGTTTAAAACTACCCAAACCTTAGTTCCCAGATTTTTTTTATCCTTTCAGAGTAGAAAGAACTGTGGGAATATTGGTTGAAAGTCCAATCCAAATCTTAGGTTACTGCTTTTTTCCGCTATTTTGGGTCCTTGACTTTTTCGGATGATGCTGGTAGTTTTCTGTAAGTACATGAATCAGCTCTAATGTATGCTCCCCTGTGGTAGATCATGGATCACTCATGTTTGTCATTCTTATTTGATTGTCCGATTTCTTCTCATATTGCTGCCTCTGTATCATCTTAACAATTCAAGGCTGTTTGTCTTGGGGCTTTAAGAACTAAGGTGTACTATGTGGGATTGATTCTGAGTTAGTTGTAGGCCTTGAAGTGTTTAATTTTGGTCTTTGAACTTAAGAGACAAAGTATTTCTAGGCTCTATCCATCAAAAGTGGGGAATGAAAGTGAATGCTGTACAGATAATACGTCTGTTAGTAAATTTGGGAAGCTGCTCTGCCAAACAATCAAATAGTAATTTGGGAAGCTGCTCTACTAAACAATCGAGTCCCTGTCAAAGAGAAATGTATTACAGAATCCTGATGGTCTGTTGAGGATGAACCTTGTTAAATATCCGAGTTTCAGCTTGACTTGTCAATACATTTTGTGTGTGACTGCTTGAAATGGGAACTTAAGTAGTATCTTTTTCCTCCACAATATAGTTGTAAAGAAAAATGCGGTAATAGTTCACCCTAAGCATTTACTAGTTTCACTTATTTAAAAGATTTCCATATGACAAACTAAACTTTTAAAGGCAGAAGACATTGATCTGCTATCTGACTGGAATATTTGCATGCTTCCTGCAGGCACATGAGTTTCCAAAAGCTTGAAAGAATTATACTGCCATTTTACAAGGTCTTCCGATTATTTCTCGTTGCATTATTTTCAAGTGTGGCATTTTGGATAAGAGAGCTACTTTCAATGAATATTAAAATGAGGATTAAATAACATAAAACTTTTCCCTCATATCTCTGAGCTGTGATCCATAACTCTTTGTTCACTTATAAGTTGGTTTTTGAGGGTAGTTCATGAGCATATGAGTTGCCTTTATCTCGTCTTTCCTTTTGGGAGTTTTGAAGTAGTTTTGCTGGTGAAAGAGTATCGAATATTAGGTTCCCCCACTCCCCACATTTTGGTCTGTTAAATTGTTTTGATGGTTGGTTTGGCAAAGGAATCATACAAGTGTTCTTCTGCATTGGTTATAGGGTGATTGATAAATGGCGCAGGGTTGAAAAATCCAAATTACAATAGTTTGTTTTCTTGAGAAAAGTAGGGTAATTGAAGTGTTGCTTTCTGATAAGAAAAGCTCGTGTGCTTGAAAGTGACATCAATACGTCTTTTCAACTTTTCTTTTTGAATTGCTGCCAGGGAAATTAGCTGCATTGGCATGATAGTTTACTCGATCATATGATAAATCTGTTCGCTGAAAATTTATCCGTTTAAGAAATTTAATCTCTGTATTTGATGATTTGTGCATTTGCTTGAAATGGAATGTTAGTAACAAGAATTTTCCTTTTCCCAGATGAATATGATGGGACGTGATTCTGATACAGTTTGTTCTCTATTTGTTGAATTGTTAGAGCTGGGTTTGTCAGTCCCAAGGTGACATCGATTGCTGACATTGCCAGAGAAGAGCCACGTCCTTGTGAATGGATTAGCAGGGTTTTTTTGATTTACTGTATTCTCTGCAAACATTTTCTGAAAAGATTATCAAACACACTTATTATTTTGACCGGAAATTTGTTTGCGTAATGATTGCATAGATTTATCTTTTTGTTTCACAACAGGAAAAAGTTTCTGCAGCTACTTCCTCTCGAAATGTACTTCGAAGTTTGGTTAAATAATGCAATCTTATTTGTTCATACTGCAAAGAACAGTGATGAAAATGTACGTTTTTGCAATAACAAACACTTGCATTCCACGCTTGATCTCGAGTTATGGCTACGATTTGCGTTTACATAATAGTTTCGATTATGCTTAATTGTAGATCATTTAGCTGCAGGGGCTGCCCCTTGAGCACAGATTAATTTAGTGTCAAAACAGAGTGTCTTTATGGTGGCTTAAAAGAAAATTATATTTTTGAGTAGGATTGGAGGTACAAAGTAAGTTTAATTAGAAGCACCAATGATTTTTAAATCTAGTTCAAGACAATTTCAATTTATTTATTTTTATCATTCTCTTACGAATGATTATGTTTGGACGTTGTAATCTAAAGACCAAAGGACAGTGCAGAATTAGGGTTTCAGAAGTCCTATATTTCTTAGGAAAGTTAAGTTCTGTAGTATCTTGGCTGTTTCCGTATTTTAGGAATTGTATTAATAATAGGATACGCGGGATATGACATGATATCGTCTTCTCTATGAATAAATTAAGGTTTAAGCCCAAGTTAGTGTTTAATTAAAAAAAAGAAAAGAAAAGAAACAGTTGATCGATGAGTATGGAGTGTTGGAAGATAGTATGTCTTTCATCGGCTTTTCCGATTTTGTTAATACTCTTTAGGCATCGATTCCGTATTTTTGATGATAAGGTTGGTTTCCACCCAACAACACCGCCGATTGAATTGATGAATGATGATGATGAAGCATCAACCTGTCCGATTTGTATGGACAATTGGACCACCGGCGGCGAACACCGACCTTGTTGTGTACCATGTGGTCACATCTACGGTTTGTCCTGTATCCAGACCTGGCTAAACCGACGGGGCAGTTGCCCCCAATGCAATCGCAGCTACAAAACCGAAGACATTCGGGTGCTTTTCGCGGCCCGAATCGTGGCTCTTGATGATCAACGAGATCTGCGCGAAAAGATTCAATCGCTTGAATCCAAATGCGCGGCTTATCTCGATGATCAGCAAGAGTTACAAGGCAGGATTCGGACTCATCTTCGTGACCGAAAGGAGTTACAAGAGAAAATCGGAAAGCTCGAAGCCGAATGCGATGCTCACGAGGATCATCAGCAAGAGTTGCGCGACAAGATTCGGACTCTTGAATCTGCTCTTGATGATCAAGAAGGGTTGCAAGAGAGGATTCGATACGCGGAATGGTTTAGTACAGAGAAGGAATGGCTAAAGAGAGAACAGGAATGGTTTATGAAAGAGAAGGACTGGGAAAAGAAAGAAGGGGATTTACAGAAGCAGCTGAAAAATCTTGGCACAATTACACAGTTCATCTTGTGGAGTTGGTTGAGGTCAGAAGAAGCACACAAAAGGGACATGGATTCTACTCTATATTTCGACGGAGAAGAGAGTCAGAGTCGGTTTAGTATCAGGTGGATTCTTCGTAAATGGCGATTCTGTTCTTCATAGAAATAGCAATTTTTGTTATAACACATTGTTGATCCCATTTGTTAATCTGATAAGTGTAGTAGAACACTTGATTTTCAATTTTGATTTTTTTTTTTAAAAAAAAAACTTGAAGAGAGATAATAAAGTTTTAAAGTCCTTCTACATACGAATTGCGTTTAAAATAAGCTGAAGTTTTCCGTTCCCTTCTACGTTGGAACTGCGTTTAACATAAGCTAAAGTTTTGGGAAAACTTCGACTAAGATAAATCGACTTTAAGCAGAATTTCATGCATAACAATAATTATGGATCGAATCTTGTTCTCTTCCCTTTCCAACCCAACACCAATGGACATTGATGAAATTTCCCGTTCAACACCAATGGACATTGACAAACCTGCTGGAAAAAATGGTGAACAGATCACGGCGAAACGAGAACCGGAGAAGAAGGATGATATTGAGAATACGGAGGGTTTAACTTGTCCAATTTGTATGGATAGTTGGACGGCCACCGGGGAGCATCAAGTGTGTTGTCTACCTTGCGGTCACCTGTTTGGGACGTCTTGTTTGAAGAGGTGGCTTAATCAACGTGGTGGTTGGCGAAGCAAGTGCCCTCAATGCAGAAGCTTGTGCAAAGTGTCGGATATTAGGTTACTTTATGCATCTCGAATTGTAGCTGTTGATGATGACCACGATAAACAAGAATTGCAAAAGAAAGTCCAATCTCTTGAATCTAGATGCGCTTATTTGGAGAAGAAGGATTCAGAATGGTGTAGGAAAGAGTGGGAATGGCGAATGACAAGCATGGGATTTGGGCAGGCACGAACCACGAGACAATTCTAAACGAACACACTTACAATTTTAATAAGAAAGTAGCGTGTTGTAATTTTGTTACAACCACCATAGGGCGGTTGATTGAATTCTTTTTGACATTCATCTTTGTAATAAGTAACGATATCAAGACTTTGTAGCTTTATAATTCTTCTCTCAGATTATTACAATTTATATCTCATGTGTATCATGAGATTTACTAACATTGCATTTAAGCTTCAGAAGTTCTATACTCTTACATCATGAGCATGATATATTCTACCCTTCTAGAAAAGTAGTCTCCTTTGTTGAACTAAAATAGTATAACAAAGTGGACTATTTTAATTTTTTGGGACAAAGGGAATATGAAAATAGTTAGCTAGTGTTGTTCCTAGGAAGGAACTGGCAGTACCTGTAGCATATCAAGCTAATAATTTTAGTTACACAAATTATTGAAACATGACCCAACATCCAAACAATTGCACAACATAAAGTAGTCCTAAATAACCATAAGCCTACTACTATTATGAAGAAATCAACCGGACCAAAATGCTTGAGCCAACTGAAGAGAGTGATATTGGAGTAATTAACCATTCAAACAGGATGAATATGTAGGGGGCAAAAGCCATTAAGCTACAGTTAATTACTCTTTCTGTCTCACAAAAGTAATTTGCTTTATTAATCTGTTTTAGTTCAATAAGATGGGCATTTTTCATCTCACAGGCAATAGGGGGACGAATTGGTTTCTCTCCCGCCTCAAAAACTACGTATTCGACGTCATCATTAGTACTTTTAATCTTCCAATCTTGTGCTACAAACACCATTGCTTGAAAAGGTTTAACAGAATCCAGCTGCCCTCTTGGCACGGTAATACGAATCCTTAAAAAATCGGAACCCGAGATTTGGACAGAAAGGAGGGAGGATTACACCGGCCGGAGAGGAATGCACTCAACGTCATAGCCGCCGCTTCTCTTTAATTGCCGGACGAATCTCTATAAAATCTTCATCAGAAGCTCTCGCTGATCTTTGATATTCTACATAGTACTACAGATGATCCCAATGCGTACTGTCATCAGCTAGTATCTCTGGAAATCTGAAATCAATCGCAGAAATAGATATGTTATAAATTGGCCCCGGTTTTTTTTTTTTTTTTACTTTTTATAAGAAAGTGATTCTGTACTATAACAATTCCTTCCTTATATAATTAGGATTCTTTTCTTAATCTATAGCAATTAAGCATCATAAAGTTAGTTTTCAAAAGATTTCGCAGGAAACCCATCCCTATGGGTCAAATTTTTGGCCGTCTCCGCCATGAAAAACCTCCTACACCTACCGCACGGAACAGGGATGATGATCAGATTGATGGCTTGATTTGCCCGATTTGTAAAGAGGGATGGACGACCGGCGGCGAGCATCAGGTATGTTGTGTTCCCTGCGGCCACATATTTGGCCGGTCTTGTATAAATTCATGGCTTTCTAAAGGCAGTGGCAATTGCCCACAATGCAAAAGACTGTGCAAAATCGAAGATATTCGAACCCTTTATTCGTCCCGAATTGTTTCCGTTGATGAAGAGTTGCAGAACCAAATCCGATCTCTTGAGTCTAAATGTGCTTCCTTAGAGGACAAGGATATTAAGTGTCAAAAGAAATTTGCTGCCTTGGAGATAGATTATCAAAAGCAAGTTGCTGCCTTGGAGAAGGAAGATCGAGATTATCAAAATCAGGTCCAATTTCTTGAATCCAAATGCGCGCTCTTGGAAATTCATAATCAAGAGTATCTACATCAACTCCGATCCCTTCAACAATCTAAATGCCCTTCCTTAGAGGAGGAGGAGAAGGTTGAAGATTTAACTCAGGAAGAAACGAAACGTTGTATTATTGAAGATGGGAATAAAAGGGCATTGAAAGAAACCAGAAAGAAACCAGGATAATTCGGTGGTTGCCTCCAATGGAAGGTTGGGTTAAATTGAATGTCGACGGTATTCTGAACAAGGAAACCGGTGAGGTTAGTGCCGGAGGAATTGTTAGAGATGACCAAGGTCGATGGAATGGTGGATTTATGATGAACATTGGGATTGGGATTAATTCGATGTTTGGGGCAACGCTTTCGAGCTTGTTTCTTGGGCTTCAATTTGCTTGGGATTTAGGGGAGAGAAGAGTTGTAGCAGAAGTTGTTGATAAGAGCATTGTTCAAATGATTGCTGACCCTAACCAGCAGAAATGTCATAGTGTTCGTAGAAGATTAATCCGAAGAATAATTAATCTCTACAGGCGGAAATGGCTAATAGCGATCAAACATGTTGATAAAGAAGCCAATTTTGCTGCTAATTCTTTGACATTGCTGCGGGCGGAAAGGCGAGGTGGTTATGACTATGAGCATCTTTCCGAACCTCCAGAAAGCATCAAGCGGTGGTTAGAGTACGGTGTAGTGGGATTATCTCGTCCACAAAATATATACTAGTTTAATTTACAAGCTATCTTCTTTTGTTTTGTATCGACAAAAAAGAGAAATAATAGTGTTAGAGAGCAGGTGGTGACTTTTTATCTTTCTTAAATTAAATTTTTTTTGTCCCATCAATTTGGTTCTACTCCTATCAGAAACAGGAAAGTATGTGTTTAATCTTAATCCTATTAGAAATAGGGACCTAGAGAATTCTTTGATTCGACATTATTATATCTATATAAACATAGTTCTTTTAAGCCTGCATGTTTGTTTTATTTGGCTTTCCAGGTTTTGCCTAAAACCCTAGTTTAATCATGGTAAAAATTGTTCGTTATTTTCCCGGGGATACCGCTGAAGGAGAATGGAACATGGACGATGATGATGGGTTGATTTGCCCAATTTGTAGGGATGTTTGGACGACCGGCGGCGAGCATCAAGTGTGTTGCTTACCCTGCGGTCACATATATGGCAAATCTTGCATCAAGACATGGCTTCTTCATCCAAATAGCGGCGGTAAATGTCCACAATGCAACAGCAACTGCGTAATCAAAGATATTCGGACACTTTATTCGTCCCGAATAATTGCTGTTGATCATGAGATGCAGAAGCAAATCCGATCCCTTGAGTCTAAATATGATTCCTTAAATCTCTTACATCTCTTAGATCAATTTGAGTCTCTTAAATCTGAGCGCGCTGTCTTAAGGGAGAATAACCAAGAGTTGCGAGAGAAAGTCAGGTCTCTCGAATCTCAAAACGCTTCCTTGAAGGACAATGATCAAGAGTTGCAAAACCAAGTCCGATACTTTGAATCTAAATGCGCCTCCTTAGAGGACAAAGATCAAGAGTATCGAAATCAGGTGCGTTCGCTCGAATCCAAATGCGCCGCCTTGAAGAAGCACGAGCAAGCGTATCAAAGCGAAGTCGCATATCTAAAATCGGAATGCGGTTCCTTCAAGAGGAATAACCAAGAGTTGCAACATCAAGTCCAAATTCTCGAATCTAAATGCTTAGACTTCAAGACGAATGATCAAGAGTTGCAAAAGCAAGTCCGGGTTCTCGGGTCTAAGTGCCCCGCCTTAGAGAGGAAGGTTGCGAGGTTGCGTTGGAAAGAGATGATAAGAGGAGGCTCTATCAAAACCAGGATGATTGGGTGGTTATCCACCTTGAAAGATTGGGTCAAAGTGAATTCCGATTTTTCACTAAGATGGAACGCTGGCAATAAGGCTAGTGCCGAAGGACTAGTTAGGCTTGACGAAGCGCGCCAATTGCAGGGTGAATTTCTTAAGATTTTTGGGATTTCTTTGATCAGTACCCTCTTTTTCCTTGGCTTCATTTATTGCATTCAGAAGTTGATAATCCCCAATGACCACTAAGGATCTTGGTGGAGGTGAACCTTAATCCAGCTAATAGTTTCTAGTATTAGAGATTTGCCAGTTAGTTGTGTTCTTGTGTAAGTATATTTTACTACGGCCACCACCAACATATGCGCAATTGGGTCGAAAAAGTTTTTCCTTCCCTCGAACAATTTCTCCAGTTTCTCTAGTTTTTATGTTGGACAGTATACATGTTACCGTTCCAGGTAAATCAACAAGTAGCGGACGAGCAAATCGTAGGAAGCAACTGTTGTACACACTTTAGGTATCCAAAAACATGCGAAACTTTAAGAAACTACTAAAAACATATTTGAAGCAAATCACAGACATATTAATGTCCTCGTACTTTAATAAATAACAATTGACCCCAAAAATATTTAGCCACAAATGGCTGCGGATCATAAAAGTAGATATTCGAGTACTTCATGCATCTCGGATAGTTGTTCCTACTTATGATTAATGAGAGCGGGATTTACTAAATCAGTTGCAAAGTCTTTGGAATTAGACGTCACGACTTATTTGGAGTGGAGGGTAGCATTGGTGTGAATCTAGTCCTACATCATATAGATATACTAGATTTATCCGTGAGTGTTGCTCGATTTTAAATAGAAAAAAAAATTGTAAAAGTTACTCCATTTATCCAAAAAAAAAATCCAAAATAAAAAACATATAAAAGATACATATGATATATGAATAAAAGTTGATGATCATCTAAATGGTCAATTTAGTCTCTGTTTGATAAACCAATTAAACACTTAAACTTATTAATTAAGTACTTAATTAATTAGCACTGTTTGATAACATAATATCATAACAATTTAATTGATTAAGAACTTAGTTTATTAAGGACTTAAATTTTAAGTGTGTTTGATAACTCAAAGTAGGATGTCTTAATAAATTAAGTAGGTTTGAAATGCTAGTACAAATGTGAGTTTAAAAATAAGTGATAGGCCTATCACTTATGTCTGAACTGAATTCTTGAGACGATTTTTTTTCTATTTATTTATTTTTAAGTTTATACTTTTGATATTTTATCTTGAAATATTTTTATTAATCATGATGTCTAGTTCTAAATTAAAATTTATGCAAATTATTTTTTATTTAATAAATATTTATTTTTATATAAAAATTAAAATCCATTAAATTCCATGATCAATATATATATATATATATATATATATATCTACCATAAAATATGAATTTTTTTTTGACAATGATAAAATATGACATTATTATTAACTGAAAAAATAATAATGTAATAAAATTTAAATATTTTTATTACATTATTTAATAATAATATTATTATTTTTATTATCATAGTTTCATATACATCAATTATTTTTTAGATAAAATTATAAGTCGAGATACTTTAAATTTCAGTGTTCATACTTCAGATTTCAGACATTTTATTCAGTGTTTAGATTTTGGTTTTTATCAAACACGACAAACTTTATCAATTCAATACTTATGATTTAGTTTTCAGATTTCAGACTTCAGACCCAAATTAAGTTTTATCAAATGGGCCCTTAGTCGATCTCTATTTTTCTGATAGGGAAAAATGGTTTTTTTGTGGGGAGGCTTTTGGACAAGGCCGGAGCTGCCCCAGCTGAATTTTTGTTTTTGGGTTAATATCCCCTTAAAATTTAAGATTTTTTAGTTTTTGTCCCACCTAAATTGAAAATCTTAATGGGTAAACATGTTAAATTAAAAAATTTTGAAAATTATATCTTTGGGGCTTGGCTCCGCCCCTGCTTTTGGAGGAATCCTTAGTGCAATTTTTTTGGGAAGACTTTTGTACATATCTTTAGGTGTTTTTGAATTTTATGGGTAAAAATAAAACTTTCAACAAATTATCTTCATTTATCTTTAAAAACTAAACCCTAATCACTAGCAAAGAAAATTACCAAAAGACCCTCATATAGTAAAACACTATTCCTATTCCTACAAGGCTACAACTACAATTATTATGTCTGTATAAATACAGTTCTTTTTCAAGCCTATATATTCGTTTTCTTATATTTCAGATTTTGCCTTAAAGAACCCTTGTCCAATTATGCATTAAATTTTTCGTTATCTTCTCTGTGATACCACCACCGCTAAAGAAGAACCGAACAGAGAGATTGATGAGGTTGATGGGTTGATTTGCCTAGTTTGTAGGGATTTTTGGACGGATGGAGGCGAGCATCAAGTGTGTTGTGCTCCATGTGGTCACGTATATGGGCTGTCTTGTATAAAGTCGTGGCTTTATCGAGGTACCCGAACGTGTCCACAGTGCAACACCCGGTGCAGACTCCGCGACATTCGAACACTTTACGCATCTCGAATCGTTTCTGTTGATCATGAGCTGCATAATCAAGTCCTCTCACTTGAATCTAAATGAGCTGCCTTAGAAACGAAGGTTGAAAATTTGCTTAAGGAGTCCTCTATCAAGATCTGGATAATTCGGCGGTTTTCAACCTTGATAGATTGGGTCAAAGTGATCAATTCCAATGGTTCACTTAAGAAGTGGAATGATTAGTTTTGGGATTCCTTTGATCATTATCCTCTTTTGTGCTTTGCTTTGGGATCATTTATTTCCGACAGTAGAAAGGGAAAAATTTACCTTAACCATTTATTTTTTTTATTTTTTCATTTTTATTTTTCATATTGGAGGGTGTCCACGGTCTACCTCTCGCTCATGGTCGATCTTGCTTGATGGATGGAAGAATACCTTAAGCATTAAGTGCACATAATTAGGGGGAACCTTAATCCAGCTTTAGGGTTTCTAGTACTCTGAGAGTTGAAAGTTGTTTACTTGTAAGTTGGTTGCACTTTATTAATAAAAAGAATTGGGTCGAAAATTTTTTCCCTTAACGATCCCTCACTAATGTCCGTGTACAAATAATTGCACGTATTGTTGCGAAAAACAATGAATCATGAAAATAGACAAAAGTCACCAAAGAGTCATTTGTGTATTCCTCTTTATCTGCATCATATGCCCAGGGTTTTTCGACCATGATTCATGAATAGTAAATTAATGCTCAACTGAAACCAAGAAGGATGGCAGCCCGTGGATATGATAAGTCACTGTTCACTAAACGATAATCAAAGTTGAAATGTGTGAGAGACATTTGTAACATCTGAATGCAATGAAACTTAACAATCATCAAATATTCTACGAAGGTGGAAGCTGTAAAACTCTGCCTCTAGGGATCTTAACTAGAAGTGTGTTATGTATTTGCATTAACAATCAACCCTCTTCTATTTTAGGACAAAAAAGAATATAAAAGAGGTTTCAGGTCAGATTATCCTAATGTATTTTTCCAAAATGATTATGGATTATTGGAAGAGACTTGTTTCATCGTTTTTTCTGGTTTTCTCTAAATTTACTTGTCCTCTTATCAACAATCAAATCTACTTTCCTTCTTTTCATGCTACTGCTTTAGAACCAACACCAAAACTGATGAACTTGAAAAAGAGAGATGATGATGAAGTTGATGGGCTGATTTGCCCTATTTGTATGGATAGTTGATCGAACGGCGGCGAGCATCAAGTGTGTTGTTTATCGCTGTTGGACCGATTTTGGCGAATCTTGTCCACATGAGTTGGACTGATCGCAGCAATAATAATGGGAGGAAATAAAATCATTAAGCCCGCAAGGATTTTATTTAAGGCTCAAAGAAGAAGCAGTGGGCAACAATTCGAATTTGAGAAGGAATCGTCAACATTACAGTTCTTGTCCGAGACGGATTTCAACCGTAACAGAAGTCCTTACTGGATTCGACTTTGGTTACATTCCAACTAGGGTTAGCGGATCTTCTATAAAAGCTGTAAAGGAGAGACGGGAGAAGACACAACTCATCATACAGAAATCATATTCTTAGTTCCTTTATACCTTTTATCGTTTATTTCTTTCAAGCTTTCATACATTCTTTTACGTTTCAGTATTAATTCTTGTAACCTTTTATCGTTTATTTCTTTCAAGCTTTCATGCATTCTTTTACGTTTCAGTATTAATTCTTGTAAGCTCCTTGATGTTTCTGGCTGTTCATAGCCGATTAGTTTCTCATCAATTCAATAAAGCTGGCCTTGATTGGCTGTTTTATTCATTTTCTTGAAACTATTCATTGTTTCGTCATCAAACACTTGAATATTCAATCTCATCGCGAGTCGAAGGCGTTGATATATCTAGATAATTTTAACAGTTGGACTCCGGATTTTAAAATATCACACAATCGTTTGAAATTAGTTTGAGTCGAGTCAGTCTTCACTTTCAAATACAATTTTGACTCAAACAATCGTGTGGTGACATTTATGGTAAATCTTGTATCAATAAATGGCTTCTTCGACTCGGTGATCATCGCCGTGGAAATTGCCCCCGATGCAATACCGAGTGTGAAGAAAAGGATACTTGAGTACTTTATGCATCTCGAATGGTGGTCTCCTCTGATCAACAAGAGTTGCAAAACCAAGTCCAATCTCTCCAATTTAAATGCGCCAACTTAGAAAAACGTAATTCCGAATTGTATAGGAAACACCAGGATTGGCGCCTTATAAAGGAGGGGGAGGAGAGGATGTTAACTGCTTTTGGAAGAGGAGAGGAGAAATATGAAAGGGCAAGATTTATCAAATCAGTTGCAAACTCTTCGTAATGGACATCATGGGAAAATAAGTACAGCAATTGTACCTTTATTCTTACTATCATTTTTAGTGTTGCCTGCTATCTACTACATGAGAATAAATCACGACCTCCTCTGTCCGATTGAATCACAATTTTATTTTTACCCCACTTGATATTTCAGATTATGCAATTATTCTAGATGTCACATCTTATTTGGTGGTTTTCGTTAAGCAGAGTGCACTTACCATCCAATCCCTCAGAACCTAAGAAGGGATTTGGTAATCTACTTTATGATACTAGTAATAGAAGAGAGTCTCCATCCAGTAACCGCACCTTGCATTGTTAAACAATGGCAAATTTGTAATGATTTTTTTTTCCATATTGCAGGGTGTCCACCGACAACCGTGACTAATCCTCCTCGTTCATGGTAGGCACCTCGATGTGTGGGAGAGCTAAGATTTGTAATGATTATTAATTGATGCTACTCCATCTGTTCCTTATTATAAGGCATTTTGATTTCGTTTTAGGTTTCACCTACGATGTCTTTTTAATTGGAATAAAATCCTTAAAAATATTTCATAATAATTAGGAGAACACAATGAATGTGAAAATACTCCCTCCGTTCCATAAAAATAGTTCAGTTTAATAAAAAAGTTTGTCCCAAAAAAATAGTCCAGTTTCACAAAAGTCAAAATTAATTGAATTGAAATGACTTAAATATCCAAAAGAGTGGTGGTAAGGAAAACAAAGTCCACTTCCTTTGATTTTCTTTTTTTTAGTTTTTCCCATTTTTTTTCAAATGATTATATCTTTTAATACATGAATAATTAAAAAATGTGTCATATATCAAATTAATCTACGTAACGAGATCTTTTCATCAAGATCTATTATCAATATTTTTTTAGATAAAAATTTTGATCAAATTTATGTTGTAAAATAAATGCATATGTAGTTAACTTTAATAGAAATAACTAAAAGGGCATTAATGGAAATTATGGGCATAAAATGAGTTGTATATTTGGTGTGTTGACCAAATTAAAAAAGTTGTATATTTTCAAACTGGACTATCATTTTGGGACAGAAGAGTATATTTTTAAGATTTTTTTTTTCCAATTACAAAAATATTTTAGGTTAAACCTAAAATGAAATTAAAATGACTTATAATAAAGACCGGAGGGAGTATTTGATGTATAAGAGGACCTTTTTTAATTCATTTTTTGATTTACTGTAACACTTCATTTTCCTGGTATACAATCCCGCGAGGAAGAGGTCAATATATTTTCTGAAAGTCCCAAATGTGGCTCAATTTGAGTATGCATTTTCAAGTTCAATCCAGCTATGGCCTGCCTCTTTCCTTACGTTTCTCTCCTTCATCAATGCCCTAATGTTTCGAACATCTTTCCACTTCTCGTTACCAGCGTAAAGGTTGGACATCACCACGTAAACATATTCACTATCACCTTCCAGTTTCATTACCTTTTCTGCTGCCAATTCTGCGGCTTCCACATTTCCACAACCAACAGAAGCTGAAAGCAATGCTCTCCAAACTGCAGAACACGACTCAAATCCCAACTCATTGATCATGTTCTCTGCCCCGTTTAACTTTCCTTCCTCTCCCATGATCCTAATCATGCAAGAACAATGCTCTGCTGTAGCATCAATCTTATAGTCATTCATCATCGACTTTAAGTATAGATTTGCAGCCTCCAAAGGCACCCTACTGTGCCAACAGGCAGACAAAACATTGAGAAATGTAATCCCATCTGGATGTAAATCTTGCACTTTTATCAACTGTTCGAACAACTGAATCACCTTGATGAAATGTCCATTATGAGCATAACCGGAAAGCATTGCGTTCCAGGTGATCAAATTCTTATTCTGTAGTGAATGAAAACAGATCTCAGCTTCAGTTATTCTCCCACATTTTGAGTACATGTCAATAAGGGCACTTCCAACAACCACAGATTGATCAACACCACACTTAATGGTACAACAGTGTACTACCATCCCCCAAATGATAGCCGACAAACTTGCAACTCCACTCAAAATACTTGAATAGGTGAACTGATCCATCCGAACACCAGCCAACTGCATTTTGCAAAAGAATTCCAAAGCATCCCTTGCCCTATTACGGTTGACATAGCCGGTTATCACAGAGTTCCATGATGATGAATTTGGCTGGGGCATCTTGAATAGAATGTCAATAGCATCTTCAATATGACCAAATTGTGCAATGCCACTAATAACCTCATTATATGATATTGTATCAGGACCACTCATTTGATGCAAGAAATTCAATGCCTGTTCAAGCCTCCCATTTCTAGCATTAGCCGCTATAACCGAATTAAGAGATATAACATCCTTCTCATTCATCTCCTCAAAAACCCGCACAGAATCTTCAACAGCTCCACATTTGCCATACATGTCAGTTAAGCAGTTTCCAACAACAACACTACTAGCGACACCAAGTTTGACGATCTTGGAATGAATTGATCTTCCCAACAACAAAAAGCTCAGTTGTCCACAAGCCGATAAAGCAGCTGTACAAGAGTAAGAATCTGCAGAAACATCACAAGTTTCCAGCTGGATAAACAGATTCAGAGCTTTCCTACACTGCCCAGAACGAATATACCCAGAAATCAACGAATTCCAAGAAACTAAATTCGGATGAGGCATTTCATCGAACAAGTTATGGGCCTCATTTATGAGCTCGAACTTAAGGTAGAAATTGATCAAAGCCGTGGAAACAAACACATTAGAATCTAGCCCTGATGCTGTAGCTCGGCAGTGAAGCTGTTGACCTATCGAGAACCAATCGTTGCGGGTACTTTCACGGATCAAACGGACCAACTCACGGTCATTCGGATTGGAACAAGGGTTGAGGCCGAATTGGGCCAGCCCTGAATTGGAAATCGTTTCATTTTCTGGAAAAGGTTCAGTCTTGAAGCTAATCTGCTTCAACAACAAATCAGATGGCTTGGAAATGGACGCTAATGGCAAGTGATGATTCTTGAGTTTAGATATGTATCTTAGCATATACAGCTACTGGGTGAATGAAAGTTCCAGACCTCTAGTCTTGTGATTTTAAATGGGGACTTTTTTTATTAGCTCAGAACGCGAATCGGAACAAAGCTACTGTGTGCGTTTGATTACTGTGATTTTGTAAGACGTTTGGTTCTGTATAAATTTTGGAAGGTTTTTTAATTTTTTTTCTTCTAAAATTCATTTATTATGTAGAAATTAAAAATTTAAAATGTATTTTAACAATTATTGTGTTGTCTAAATTATTATAAATATTTTTAAAATTTAATTTTCAATTGGGATAACAAGATAGATGAACTTTTTTTAAAAAAAAGTTAAAATACCATACAATAAGTACAGGAGGAAAGTGCAAGAGAGTAATAGATTTGTTATTTTAAGTTTTAACACCTTTTCATTTTTATTTTTCTTTCGGAACAACATGGACTAGAAGAATTATTTTATTTTTAGCTCAACAAATTGGCTTCTTAAGATAAGAGAGGGATATACTCCCTCCCGTCCTTATTATAAAGCAGTGTATTTTGATTTTGTCTTAGGTTTTAACTAAAATGTCTTTTTAATTGGAAAAAAAAAAATTTCACTTTCGTTGTGTTCTTCTAATTGATAAGAAATATTTTTAAGGTTCTTATTTCAATTAAAAAGACATTCTAAATTAAACTTAAGACAAAATCACAATGACTTACAGTAAAGACCGGTCTACAACAGTTCACATGAGAATGCCTATGTTCTAATTTGTAGGGTGAAATTAGCATTGTCACCGCTTGCAGCAAGATTGGGTGGAGAATTGCGCAAAGAATATTTGAGTTACGATTGAGTTATCCCCCGCATTTGAAACAGTGCTTCTCAGTTCTCTCTAAAATCTGCGAGAACCTTTGACATAATCTTTTGGACTATTTTCTGTTGGTAAACCACTAGAGGATTGATGCTACGATCGGTTTAAGGATTCGCCTGAAACCATTTGTGAGATTTGTATTACTTGGAAACCATAGATATCCAGATGTTGTACTTTCTTCATCCCCATCTCCGCTTCCCCAAATGTACATTAATCAAATGAATTTTACAATAAACCGTATACTTTCTCTCCCCCAAAATCATGTTTATTATATTGTTTTAGTTCAATGACATGTCTCTTAACTCTGAACGGTGAAGTAATATGTTTATTTTGTTTTTTTAGTGTGTGTTTTTAGGTGTTTTTTGTTTTGGAAATGTAAAAAGGTATCATGTGATGAAGCAGTTATTAATATATTAATTTAAAAAAACAATAAAAAAAATGAAACAAATGAATGAGTACCACTTGGAGCTTGGAAGGATTTTTTATAAATCTATAAATTTAAGTTTTAGGCGGTTTCCAAAATGAGGAGAAAAAGGGAGGGGAGGTTTTTTTTTTCCTCCGATTTATTAGTTTTTGGGTATCTACAAATATTATTAACTTATAATAATAATAATTAGTAAATAACTTCATTCACTTATCTGGTGAACAACAAAAAAAATTAGTAACTGAAAAAAATGGATGGAAGCCCGGGCGTGACTTGTAAAAAAGAAGGATAGCCATCCAAATTTGGAGTAAAAAAACCCTGAAGTTTAACCTTCCATTTTGCTTGAGCAAAATTATGCCATCCCTTTGCAAAATTTTCAAGATGTTCATTATTACAAACATAACAAAATCAAGGCAGCGAAGAAATAACCGTAATGAAACCGTTCATCTTTCGAACCAGATAAAGAACCATAATCCCAAAAAAATAATCCAGAAAGGACGTGAATGTCACACTTTCATACTCATAATTTACAGTGCCAAGAGAGAAAAAGGACTTGTAGTAGAGAGAAATCTTTTTTTTTTTTTTTTTGTCTTTGTACAATTTGTACATACTTTGAATGTTAGCTGAAAGGTTGAAGAAAGAAAGCCGAATCGAACCCGGGCGAAAATCCCATAAGCCACATTGTAGAAATCCATTGATGATTTCTTGATAGATGATGATGATGATGATTCAGAGAGAAACGCAGGCGGTAATTCCATGCATGATTAGGCCATGCATTTGAAGATAGCAAAATAAAAGGAATATATTTCACATTGAGGAAGGGACCACCCCCAAAAAAAGAAGAAACGATTTTGATGATGACGGGATCATCAAGAAGAGAACACATTGAAGAAGTTGTGACTATAGGAGGATTAGTAGGATTGCAATTCATATATGCAGGGAATTCTGTACTTCTTGGTTATCTTATGATGTTAGGATTCACAACAGAATCTCTGGTCATCTTAAATTCCTTTGCTACATTCCTGATCCTGTTGCCTTTTACGATTATTTTCGAGAGGTTTGTTCTTTGTCTTCCTTCATTTGTTTTTGAATGAATGTTGATGCATGTTATTTGCTGTTTCATGACGTTTTGTGCTTGTTGGTACAGAAACTTATGGCCCAGAAAATTTACTCTGAAGCTATGGATTAAGCTAATTTTAGCTTCTTTTGGAGGGTAAGTGGAAGAAACACATGTTTTCTTATTGCTTATACAAAAGAAAAATCCTTATATTTAGCCTGCAAATTCAGGATAAAATGGAAAAACATATCTATCATAGATGCAGAGCAAAGGGTTGAACTTTGAATTGCTACTAGTCCTTCAAACTTTTCGCTCTGTTATGAATATCTGTCATAACGACTAAGGAAACCTTTTGGATGCTGATGTTTACTAAATTAGTGATTGAAACTATCTTTTTATGGACTTACACTGTGGAGGAAATAAAGAACAAAAGCAGCTTTGAGTTAGCAGCAGTCTCTTATGAGCTGCACATTTATGAGTTTCATGAACTGCTTGTTTTTTGTGCTACAGGGTGACATTGTGTCAGCCTCTGCTCCTGAAGGGAATAAATCTCACGTCACCAGCAATGGGAACCGCCATGCCAAACCTTGCTCCTGGTTTCATATTTTTTATCGCTTGGCTCTTCAGGTATCACGAATCTGGAACTGTTGTGTGCCTGGATCCTCTATTATGTATAAGATTCAAATGGCATATATATATGTATTAAGAATATGAAACTAGAACTTCTATAGGCTGCCAAATCTTGTTTCAGCACATATTGGGGTGTGAATTGTAGCAAACACAAATTAAAATCGGACAACAGATATAACCCTCATGATGATTTCAAGTACAGTTGATTAATCTTGTAGTCAATCATGTTTCATCAATCTGGCCTAATCATAAGATTTTGAATACTTCTCTTTTTATGTTTATCACTTTATGCATGGTCTACAACTTGTGATTAGCAATTCAATCTTAATGTTATTTGGATAGGTAAAATGCATTAGAACAATCAACTTGATCGTTGAATTGATTAGAAGTATTAACAACTGCTAAGTTTTCATTATGAGTTCAAATGCTCGCAAGAAACTCAAGTCATCTCATTTTGTGCAGGTTGGAGAAAGTTGAGTTGGGCTGCAAATATAGCAGAGCGAAAATTGCAGGAACAATGCTGTGCGTTATTGGCGCTGTTATAATGAGCCTTTTGCAAAGTACCATGGATGGTAAAACAGCAAGACAATCGCATTCATTATCATCTCATACCTTATTTGATGCACAAAAGATACTTGGCTGCATGTATCTAATGGTAGCGGTCCTTCTTCTGTCAAGCACTATTGTCTTGCAGGTAATTCAAAGACAGCCTGTGCATCTGAATAGAGGATCAGTTCACATTTTTAGTATTGAATCGCTTTCTTACCATCATGTTGCAGGCGACAATATTGGGCGATCTTCCAGCTCCAATGTCAATAACTGCAATCACATCTTTGTTTGGAGTGATATTGACAGGACTGGTCCAGTGGATTCAACATGGTAGAATAGAGACTGGATGGCCCTTGTTAAGTTTCAAAACTTTGATATGCTATTCTGCTGTGGTAAGTTTATCTATCCTTCAGACTCATCTGTTTCGTGATTCTTGCCATATACATTACTCCAAAAGAAACCGAATCAGAAACTTCTGATCATGATCATAACCTTTTTTGAATGCATCAGGCAGGTTGCATTAGTGGAGTATGTATTAGCTTCAATACATGGGCAATGAAGAAAAGAGGGCCAGTTTTAGTCTCCATATTTAATCCAATTGGAACTGTTATTGCACTAATCCTCTCTGTTATCACCTTGGAGAAGTCCTTCACCATAGGAAGGTAAAACATGAAAAGAAGTTATGGTTCATTCGCTCGAGAGCATGAAATATCAACAATCACCTAACAATCATTTGTGTCTCTTTTGTCGCAGTCTTGCAGGAATGTCCATCATGTTTGCTGGTCTCTATACTGTATTATGGGCTAAAGAAAAGGAAAAGATCATGACAAGTAATGAAGTACCAAAAGAAAGTGAGTACGACGTGGAGAAGCCTCTCTTATCTTGATTCTTGACTCTCTCAACTCTGTCCTATGAAAATGTAGCAGTTTCAGCTATTCTTGTACAGCATAAAGCATAAAAATGTGTATATTTGAAGAATCAGAATAGCAAGTAATCCAAGAGATTATGAAAGAATGAGTAGCTAAAACAGAGCTTTTAAATTCAAATGACAGTTTTTTTAGACCATATGGAAGAAGTTTCCAATCCTTAAAAGTCTTTTTTGCAGTTCCATGATTTACAAATGTCTGATCATGATCATTGGATGGTTCATTCTGGAGGAAAAGGCAGTAAATGGTCTGTACCTGCAATTTAGTTGTTTATAAAATTAGGTTGAGTTTAAAGTTAGAAGCAGTTGAATGGATAATTCAGGAGCTTTGGAAGAGTTGTGGGGTACTCTGAAGTCTTCATTACTTAGCCGAAAGGAATGATATACTGAATGTTTCTAACAAAATGTACAAATGGAAGTTTTCTGGTATTGGCTCTGTATTGTCCTATAATGTGTCCGCAAGAGTGGTAGTTTTGAACTTATTTCTCCCCCCACATTGTGTCCATTGTTAAGAAAAGAGATTCACTTTCGCCGCTTTATAAGTTAATTACTAGTACGCACATAGTGTAATTACTAGTACGCACAAGCATCATTCATACATGAAAAGAGATTCACTTTCGCCGCTTTATAAGTTATTTTTTCGTCAATCTCTAACTTTACATATACTCTTACTTTTCGTCTCAAATAAAGTTGTATAGATTAATCGTCATATAATCAGTCTAACAATCTTTTGTAAATTTGTAATGTAAGAAACAAACAAAAAGCTCTTTAAGGAAGAACCAAACAAATCTTCAAATCAGCTCATCAATTGAACCCACAAAAGGTTTTGATCCACACGAATTTGAAAGGCATTGGACATAGTCAAGAGTGTAATACATGATGGTCGATCCAACTTCGATGTTTTTCATGATAGATTTTAATTGGGTACAACATTTTGCATTTCTTGGGCACGACCCATGTTTCAAATTAGTCCACTAAAATAGTAAACTCGAGAGTGTGTGTGTGTGTGTGTGTCGGTGTCGTGTTGACCGTCTCTCCACCGCTTAAGTTAGTAAAAAAACCAACAAATTTTTAACTGAATTAGGCCTGGTTATTTTCTCCCATTTTCCACTTGTCAAAAACAATGGCCTCTCACTTGGGTTGCCCCGCATCTTTTTACTCATTTTTATTGGGGGGTAACAAACCTCTCACTCTAATCTCTCCATCATCCTTTGCTTTCTCTCTGAGTGTTGTGTTCTCATCCACAATCAACTAACTTTTACTAAAAACTAGGACTTCCCTCACTCACACAAACAACTACAAAATAGTCCTCCTCCTGCTCAATTTCACACCACCACCACAAACCCACTGTTCTAGTCTTTACCCTCTAATTTTGCCTCTTTTTATGTGACATGTTTATATCAGTTTACACCATTACTTTACTCTTTTACAACTAAACAAACACATACACACACACACACACATTCAGACAACCACTTTTACTACATTCCATCCCATTCTTACTTCTCAATTACTCTCTCATTCTTTCACTAAAACACACACACACACACACACACACACACACACACACATTCACTTGTTTGATCAAATTATGGTGCATAATAGTGAGCAACAACAACAACAACAAGAGCAACAGAAAGGGCATCAAGAACCAATCTTTAAGCATTATTGCAAGGTATGCAAAAGAGGGTTCGGATGCGCTGGAGCTTTAGGAGGGCATATGAGAAGCCATGCTGTTGGAGATGCACGTTGGAGTACTAATAACAATAATAATCAATCTTCTTCAAGCAGCCTTAATGATGATCATAATAAAGAGTTTGGGATTCCCAATAATCTCAGGAGCAAGGTACATCCCGATCATCATCATCATCAACAAGGTGAAAATGCAAAACATTCTTACTTCCTCCGAACCAATACTAATCGATTCATGAGTAACTACCGGAGTAGTTTTAGCGATGATCATCATGTTCGCGGTGAAAATAACATTAATCAGAGGAGATCTTTGATTCCGCGACATGGCATCGTTGACAATGATCGCGCAGCGGGGAAGTATTTGTTGTCCCCAATGTCATCATCTGAATCTGAAGTTGAAGAGGCGAATCACATGATCATCAAGTCCACAAGAGTGAAATCCGATACTAATTATCAAGATCATGATCGGCATTGTTCTGCTTCGAGCGAAGAAGAGGATCTCGCGAATTGTTTGGTAATGCTGTCAAACAGATCATTCGTTCTGTCTGAGGATCATACTAATAAGGTGCAGGGGACAAACAAGATTAGTAGTAGTACTAATAATTATCATCACGCGGAAAACAACAACAACAACAAAGGTTTGTTCCAATGTAAAGCTTGTAAGAAAGTGTTCAATTCACATCAAGCTTTAGGAGGACACAGAGCAAGTCACAAGAAGGTGAAAGGATGTTATGCTTCCAAATTCAATGAAAATGATGATCAATCATCCATCAATGAAGAAGATTTGATCATCAATCAACAAGCAGAGGAACTTCATTTCAACCAATCTGAAAATCCTTCTGAACAGCCTGCTGCAGAAGGGGTGATTGATCTTGATTATTCACCTAATCATAATCATGATCAGCTTCCAAACAGTACTAATCCTAATCATCATTCTTCAACATTGTCAAACAAAAAGTCCAAATCTCATCAATGTTCCATTTGTCAAAGGGTGTTCTCATCAGGACAAGCATTAGGTGGGCACAAAAGATGTCATTGGTTGACCTCAAATTTACCAGACAGTTCCATCATACAAAACTTGCAAGATTTCAACTTTGGTAACACTCAACAACTCTTCAAGAAGCCTCATAACATGCTCCCATTGGCAACGGCTTCATCATCCGAGGCGGCCCAACTTGATCTCAATTTCCCTCCAATGCTGAACAATGCAGCTGATAATCTCAACATGGGAAGTTACTATGAAGCTCCAGCAAGAACTTTCTTGCAATTGTGGAAAAATGAGGATCAACAACAGGTTGACAAAGAGCGCGATCATCATCAACAGCAGCAGAAGTGTACTAAAATCGCGGCGAATAAATCGAAGAATGATGAAGAAGATGTGGAGGAGGAGGATTGTAGGATGAAGAAGATAGCAAAGTTGAGTGATCTTAAAGATTCAGATTGGTTACAAGTGGGAATTGCTTCAACAACACATATATAAAAGCCACTCCCACAAAACACACAATATATAGAAGCAGAAGATTTATATACTATTGGTACAAAACTGAGAGAAAAAAAAACATTTAATCATAGATATACATACATTGATATACATTTGTACTTGATCCTGCTCATCAGTGGATCAACATACATCCATTCAATTGACTGATAATAAATTCATACCAAGATTAATGGCATTTTCTTTTCCATATTTGCAGCTACTTTGGGTGTTTTGCTGTTGTTATTTTCTCGGCCTATTTCGACAATGTGGGTTTACTAACACTGTCCCCAATAATTTGTTTATCTGATCCAACTGGGTATGGCCCAAAATTGAAACAATCTTGAAAAATCTTTCCATTTGGGACGATTTTCAGCGTATCTTTTTTATTAGAAATGTAAAAAGTTGGAGTTGAATATAAAAATAGTAGTGATATGTATAGAGAAAAAATGACAAGAAAAATTTATAAGGAATGATGTGTTAAACATCAAAACTGGACTCTAACCTTAAATGTTTAAACCCTGAATGAAAAGTTTTTTAAATAAATAAGTGAGATCATTTCCTTGTTATTTTTCCTTGTAATTTTCCTTATACCTATCATTATTCATATATATATATATATATATATATATATATATATATAAAGTCCAAATGGAAAATAGATTAATTCATTATTATGGAAAAAAGAAATTTTTACTAGATTTATTCGGTACTAACAAATTTTTACAGTATTTATCAAATGCCAAGTTTTTTTTTCTTTTAAAATCTCCTTTACATATCCTTTGGTGGAAATTGAGCCCAGCACAACATCCTAACAACACTAGGGTGTCATTCAATTCCCAATCAAATGCCAAATTTGTTATTCCATCCATTTCAAAATATAAGTCACTTTAGACTTTACACGTAAACTTAGGAGACAATCTTTAATTTATTTCAAAGGGGAAGATCAACAATTCAGAGAAATTGATAAACTTTAATTTGGCACAAATGTGTTGACTTCCATGTGTTCTATCAAGAATAGCTGAACAAATGCAGCAGCAAAATCAGACAGGCCATAAATACTTACCAAGAAGGCAAGAACAAAAGGAACCCAATGCATAAAACTAATGCCATCTTTTTCCCCTTCTCGAAATTGAATTGGGATGTCAATATTTGTATTTTGCCTTGGAAGTAGAAGATTGTACTGCCTAGTCATGTTTGAGGCAAATCAACAACACAGTTCGTATCCCTTCGTACCAACATAGTCAACATCAACATAATGTACCTAGTATAGTCTCAACTGAATTGGGTTATAGAGGATCAGTAGTTATACACAGTCTTACTCTTGTAATCATACAAATAGGATATTTCCATTACGACACACATTACATCAATTTCATTAATAGAAGAAGCATTGAAATGTTACATAGTTATTTTGATCTAATTCATTATTAGTACAGAATTAAAAGAATTGTTTCTATTTGCAATGGACAGAATACCAACATACTACAGCACCTAATTTTATTCAATCTTTCTTCTTCCACTCGTACACCAATGTTACTTTAAATCTTATAAATGGGGTTATGTCGGGGAAGAAAAATGCTGACTAAATTGCAAATTGTTTGTTTACGCACTCACAAATTTATTAAGGAAATGTACGATTTATCACGGATTAGTCTAAAGTGAAACACAAAGATTTTATTGTGGAAGTATGGAGAAATTAATTTCAAATGAAAAAATAAAATGTGATTCAATTAAAAGTCGTACTCTTTCCATTTTAAAATAAGTGTCATTAAATAATTCACACATAATTTAAAAAATACTTAAATATGGTAAGTAATTTAGGAAATTATTGTCAACCTACGTTATAATACTATTTTCTTTTGAGAATAATTTTAGAAAATTTGAACAAAAACTGTATTGAAATATGAAAATAATATTTATTTTAGAATATATCTATTTTGTTTTTTGATAACATTGGGCACTCCTATGCAAATTCGGGGTGACAAGCTCGGGTGAAACGTTATTTATTAAAATGATATTTGTTTCAAAATGGAAAGAATATTGGATGGAAGTCATTCATCGCAGCATAGACAATATGTTTGGATTTTTTTTTTTTAGTGTGTATTTTTAAGTATTTTTTTATTGAAAACAGTGGCGGAACCCTCTCTCGGCCGGCCAGAGGACTCCTTAATCGTACTCATGGTTTACCTCTCGCCATGTATGTCCGATGATTTTTCTAATCATAAACCCATAATTAACCCCCCTCTCCCCCAAATCTGTCACGCTAGTTTCGTCACTGATTAGGAATGTAAAAAATTGTGTTAAAAATATAAAAAGATATAATTAATGGGATGAGACAATTGAAAAAACCATTAAAAAAAGAAAACAAAAGAAATGCCTTGACCAAAAGAAAAGATTAATACACATATAAGTATCACGATGAGGGACAAAAACTTCACGACAATAGAACGTAAATAATAGAAAAGGTTAAAACCTGCTGACTAAATTAGAATAATTCTCTACCCGATTCATCCATCGTTCTTAAACATGGAAAGGTTTATATTTTGGTTAGATGTCTAACACCATCGAGGTATTTAACTATAACTTTGCAAATGAGCCATCGTTACAGACAGTAAATTATAGGCACACCATCATATGTATAGGAGTAGAAATTAGAAGCAAAGACATGATTTCTCAAAATGAGAACACACTAGCCATGTAATTAATTGTTTATTTAGTTAGAGAGGGAAAGAGGACAATAATAAAGCATAAACAGATACACAAAAACACAGAAGATCTCTTGTTGGGACGTACTTTGTGCCAAAACCAAAGGAAACATTGTTTTTGGAACTCAACAAAGGAAGAAGTAACATGGAAAAAGCTGTTGGCTGCAAAGCTTGCATGCATGCTACTACATATGTATGGTTCTTTCCCGAGTTTTATCTCTATATATTCACCTTCTTCACTGTTTCCCGCTTTCTCTTCTCTGATCACAACACATTAAAATATACTTCTAGCTAATAGTACTATTTCAGACTTTCTCAGTAATGCCAAAAAGGGGGAAACGAAATTTTTTTTAAAAAAAAAGACAAATTACTTAAAACTGTATTAAAATTAAATAACTCGTCAAACACGACTATTATTTTAACCTAATTAAGGTCTTACCGGCATGGTGCAACGAGTATAGCTAAACAAATCGATAATTGTGGAGCCATTCACAAATTATGAAGATTCACTTGATCCATAATACGAGGTCGTCGAAGTAGTAATTCTCTTGTGTCAAAATTAGAGTCGGCTTGTTGATTGAATTAAACTGGTTTCAATCATCTAGATTTTGAAGCTGCTGTCAAATCAATCAATTTAATTATAATTTTGAGACGAATAGAATGTGATAATACATGAGTTAGGCATAGTGTAATGTGGTATGTTGACAGTGCCATGTCTCCAAAATTATGTCTATCTAGTTAGCTTATAAGTCAACTAAAATGTGGGAAGCACTTGCACAAACCGTGGCAATTTTTTTAATTAGTATAGTAGTAAATTATTCCATATGTGATTCGGCCAAATTATTACAGTAGCAATTGGGATGCCCACTGGTTTGGCCTGCAAATTCGAGGTTGACAGCGGAGCAGTACTACTATACATGCTAGCTAGACGGTAGAAGAACTGCTGCACACTATACTTACTGAAGAACACGATGTAGGAAATTAATGCCAAAATTATTTTTGAAAAAAAAAATTATGAAGCCTAAACTATTCACTCGATGCAAGACTCCCCAAAATTTATATTTATAATTATAACTAAAATGGAAAGGGGTATTCTATTTAGTATTTACAACTTACATGAAAGATGAAATACTATAATCGTTCTGGAGTAGTCTTTCAAAATCACGCTTATTTTGGGACGGAAAAACAATATGGGCGATCCATTTGATGCCAAGAATATAATATCATGAAGATGGCCTATCCGTTTGGTTACAACAAACCCCAACAGTTTTATTGACTTGTACAAGTTAGCCACGCATCGTCTGTTTTCGGCTACTCTTTTGAGTTTGGTAAATATTTGCACTTAATATCTGGTTTTGGGATCTCTTAAGACTTTAATCACAGAGTGGACCAATTTGCTGTCAAGATATTAACCATTCTAAAAGAACAAGTTTAGTCTGTTAGGTATGGAAGCAGAGCAATTATAACTCTGTTACGCTAACAATTTGCTGCGGTGGCTTTTTAAGGTCAAATAGAGAGGGATTACTACAATTAACTTACGGCCATAATTATTCTTCTGAAACATACTACTACCTCCGTCCCAGAAAAATAGTCCACATTGAGTTTTTAAATTTATACTAAAACTAGTACAAATTTAAAAACTCAATGTGAACAATTTTTTTGGGACGGAGGAAGTATTATGTTTATAATACAGGAAGACTGCCCTAACTTGAATTATTCCGATTGAACTAAACTTGATAGTAGGAATTTATAAGCAACCAAATAATTTGAATTATTTTGTGTGCACAAAATTGGAACCTTTTTTGACCTATCCATATGGCTTCTTCTACTATTATCCAAGAATCCAAATGTACATTGAAAATGAAACATCAATCTCCCATGAGGACTACTAATGCTAGTACTAGTAGAAAGTATAAACCAAAACCACAAAAATGTTAAATAACTTTTTTTTTTGGGGGGGGTGGGGGGGGGGGGAAGGGAACTCATAGCAAAAGTTTGGAATAAAGAAAACCAAAAACTAAGGGAAATGGCATGACATGCATGTTACTTGTCCCTCTTTAACCTCTTTATCTGCTCATTCTCATTCATGCCTTTCCTTTCAAATTTCCCTTCTTTTTTCTTTTTTTTTTCTTCCTCATAAACATAAAAAGAAAAACCCAAACTCCAACTCCAACTGAAACAAGTGAGAATCGTGGATATTTCCATCCATAAGAAGAATGAATTATAACAATTTTCTACAAAATTAAAACAAAAGCAGCATTTTTGTTTAGTGTACAACGACAATGTAATATCATTTCACTGACCTTATTAATGTGATAACGGAGATAAAGATATAATCTATTTATATAATATAATATAATATACATCCCAGAGTCCACTTGACTAAGGCCCCCAAACCTTTTTTAGTTCCAACAGAAAATACAGATGATACAACTTTTAACATACAAATCTTTCCCTTTTATTTCCAATTCCAAACCAATATATGTATATATATATATATATGGAAAAGAAAAAAGAAAAAAGAAAAATGGAAAATGGGAAGACTAGTACTACAACTAGCTAGGAGTAGTATATTTTGGAGGGGTAAGAGAGTGCCTTTTTGGTGGAGGAATGCTTGTCACCTACTCCTCTTAAGTTCCTCACTCACTGCACTTTTTCTTATACTACTTCTCTTCTACTCCCTTTCCCTTCTCCTCAACTCAAAAGCTTTTACTTACTGCAGATTTTTTTGCAAAGTGAGAGCGGATTAAAATCGGAGCTATGTTTAGTTGAATTAGGCTTATTTGCAGTAGTTGCAGAACAGGGTTCAATTTTGCTCTGTTTTTCTTTTCCTGTTTTCAGGTGTTTTTGCTCTGTTTTGTTTTTTTTTTTTTTATGATGAAAATGGTGAGAATGGAAAGGCACAAATGCAAGTTATGTTCGAAAAGCTTTTCAAATGGGAGAGCTTTGGGTGGTCATATGAGGTCCCATTTGGCTAATTTCCCTCTGCCACCCAAGACTCCCCAGAAGGAGGAAGAACAGAGGATACAGAGCCAGCCGGCGGCGGCGGCGGTTGAAGGTGGCTTAACTGGGTCTTCAACTTCCTCCGAGTGTTCTTCTGAGGAGGAAAAAGAAATTAACAATGAGAATAGTACTTTCAGCAGTAATGAGGATCAAAAGGGGTTGGTTTATGAGCTTAGGAAAAATCCCAAGAAGAGTTTCAGGCTGGCTACAGATCCTCCTCCTGAGGAGTACTACTTCCCGGACGGCGGTGCCGGCGCCGGCGGTGGTTTAGTGGTGGTTCAAGACATAGAGAGTGAGACCGAGTCAACTAAGAAACCAACTCGGAGAAGATCTAAGAGAACTCGGAGAATGGTGGTGAACAGCAAGATTCTCCTTCAGCAGCCCAGTTCAACGGAGTCAATGGTGGAATTGGAACAACAACAGGTCAGTACTATTACAGTTTCAAATACTACAACTAATTCTACACAAGAAGAAGATCTGGCCATGTGTTTGGTAATGCTTTCAAGGGATGTTTGGAGCTGCAATAATAGTACTACTACTGCAAATTCTGATGATCATTACAAAACCAAGAATAAGAAGAAGAAGAAGAAGACTAATTGCTGGGATGAAGATGATGATGAAGAATTTCCCAGAAATGTTGTAAATGTCTGTAGCAGCAACAGTGGAAGTAGAATGAAAACAAAAAATGGGATGGAAAACACAAAAGTGCATGAGTGCCCATTTTGTGGCAAAGTTTTTGGGTCAGGTCAAGCTCTTGGTGGGCACAAAAGATCACACTTTTTGGGTTCCACAACAACCACCACCGCCGGAACCGCCACCGCCACCACAACCGCCTCCGTGGTCTCAAACTCTGAGAGTTTGTTAGTCCCATCATCGTCATCATCAAATTCTGCAAAGTCCCAGCACGCTGGAATGTTCATGATAGATCTCAACTTGCCAGCACCAATGGAAGAGGAAGAGGAAGAGGGAGAGGAAAATGATGATCATCATCCCCATCACCACCATCATCATCATCATCATCATCATGAAAGAAATGAACAAGACTTGTTCATCATCAGATGCTGATTTCATCTTAGCAAATTTGCTGGCACAACTTGGAAGGTCCAAAATTGAAAAACTCAATTGCTGCCATTATGATCATCATTGTTTACTTCTCTTTTGGTTCTCTTTTAATTGGAGGCTATTTTTAGTTACTTCGGTTCTTCAATTCAGTTTTTAACTATTTATAGAAATTACTCAACCCTTCTTATAAAATGGATCATTTTGGTTTGGTCACTATGACCATTTGTTCTCACTTTGCAGCTTTATTTGTTACTTGCTTATTTTTTTCAGTCCCATTGAATAGATTCATTGGTAGTTACAATATTTGTTATTTTTTGGGAGCTTCGATATTGTCACAAAAAAACGTGTAGTTAGTTTCGCTGTAACTACTGATGCTTCCCCTGCCTCTCAACTCCTGTGGGGGGCGCCACCCAACTTCTCCTTAGCTTACAGAAGGGCAAACACAGACTTCCATTATTATTCTAAACTCTTAAGCATTTATTATTACCATCTAAAATTTATTATTATTATTATTATTATTATTTTGCATTGCTTCTAAGGTTAGCTACTATTTTGCTGTCACGAATCCTTGGAATCTACATTATTAATTACTGTACGCTTCAACGTGTATTTATTTTTCTATTTTCTCACCCCAGACGAGAAAAAGTCTATCTCTAACTATGGAGTATGGACCACCCCCAAGAATCATATCGAATTTGGAATGTACTTAATTCTCATGGATGTGTTAATTTCCTTGATCAATGGTTTCCTGCAATTGGGATTTGTTAAGTTCAATTGATTTCTAGTTTGGCACGGCTACTATGTTAAATAGGATTACAGGGTCATGCACTAAATTTATTGGAGCGAATTCGCTCATGAAGAGGCAAGTGATGAGACGATTATGTCTTATGCATTCATCTCAAACGAATGAGAGTCTGAATGTGATTAATTGACCTCTAGCCGTGTTTACCATAAGACTGACCGACCATTAGCAATGTGGATGGGTTTGGCTTCTTGTTTGTGTGTGTGTGTGTGTGTGTGGCAAGATGTGTATGCCTAGTGAATATTGCTTGTGAAACAAGAACATTGCCTCTGGGAAAAAAGTTGTGTCCCAAAATTAAATTAGTACTGTGTCTGCTGCTGAATGTGTAGAGCTACTTGCGTTTAAGCTCAGCTCAATTCCCTGTCTACACACTACAGCTGTGGCAGTATTATAGTATACTTCTGTTCTTTTGGTGATTTTGCACTTCTTTCGGTGTGTGTACTGTGTGTTTTCAAAACAAAACAAAAGAAAAAAAGAACTGGAAAAATACCATTTCTTTTTTCTCTCTCATCATTGGGTTAGTAGCTTTTGTCTGCTTAAAGGCCAGATTTTTACAGTCTTCCATTTTCTTTCCTTCTGCCCTTCATGACTCATGACTGTCCCTCCCAGGAGAAGAATCTTCTTCCCCGCCCCAAAAAGAATGACCACCCCCTAAATCTAAATGCCCTCAATTAACCTCGAAATGTGTCATGTGATTAAGGAACTTTGTTTCGGTAATCTAATCAAAATTATACTTACTCTGTTTCGGGAAAATACTCCGTTTTGATATTTGTATTAAAAACAGTAGAAATTTGAAAACTCAATATGAACTGTTTTTCTGAAATAAAGGAAGTAATTCGCATTCAACAGATCAACCTATTACTATCAAATTCTTTAAATCAATGCTGGTCAATTGACATTTCTAATAGGTTTACTGACTAGAAGTTCAAATTAATTACATCATCTGGTCCAATGTTTTGGGCTAAACATTAATAGATTTTTGTGCAATTGGCAGTAATGAAAAACAAATTCAGTTAGGCAAAGCCAGGGGAGTAAAAAAAAAAAAAATTAAGCAACCTGGGACCATGATCTCTAATAAGGAAAAGTGAAGAAATAAAGTGTAATGCCACTAGTAATTGACTTAGAAAGAAAAATGCTTAATAAGACGGAAATTTATGCTTACCATGAACTTCTCGTGCATGTGATTTCTTGGTTAGCTGGAAATTTTGAGAGCCCAAAACTACCCTTTTTTTTCTTTTTCTACAGAATCTCCATTTATGAAGATCAAATTAATGTCCCGGCAGAGATTCAAAAGGTCACGTTATGATCGTCTTCTTAGCTTTAATCTTGTCATAACATGATCTACATTTTTACCATGTTCTTCCCTTTTTTTTTTTTTTTTTCCTTTTCTTCTTTTCTTTTTCTGGCTTTGGTACAATATAACATATGAGGTTTACTGGTTTAACAACTTGAATCTTTCTACTCCATTAGTGAGTGGAAAACGTAAATATTATATTTCGGTCGCGATTTAACTATCGATCTTGAATCAAATAATATTAAAATTTACTGGAAAAATATGTTTCACTTCGACCATCCATACTACAAGAATGGCAAACCTATACTAAACAAACACTCATACGTATTCCTTCAATTTTGATAAATTTGAAGGAATCAATGAAATCCACTTAGTCCTTGAAGGAGATAATCGCAAAAAATGACGGCACTCCAATAGTCCAACTTGATTATAACTAGTTTCTTTCCAAGCCATTTAAGATCAGTGATCTGGTTATTATTTTAATCAGTCGCCTCCATTTTCATTTGGATTGACGAACCTTCCCTTGCACGAAGGCCGCTTGTCTCTGTCCATAATGCTGTCCATTTTTCAACCGTATGGATCAATGAATTAGTTTGTCTCTTTTTCTTTCTTTTTCTTCTTCTTTTTTATGAATCTTTTGGCAAATAATAAATTAATTGTTTTTTATACTTTAAACGACATAGACCAAGCCCCACCTCGTACAGAAAACCAAGCCAATCTCGTGACTCTTGGAAAAAATAAGAAGAAGAAGAAGAAATCTAGACCTATGACGATTTAGTCTTATGAATGTGTTACTCTTTAGCATTCTAAACCAACAACAGAAATGAGCGAGACATGTTTTACTATATGTTAAAAAAAAACAAAAAAATGCACCACCGACGGGCTAATTTTTAGCGAGTCATGTTTTATTAATGAGCGAGGCTAATTTTATAGCGAATACTTGGTTTCTTTGGATGTATAAAGGGTCGGGAGGGTTGCAATGACTCGAAACACCATCAACGAACTGCTAAATCGTGATTGAAGAGTGATTTGACAGGAATAACATATGCTTGTAATGTGTTAATTTGATTTTAGGTGTTTTGGCTCTGTTATTGGACCACGAAAATAATGTAACATTACTTAGTTATGATCAAAGAGTTCCTTAACATATATGTACTCAGTCCCAAAAAAATGGTTTGTTTTGTTATATTGTTTTAGTTCTAAAGAATTTATTATTTTTTTGCAATCCTTATATGATTATCAAGGACTGCAGACTGCAACGAAAAAATTAAATTATCTCTATTCTAAAATGATTGTTCATATTGAATTTTCATATAAAAAGAAATAATACAAAGAGGATAATTAAAAAAATAAAAAGTTAAACTGTACAATAATTTTACGTAAAGGGCAGAGCACATACCATACTTTTTTCGTTTATTATTAGTGCACTCATGCACTCTACTAGACTAATATAAATGGATTTTACTCATACACACACTCAATGATCCAGCATGCAATTTTTACTGGAACAATGATGACCAATATTAGGAAATGAGCGGTAACAAAATTTGAAAATCATCAACGACAACTCTAGAACCATTTCTTTGTTAAACTTTTTGTGCATATATAGCGATCCAATTATTGTTGTTCGTTCTTTCCCATTATCAATGTAATGACTAATAAGCATGTTACTAAAATAATCACCCCTTCCCGATTTTTAAACGAACTCTGCACCATATATCTCACGGTTCCATCCATGCAAATAAAGCAAAAAAGGTGTTTTTGTAAATGGTCAGATTTGGAAAAACGATAAAGAAAACAACCATTTATCTGGAACTATGATGACCATACAGCTATACAAGCACACACACTTGGTGGTGAAGATGGTGAATACATACATTACACATATGTATATATATATATATAGAGAGAGAGTTTGAAAAACTTGGTCCCCGCCCGCCTACACAAACCATGGGCAGTTTGATTTAGAAATATTCGTCATCATAATCAGTGATGAACCCGACGGCTTATTGAAGGGAAAATTTCAAACGTAGAAAAGTTATGAAATGAACTATCTTAATTATCTGAACTTATTGTTGTTATATTGTTGTTCACTGAAATGAGAAACTCTTTCGGGAATATATGATTTATAATGTTTTGGTAACATATTTGTCAAACTATATAAATATTTTGAACTCTCATCTCAAAATCAATTGATAATGAGTGAGTGGCCTTTGGAATTTATATACTGAGTCAATTCTTTTCACGGTGGCAATGTGATACAGATATTACACTTTAACACCCTCCCTCAAGTCCAATGGGTTTTTGAACTTTTTGCAAAATGGACTTGGATCAGGACAAGAACAGAATAGCCTACGAGTCAACGTTCTAGTAGGAAAAAACTAGTTATACCGCTGTATCGGTCCACGATAAGCCATGAGTCAATGCTCCAATGGGAAAAACCAGTTATACCGCTGGATCGGTCCACAACAAGCCCATGAATTAACGCTCAAGTGGGTCGATATAAAATTACTACAGGCCACCTCCGGTCCAAAACTTCACCACAAACCCAGCACGCTCTGATACAATTTCAAAGTAATATAAACACTTTGAGCTCCCATCTCAAAACCAATTCGCGGTGGTAATATGAGACAGATATTACACTTAAACAATATTATTACTTTTGTCCCAAAATGATTGTCTAGTTTAGATTTTCAATTTTAGTATAAATTGAATCAAAAGTGAAAATTCAAACTGGATAATAATTTTGCGACAGAGGAAATACTAATTTTCATCTACTATAATAACACGTGCAGATTTTTCCACCCGGCTTGGAATCAAAAGCTAGATTGATTATGGAAGTAGAAAGTCACATAGAGGCACTATTTCGGAATGCACAGATCATATTGGAATTGTTGAAACTTCGCATGCCGGGCTAGCTAGTTTGACTATTAATTAAGTTTTAGATATATGCTTGCAAATCAAGTCAAAGAGTCAATATTCCTTCTCTTCATGTGTGCACTTTTTCCCCCTTTTTCTTTTGGATCTCCAAATGGGCTGCCAACGATTCCATTGAATTAATTAGTGCATTTTCGTAGCCACAACGTCTACGTTTTCACGATGTTGAAGTTTGGCACAAATCTGAAGAGGAGTACCCATTTTGGGCCTGATGTTGTGAGCTCCAAAAAGCGTCCATTATGATGAACTGTACAAATAAATATTGGGAAATCAATAAGTTCACATGCAGTATAATTTTCCTCCTTAGAGCATTTCTCATAAATGTATCTTGGTATAACGAACTAAACTTTATCAATCCAGAAAATTCGTACAAAATAGAAATGGTTGTTTATTGCTATATCTATTCCGTTTTAATAGTCTGATTTATCATATATTTGTAATAACTTAACTAAATAA